TTTTTAAAGAGCTTTGTGGTTCGCAAGCTAATTCATTTTCTGAAATGATCTACATCTTCAGGGACAATAGTAAAAACAAAAGTCTGAAACTAGAGCAGGGAACTGAAACAAACAACACTCTCATATGCAGGAGCTAAAGGAGAAGTATTCCACGCCGACACCAGAAGAAAATTGCTGAATTTTTTTTCGAGGGCTGTACAAACAGCCGAGATCCATTACCGTAACGGCAGTATCCATTTCAAGATGAAGTATTAACCAGAGCCCTAATGGGGCGGTGATGTCAGAACGCGTGAATTCACACATACAGACACAAGAAATGGTTCCCACACGGCCACTCCATCTTTTTTGGAGAAATCACTCAACCTGCCGCAACGGTAAGAGTCCAGTTCAAGAAAGACGAGAACGCCTCGACAACAGGCTCCATGGCTCGGTTTCCTCTTCAATTTAATTTACGGTAAAATCAGAATCCAGCGCGGTATATAAGGTCGTAAATTGTCAGGTTTTTTGGAGAGGTTTTTTTTTATTCCAGTCGTGAGATGCCTGGGTTTCACTGCATGATTGGTAACATAAATCACAGCGCTGAGCGCTGCCGTTTCTATCACCGATTGTATGTGTTTATTATCGTCATCGTCCGACAGTTTACTTTTATACAGTGTAACAGGATTTTTAAAAGGCACATTCAAGGCGAGAAGAATAAATATGGGAAGCATTTCAAATAAATAACTTAGCTTGAGAGATTTACAAATGATAGTTAATATGAGTCTACCTTCGCTACATTGATTTCGTATCATTTGTTAAAACAATATGAGTTTAGTACACGAAAATGATCAATCAAGAGCAAGTACAGAATTATGAAATCATAGCTCTCAATACAATTCAAAGCAGATCGTGTACATTGTACTGTGCAATGTATGAAAAGCATTTTTTTGATACCTATGACATCATTTAGAATACATTTAATTAGTCTGTCTCATCTTTTGATATTTTATTTTATGACCTACTTTTAGCAGGTCATAAAATAAAAAAAGCTAACATAATATATCAACATACTGTTACAAATGTGCATGTTTTTTTCAGGGCATTTCAAGCCAAATGACATTTTGTCCTCAATTTTCACGCTACGTAAGTCGTCTAAACCTCTTTCCTTTGTATGCACTACATGCGGAGGCACCTCACGAACGAAGTAAACAACTGCAATGTCTTCGCCACATTAGCTGACACAGATTTATACTGCAGCAATCACTTCTGACAAACAATGTCCGTCAATAGTACTTATTTACACTGTGCGACACTAGAGGCTGTAATTCGCACACAACCTACTGTAGCCTAAAATAACACATCCACTCAATCAACAGCTGTCCACAACACACGCTACAAGCATTACCAATGATGACGTACACCATGTAAACCCAACTACTGCCACTGCGGAAGATTGTATATCTTCAGACGAATACGGGCACGTGATCACCATACCCTCGCGAGGCCCCTTTCAATGGTGTAAGTTTTGTTCCAGTTATTGTGCAAATGCTGCAAAACTACTGCCCTATGACCTGATGACCGATTGTTTGAATGTAGCTACCACAATGTTTTCGCCACAGTGAAGGGTGCCTTCGTGATAAGTGACAACGTTCCCGCATTTGTGTATGTACAAACATCAGGCCGTCTTATTTCGTATATTACTAAAGTTTCAGGACATACCAGCTAATTGGTCAACAGATAGCAGCAGCTTATTATGCTCAAGAGCAAAAGTCAAAATACGTGACGCAAGTACATGTATGATTTTTTTTGTGTGTGTCTCTTTTTGTCAGTTGGCACCTATACTATAATCTCCATCACTCTTCGTGCCAGATGCCTATCTGTGCTTTAATAAGCCTCACAAATCTGCTGTCATCGCAACAGTCCCCATATATTGCGCATTCACGCCAAGACTTCTATGGTCTCCAGTTACCTCGGGTTTTAAAGAGACAAAAACGTTTTTTAACAATCTGACCTCATTCCAGATACTAACGCTCATTTGAAAAAAAAAAAAATTCTCCTGTATAGTGCTGGCATCATCTACAATTTTATGTACATGTATTTAATCTCTGATAATTCACTTAGACTCAGTGCCCTTAAATTACTCTGAAAGTTGTTTCAAAAGTTCACAGGTCCTACATGCAAAGTATTTCCATAAGCTCCACGAATTCAACAAAGTCGCAAACCTTTAGAATGAGGGTCACGTTAAACATAAAGCCACACGATGTGTCCACGCTAAAGATTTGGAGACATCTGTTCTTCTCCGTATTGGTCATTTCTCGACGTCTTAACGGAAGCCAAAGGATTTTAGAGTCTAGTCCAGTTACACAAACCAACCTTTCCCTAAAAGCCAATTCCCTGGAATAACAGACCCTTAAGCCACTGCTGAGCCTGTGCACTCGCCACTGAATCTTACAATGAAGGCTTTGAAGATTGTCACATACTGCATGCAGTATGGCCTCAACAGTGGTCCTGTTCCAAAAATTTGCAAACAACTCTAAAGGATGATGATCTTGGATGACCATATCCCTAGCTTTTGAAATCGGTTCACTGATCTACAGAGTAGACGCAGAATTGACGGGTGTCCTTTTCATATTATTGTAGTTGCTTTGAGCAGCTTACTGTGTAAATACTTGTACAGCAGATGCTTTCCTCAAAAGAAAATGCAAGTGGCTTGCTATCCGACCAATTGATGCAGCAAGCATAATACTCGATTTGCTTATAGACTAAGTATATGTGGGTGGTTGTTTAACCAAGATAATGGGGCTTAGGGTCTTGGAAAACACTAAAAAAATCAATAACAAAGACACAAATTAAATCATTTCAAATAGGGCTGTGCATCGGAACCGTGTATCCGAGTACCCGACCGTTGATGTCATGAACTGCATCCAGATTATGGAATCGGGTACGTACACCGTCACCAACTTTACAAATTACTGAGTAAGTCTTGACAATTAAATAGAAAGGTTTTTCATTTGTGGGGAATTTTCAAAGTGAAAACCAGGCTACGTGGCAAAATAAAACAACTTTCATGTTTATGACATTCGCGAAAGTTGCAGTTTTCACCGTAAAGCTATAAAAGCTCACTGTACACACTTGTATCATGCTGTATTGACGCACCCATGTGGTAGTATTATCGTGCTGACCTTATGAACAATCTGGACAGCAACTTCCGAGATTGGAATTTTGGGGTTGGATTTCTTTAACGGTTACCTGAGTACCCGTAAATGCACACCTCTAATTTCAAAGGGGTCATAGCTCAGTGAACAGTCAAGAACTATTTCATAATAAGAGCAATTTTTTTATAAAATATTTTTCTCAATACGAGTACTGCATCTACAGAAAGAACAGCAAGCGCAGAGAAACCTACTTTTTTTGGTTTGCATTGATTAACCCAAGCATACATATCAGGAATGAAAATGGATGACAATGGAAGGCCAGCAACTGCAAAGTGTTGTACTTGAAGCATGTACATGTACCATACTGCAATGCTATGATTGCTGTTTATTGCTTTTCAAACCTAGTGGTACATGTATTCATGTCATAAAAATTATTCAGAACTATAAAATTTCAGAAAACAATGTAGGAGATTCCTACTAATGGCCTTGGGGAAAAAAAGCTTTAGGTATAAACTATGGATAATAAATTTTTAGGTGAACTCTGGAAATTTATGACCCAATAATTCCAATCGATAAATTCTGTATTTTGGCATTTGTATCAAGCAGTGCAAGCAACGTAAACATGCATGCTTTTTTTTTATTATTTATGGGGGATGACATATTGGTATGGGAAATTGAGATACTCTGCCAAAAGGATTTACTAAAAGAACTGTCTGTTCCAGGACAATATGGCTCATCGGGCCAGTGTTTATCTCATGCTTCTGGGGCATGAAAAAATAATAATAATAATAATAATAAATGGGTATTTATAAAGCCCACGTTTCCACCAGTATTGGTGCTCAAGGTGCTACCTCAATATCACCCTACTCATTGGACAAACATTCCAAATACCATCTCAGCTCCCTGGGGAGTATACAGCTCGATGCTGCCACTTCAGCTGCGCAAAGCAGCTTAAATCAACCACAATAACCATATCTGCCCTCACAGGTACCCATTTACTCCTGGGTGGAGAAAAGCAATGAGTGACAAAGTGCCTTGCCCAATGGCACACGCACCATGACCCCTGGCTGGACTCGAACCCACAACCTGAAGCTTTACCCACAGACCATGAATCCAGTGCCCTTGACCAAGAGGCCACAGCATTCCACTCGCTTTCGATTGTTTGTTTCAAACTTGTGAATCCAGTCTAAGACTGACGTTCGTAATGTTTCGGTCAAGACATTGCGTTTCTTCTATTTTCACATTCACACAAGTCTGTGATGTGGACACCCAACTTGAGCAACACTCACACAGACACACACAAATTGATGATAAAATCATCTTTTAACGTTGTCAAAGTATGAACACACACACCGTAGGGCACACACACCATAGCCGCAGGCTGGACTCGATTCCACAACCTGCAGAATTACCCGCAGACCACGAATTCAATGCTCCAGACCACGAGGCCACGGCACTCCACTACTGAGAATAATTCTACACTCCCCTCTCCTCCCAATGTAATGCAAGTCAATTGCAGGTTTCTCCCCACCTAATGCCTACACCAACTTGTACTCTGGGTGGAGAGAGGCAAGTGGGGTTAAAGTGGCTTGCCCGAGGACACAACATACACGTATGCAGCAGGATTTGAGCCCCCGATGTTCTGATTACGAGTCGCAAATCTAGCCACTAGGACACACTCCCCCACTTACTAGATCAAAATGTCGGTGTTCAGGGGCGTAAATCCGTGGGGAGGGATGCAAGGGTGGATCCAGAACAATTTTTTTGGGGGGGGGGGAGGGGTGTACATTTATAATGGAACGAATCTTGAAAGGACTCTGCTCAATTTTGCTTGATAAAAAGCTGGAATTCAAAAGCGCAACTTACCAAGTATAGAACAAGTTGCACCCTTGTCACCGACTGCAGGTCCTTGTCACCTGTACATATCAGACAATTAATTACGCTTCAATTAAGTAATTCATCCCTGAAGTAATTGATGAGTCTAATGAAACAATTAGATTACTTCATTTGTATGATTGGTGGGCAGAGGGTACTTTGGTGATGGGACTTGATGGGATTGGGTTATCCAATCAGTCTAGTTGGTATCTGGAGCAGAAGTAATGCAGGTCGGCGTGTGGCCAGCACGGTGCGGTTGTTCTTTCACACCTCGCAGTGAAATGACGGACTTGCCTGCAGGCAAGCACAAGGGTCCAATTACGTGGTTCTGCTGATAGCAGAATTCTGATGCTGTTCTATTCTGTGCTAGTAGAAGTAGCACAGAAATTCTTAACTAACCCTGTCAGCATAGAATCCTCAATGTTGTGATGTGCCCACGCACGCAATCCAAAGATCCTTGCCAACGTGTGAAATACTCTAATCATTGGGGCATAATTTTCCATTTCACATGCACTTAGTAGAGTTTAACTCTTTCAGTGCCAAACTCGTACATGTACGAGGCATATTTGCTAGTACAAAAGCGCCAACCTCGTACATGTACGAGGTAATGTTCGTAAATGTTCGTACTTAAAATTGCCAAACCTCGTACATGTACGAGGTAGAGTAAATATGTTATCAAAAGGGGGGGCTCTCGCTGTTTCTAATGGTACCGTTTTCATGAATGTACGACCTGTATTTATTTTTTCATTCGAGTTCTTGCGAGAGGGCGCAGCACTAAATCTCGTATTTTCTGCAAAAAGTGCGGAATTCCCCTGTGTTCAGGCCAGTGTTTCAGGGTGTATCACTATGTTTGTGACTACTTTTGACTTTCCAATATATCAAGGATATACCAGAGAGCAACAACAACAAATTTAGTGAGTAAAATTTATTTACTTTTTTTTTTACAGAATTTCGAACAATTAACAAAAACGCTCGAAGTTGGGCACTTTAGGGTTAAACTTTTCAAATTTCGCGGGCACTGAAAGAGTTAATAGCTTACCATAAGTAGAACCAACTAAATGGACACTTTGTAAAAGGTCATAATCCAGTTGGTTTTGTGTGTGTTATTCTGTAGATCAAGTTACATTATCATTGCCTGCTGTTGGATGGTATGAGTACATGTTTTTATTCCTTAAACCCTAACTGCCTTAGTACTAAACTGCCTAGTTCTTTTTTTTTTTGGTTAGGAACAATCATCTGTCACGCAAACTTTGACCGGCAGGCTTTGCATGCCACGTTTGACCGGCAGGGCACTCATTTGCAGCTGGCATGTGTAAAACTTGATCGGCGAGTTTCGAATATTTCCAAAACACGACATATCCATTTGAAACAAAAAAGGTGAAAATTTTGCATGGGTATAAAACATTAAAGAATAAAAACAGTATAACAGGTGTCTCAAAATTTCATTTTTCGCTTCACTGTATGCTTAAGTTGTGTTTAAGTATATACATGTAACAGCTGTCGAAATTGCTTTTGGGCAGCCAGGAGAGAGCAGGATTCTAAAAGGGAACAAAATGGCGTATATCACATTTTGGTTATAAACTTTTCATGTACAAAAATCATGGACATGTGAGCAATTCGTTTTGACGAAGGGACGGGCATGTCAAAATTGACAATTTGTTCGATTTCGCGTTTGTTCACTACTTTGCTTTAAAACATGGTACTTAAGCAGTCCGACATGTTTCCGTAAGCAAAACATCATTAATTCCTGAATAACATGAATGACGTCATGGGCATCTCGATAATTGCATGTTGTGATTTCACGAAGAGACGCAAACATGCCTGCCCCTTGAACACGTACAAAACGTATTGCACAGAAAGGCGTAAAAGTAGGTCAACAGAAATTTTGGTTTTCACGAAGGGACGGGCATCTTTGTTACATTCTCAGCTGCGCGCGCGTAATCACGCCGCCCCTTCCCTATGGAAAAACACATTGAACAAGAATGTGGAAAAGTGGGATTTTCGTTTCCACGAAGGGATGGGCATCTTTACTAGTTAATTTAGGTTAATTAACCACTGTATCAATTATAATACTGGGTTCAAATGAAAGTTTACCTATCAAAGAATAACGTCAAGGTTTCCTTATTGCATAAAGTTGTTGCAAAGTAGTAGTTTATGCAGATTTAAAAATGGCGAAACTTCTGTTGCAATTAACTCGAAAACGTTTTTTCTTCAAAATCCACATGCCTGTCCCTTTGTGAAACTGGTGACCAATAAAAATGCCTTGTGTTCCTAAGCAGGATACTTTGCACCATGAACTGCACTTACTTACCTATGAGCATAGGAAAGCTGCCTGAGTGTCTCAGCACGTAGTCCTGCATGACGCGCTGGCATGCCGAATCTTCAACCTCATAGGTCTCATAGAAGGACACTGAAAGATACACAAATATAAACAAAAATAAGTCAGCCATGAATTGTTGGGGAGTGTTATACTCACAACTCACCATGGGTGATTTAGGGCAATTGGTTTTATTGGTAAGAACGTGACCGTCACCAAATCGAAAAGTTGGCATAGGTTGCACAAGTCATGTGTAACAGTTCTAGTCTGGTCCCAGACCAATAGACTCTTGACTATTGACCTATCGCGGTAGAATCGCAGTAGAATTGCATCAACGCAGCTTGTGAAATATTGTCCAATTACATGATATAAAAATGGATGCGGAAGGCGCAAAATCTGAGACAAACAAAACTTAGTGTACAAAAACTCCATAGGGTTGTCTAAGGGGCGTGGCTAACTCGCAAACGGCGATAGGTCAATTCTGACAAACATTAGGAAAGGTAGGCAGCTCAGTACATGACCAAATGGGGCAGGAATTTCTAAAAGTGTCCGGGGTTTACTGAATATATTTAGGCCCAAAAAAAACATAGTTCGGCTTCCGGTTTCCCTACCTACCCTATTCTGACAGCCCCTACCCTAATTTTTTAATGGGAAAAATGGAGAGAAAAAAATAACACCCAAAACCATCAATTTCTACCTTTTACCCTTGACTACACGCAGACGCCTCGATATGATCGTACACCAAAAAAAAAGGCCCAAAAGAAATTATTTCCCTACCTACCTACCCTATATTCAAATGCCATGTAATTAGAAGCAGAACTATTTTTTTTTTTTTGGCCTTAGTAGACACTTGGATATGTTTGCGATAGTGCGGGTGCTATCGGGTGTTACATGGATTCTATTTACCAACAAAATATGTCATGCTTGTTCTCACTTTTGAAAATTTTATTTCTTACATTCATGGCTTGCTTTTAGAATTTCAAGGTCACACGTATTTCCCAGTACATGTATGTTAAAGCTACAGTCCATCAATTGTAATTTGTGCATTTTGTTCGTTTGAAGCAACAAAAGAGTTCAAAATCTAATGAAGGATACTGAGCAGCTAACCTGATGAAGTTTCAGCTAAGCTTCAGCTGTACATTCTGAGAAAAACAGCATTCTAAGATCTCAATTTCAAATCAAAAGTTACTGAATCATGTTTTGAATTATTTTGAATTGCAGCTATACGCGACGTAGCGCACTGATCCGACGAATTGTAACAACCGCGCGCGTGTGTGTGTCGTCCCAATACTTGTGCGCGCTGCGCTGAATAACAAACCGAACTACTAATTTAAATTTTCCTACGGTGCTTCTTAAGAATCACCGTTGGAAATGCCTTCTTTCGTTAATTACTTCAAAATGACAGCTTCCCAGAAAGAATAATTTCACAGGGAGTTTAGTTCCCTCACTATCTTTCAACCAAGTTTGTTTTTCAACAATAATTACGCCAGTTACTTTTCGGATGGCTGCAATTGCATGTCCAGTGCATATGTAATGCCTCAAGGATGCACTCCTACGAGGGACAGCTAGGCTTTGCTGCGTCATGTTCTATTTTAAAATGTGACGGTTACATGACCAACGAGACGGTTAGCTGTCAGGATTGTCTGGTCATGGAAACACTACGTCCACCATGCGGAAGATAGTGGCAATTCAAGACGTCTGCACTAGTAAGCAGGAAGTCGTGCGTTCGAGTCCCACCCGAGTAGTTTTTCTTGCAATCACTCGGGACAATACTGAGTACAATAAAATGGCACTATAACCAACCGCTATAACGAATATTTAGCTATAACAAACATCCCCCTTTGGTTCTCATAATATTCAATTCCATTACAATGCACAATCACTATTTATAATGAGCGACCACTATAACGAACATTTTTTTATGGACCCCATCATGTCCATTATAATGGCGTTGTTCTGTATACAGTGTATATAAAAATGCGTAGTAGATGAAGGGCAAACCCATCTTATGAATAAATCAACACTACTTGTAGAAGTTGGTTACTTTTGAAACAAGCCAAGGTATTATATCTGGGAACTTTTTTCCCCACCAGTAAATATTGACGGCTTACATTTTTGAGGCTCTGTGTGGGTGCCACGTGTACAATGGATTATTATCAAAAGTACAGGTCAATGGTTTGGTGTAATCAGTGGTCCTTCCCAAGCAAAAGCTCAGTTCTTCACATTTTGAATTCCTCAGATTTGTCAATGAATTCAGGAGAAATATATTTCAGAGTTTAGCCGTACTTATTCCCATTTGTGACCTATATAGTGTAAAGGGTTAACGGCATGTTAACTTTGACTGTGTGTTTTGGCGCAATTACAATTCAAGTATTTATGTTTTGAGTTTCTAATGAAGGTTGTTATCTCATGACTGTTAACATGATTAATCTTTGCTTACATGCAGTGAGTTGGTCTGGTGCCTGCATATACTGCCACAGCACCTTGACTGTGTCTTCATCCATCAACTTGGGATATCTGTATAATAAGGAATAACAAAATAGAATTTCACCCATTTCAGAGATTTGAATCTCAGTAAAGTTCAACGCTTGAAACAGTCAGGGGCAACTGTGTGCAAGGATGAAATGTTGGAGTTGTTTGAAATGACTCCAGATTGAAGTGTAAAATGAAAACCTTTAAACCGGGGAAGGGGGGGGGGGGGTTGAATGACTTCACCCCTTCCCCTCTGGCTCTTTCATTGTATTTTGGTCTGCAAATATGCAGCAACGAATGGTGCCACCTATTTTCCGATAACGGCCAAGACTTTACAAGATTGAACAGGGCTCCCAAAAGTCAAATGGTATCCAGCCCCACCCCCACCCACCAATTGATTTTGAAGAGGCTGGGTTACCAGGAACAGTTACAAGCTATCTTCCAAGCTAAGGCAAAATAGTAAATCAAGAAACCAAATCTGTGGGTGAGGTGTTATAGTGCTTTTTAACTTTTTTAAACTGTCACTTGTTCCTCCATTGAGCCCATTTTACTGTGGCACCGGCTGATATTTAATGAAGCAAGACCTTGGTGTGGGCGCATTGGGGAAAATGATCACTTTTTCCGGCATTTTTCATCTTGATACACACCTATTTTCAAAGAGTTTCAGCAGCAGATTGTTGGCTCTGTTTGTGGCTATGTCTGGAGTCAAACTGTGGAAGTGAAAATATCGGAGAGAAAAAAACTCAACTTTACTCTATAAGCTCATACAAAATATTCTATTTATTGAAGAGATGTGAATTGTTTAAACCCATTAGAACTTGTTCTACATTGTATTACACTGTATTTACTCCTTGAGGAATCCACATAAAACCAGAGAGAGCTGGAGCCGTTTGGGGCAAAGTGGCTCTCACTGACCAATGTGACCTGACCTATATCTGGGTACTGGATAGCCAGCATCACCATTATAGTAGGCAAAGATCGTACAGTGCCGCATTAACTAGGTGGTAGGCAAGCCTTCAAAGCTATGATGGATGACAGAAACTGTCAGAAAAATTTGGAGCCAACACCCGTAATGGAACTTTGAAGACTGCCAAATATTACACATCATCATGTATGGATTCTATGACATTTTAGCTGACGGGATAGCAGCTCAACAAATTATCATGTCTCTCCACTAGTCCATTAGTCTGTCAATCCGTTTAGCTAGTAACAAAGGTTGACATTGCCTATTGCTCCTAAATATTTTGACCGATTTCAACCAAACTTTGTCAAAAGTATCAGTAGCCCGGCCCCAACATGTCACATGACCAAACTGGGGCCAAAGGTCATTGTGGGATCACTTGGATCAAAAACCTGATCTTTTTTTTACTCAAAACACTACTTCTTTCAGAAACTACATGGCACAATCACTTGACTCATGCATGAACATGCATTCGTTGGCCCGCAGCTTCCGCGATCTGATCGAATTTGTTCTTGGAATATCAACTTTCCTCGACCACTTTTAAAATAACACTGCTTGTTAAACGGGCTGGAGTAGCAAATACTGAAATTCATAACAGCGGCTGTTTTTGACAAGAGCTACTTACGATGTAGTTATGACTTCATCCCTTGAACGACGTATTAATCGAATAGGTCCAGGGTATCTGCAATAGATAAGGAAAAGCAGTTATTCAGGGGAAAAAATATAAAAGCTCTGATCAATATGTATTATATCGCAGTATACAAATGAACGTTCGTGAGTGCAATGGTAAGAATAATTTCATGAGGTAGAAGACAGATGGAATGTTCCATGCCACGAGGTGAAGTTGACTAGCATGGAACATTCCATCTGTCATTGAATGCAATGATTTTTTTTCTTCCTTCATTATTTGTTTGATACAATAAATACGCGTCATCTGATTGGTAACTTGTAAACTGGTACTATGAACGTACAGCACCAAAAGCCGTGTGTGACCGTGCAATGGAAGTTATGTTTACCGTGGAATGGAACTCCTATTTTTATGGTGTGACTGTATTGGGGCGAAAATTCAATGACGTGTGATTAACGATCCAACGATCAAATGACAGGGATTGAGTCAGGCGTTATAAATTCAACTGATTGACAAACCGAGGCAAGATGTTGCACTAGTATACACAGGACTCTGATCCAAGTAAATTTGTACTTTTCATCCTGCATAACACCCTCCTACAGCACCAATTATACAGTAAATATGAGATTATGTCCATGAAGGACAAAACCCAAATGTTGAATACAGACTCTATTCGGATTGTTGTCATCTCACAGAGTGTAAAATGTTTGTCAGCCATCAAAGGTTTAGAGTGGGGTGGGCCAATGGTTATGGTGTTCAACCCATATGCCACTTGGAAGACATAAGGCGTTTGAGTCCTTGGGCAATACACTTTAATACAATTGCCCCTCTCCACCCAGGAGTATAAATCGGTACCTGTGAGGGAAGAGATCATTTGTCCAGGCACTTTTAGGTCAAATATCACACAATATCTATGCACAAATACCCCCTAAAAAGTTTATAAATGACATCACAATGGAGAGACACTGGTATGCATTAGCCTACTGCCTGTATGCCTACTGCTCCCACAAATACGTTAAAGGTTTGTGCATATTTAATTCAAAACAAAATTTGTGTGTTATCATGCCCTACGTGCACGAACCATTTTGTGCGCCCATGCGGTGTGTTCCTCAAAAGGAGCCTTCACAAGCCGCCAAAAAAGCACATCAAGAGCTGTTCGTGCACAGAGTACGTTTAGTAGTGAAAAATAAGCAAATTACAATGATCAATCAATGGTCATTGACTTTGGGTAACTGTAATGCGTTCCCTCACAGGAATGTAGTCGAGTCCAGTCACAAGTAAATCACATGTCCATGCACAAGTCCAGTTATAAGTAACAGTGGATAAACAATAACGAAGGGATGTCTTTGTCAAAGCTGATTTGCATAGCTTGTGAGTTGAATTGGGACTTGCGGACTCACGAAAGACTCAAAAACATCCCCGTCCCCTTAACTGATGATTGGCACAGGCAAAATAGTTTGGGATGCCAAACTTACTTGCACAGATGATCAAATACGTTCAGATTCATGTAGTTGCGTATGGAGTGTACCACCAAACTGCCTAATAAAAGGACAAGGAAATAAAAGGTTGACGACATTAGTGACTCAATTAAGCATACTGTCAGTAATTTCAATATGGACAATAGGGTAAAAGAAAAACTTTGTACCCAACTTTTTTTTTTAGTCTGCATGAGATTAGTTCTGCAAACGTAGGTCTTAATAACAACTTCACTTACTCATGAATTCAGGCATCTTCGGAATAGCTAGAGGCACTAGATCATCAAATGTTGCATCTAGAATCTATTTCAAAAAGGGCACAATAAAAAACTATCAGCTATGCATCACCTCATTGCAGGAAACTTTACATTTTTAGAATACTTCTAAAGTTACATCTAAATGTAACATAATACATGTATGTGCACATATTATACAAATATTGACTGCTTCGAGTGGTGTAGTAAAACTAGCCTCCCGAGGTGATCCATGAAGCTCCATGGATCACCAAGGCGAAGCTAGTTTTACTACACCACGAGATAAAGCAGTCAATATTTGTTTATAACACCTCTCCCACAGATTCTGCTTGATTTTAAGCTATAACTGATTACTTTGATGCGAATACAATAACAATTTACTTCTACATGCATTTGAATACAAAATTAGTTGAAAATTAACTTGCACTTTTCCAAACTACCCCTTCACGAAATGTTTGAACCCATCTCTAGCGCTAGCGCTTGGAAACAATATTACACAACATTAATTTGCACACTCAATGCGTATAGCACTTTGGTTGCTATGGGTAGCACTTTGGTTTCTATGGGCATTGTACTTTGGTTGCTACGGGTATAGTACTTTTGGCCGTGCACAGCAAGATAGCAAAAAATACATTGCCATGGGACTCACCCTCGGCCAATCAAGTTACAGAGTCTGTGGGTGAGGTGTTATAAACTGGAATATGTATTCTTGTGGAGTCATTCCTTTGTTCTCATGTACTAAAATTTTAGAGTTTGAAAGTGTAGTTTCAAAATGCTCCTATTTTAACCAGAACTAATTTCCTGGGCTGAAATTCGGAATTGATATCTCTCACATAAAATACTTCTATTTGCGATAGATCAACACACCTGGGAAATGCCTAGTTTTTGAGTAAAATCAACCTTGTGGAGACGTGTTCACCTATAGAAATTGCCCTGTGGAGAGGTGTACAATCTTTTGTTCCCTATTATGCACATGTCTCTACAGGGTACCATGTATCAGTTCATTTCAATGCCAGATGCCAAGCAGTATTCAGGCTCTAGAAAATACTTGAAATTTCACAACAAAAATTCATGAAATTTCACAGTTATTTCCATGACAGTGCACAACTTTTCTGTAAGTTTTCCACCTTTCATTTCTTAGACGTTTCCATGACAAACTGTGCAGTTTTCACAGGACTTTCTGATCATAAAACACCTGGATAAATTGTCAAGCAGATTTTCAAAGTCTTTTTATACAATAATATTAAAATGAGCTTTGAGATGACAGTACTACCAATATTTGAAAAAACAGAAGAATGGATAATAACTACTTACAACACCTCCTATATCAGGATATTCTTTTGCTGCAATACTCGCTGTATACCCTCCTATTGACCAGGCAAAGAGTATGATATCCTTCAGCTCAAACCCAAGTCGGTGGATAGCATACTGGATGACAACATCCACTGCATTGGCCTCATTCTCAGGAAAAGGTTTGCCCTGGTACAGGAAAAACAAGAGGAATATATGAATATGTGACCGGGTGTGATGGGTTCCTATTGACCAGAGGCCATATTCACAAAACAACTTAAGTCATCAAAGCATAGGCAATATGCAACTTAGATGAGTCTTAATATTTAAGCAGTATTCATTAAACATTTTTACTAAGTGCCGCTCTTATTTTCGTGACTTCAATTTAAGTGTGGTCAGAAAAGGAATATACATCATTTGCTTTTGCTGTAATTTTCAGAAATGGGTGGAATTGGGGGGTTGGAAATATACAGCAAATATAGTTACACTGACTTTTTTGAGGTTTTGGGTTCGAAAATGCTACAAAAACCAAGAAAAACAATCATTTCCCTGTAGTCTGGTTCCCTGACTCCATATAAGAAGAAACAGAGCAGCTTACATACATTGGGGAATTGTAAGGTCAGGGAACCAGTCTAGCTGGCTTGTACCCGTTCATAGGTGTGTAATCGATTGCGAACAAGTGCAATGGTCAATTGGGGCCAGTATTTGAAAAAAAGCCAGTTTATTCCAACGCTAGTCGGCCGACCAGCGTTGGAAATTGATACAAAAATGCCACTTTTCTTGAAAATGACAGTATACCAGGTGCCATGATTTTACAGGATGCTTTACACTGTCATTCACTAACAGTCCAGCAAGGTATTTCAAAATGATTTGGTAGTTTTATTTTTTGATGTTTGCAAATGTTGTATTTTCCCTTTAAGCGAAGTTAAGTGGGCACGAGGGTGTCATGGCTGCTTTATTTCAGTCCGTTGGTTTGTAATTTTTAGGCACAAAATTTGACTTTCTGGGGGCTAAGGGAAATCTCATCAGTATCAAATTTTGCAAGGAAGCCTGGTTGAAGTTAATGTGTGACAGCCCTAGGATTGTAGGTCGTCGACATTCAAACAGATATTTTTCGATTGATTTGCGGGCCAATGGCATGCACTGTTACCACAGTGACTGTCAACTATAAAATTAAAAATAACTGTCTTACCTTCCAGGGGAGGACAAAAAATAAAACAAGGACCACACTTTCCCCAAATCTACTTTTAATTTCAAGAAAAGATACTTACAGTGCTACCGCCAAATCCTGGATGGTTCCAGCCCAACACCGAGTACTTTGCTAGAAATGAAATAAAACAAACTCATTTCAAACAAACATGATTCCTTGATCCTGATTGGTTGATTAATGGCAACAACAGTGTGATATTATCCCAGATAGCATAGTGCATATTGCAAGATCGCGCTATTCTGAGTTGCGCGTGCTTTACCTGCTGCACACACATGTAATGGAGCCCTAACTCTGATCCTTACATTTAATATATCTAGGAATACAAATTTAGTGTTTTGTAGTGTTTAATTTAGTGTTTTGTAGCAGATGTAGTGTTTTTGAAATACAACAACGGCCGGGCGCGCACAGATCTACAAAACCTAGACACGACCGTGAATGGTCAGCTCTCTTATTGCTTGGCGTATCCCGTAACATAAAAAGAGCACGTGAACGCAGACTTTTTTGCTCAGGCCAAACAAAAAAAATGGTGTGTTTACGGTAACCCGACCGACCTGAAATTTTTTAGGCCAAATTGCCGACCTCAAACTTTGTATTGCCATTTTGAAGGTTGATATTGATCATTTTTAATGAACAAATTTCAAAAAGTACTTTTAATTAATTGCCATGAACATAGACCATTTTCCACACTTGAAACTGACCATGATTTGACACAAACATACCTGTGTTAAACGTGCGAAAATCGCAACGATCTCAAAACTTGAATTCTCAAACTACATGAAGTAGGATTATTTTTGCACAAACACATCGGGGTGAACTGGTGCGCCTGGCTGACGGACGGCATGGTTCTCCCCACGTACAAACGTGCGTACTGCGAATCGGCCCGACAAAAATGCCGATCACATTTTCAGCCCCCGATATGCACAATATAATTATTATTCACGCCATTTAAATGCACAATATAATCGTTACATACGCCATTATTTCATCTTGACATGCAAAATCTTGACAAAAATCCTGTTTTTCTGATGCATGTGTGATCAAAATGCACACGATGACAGGTTCTGTCGACCGCCAGCTGACAGGCATGCAGCGCATACAGCATGGTACACTGGTTCCCTTTGCATGCCAACGGAATCAATACTATAATGAAGGACCGGAACCGGTGACTACTGCCTATACAAATGTCGTACCACGATGATGTTGTGCCGTCGGCCGAAGTTGGGTCGTAAAATACTAAACAAACATCGGTGGAGAAAGAGAATTTCTGTGAATTAATTCACAGAACTTGATCTTTATTTTCTGTGTATGTGTTTTCCATTAAAATGACAAGATTGCTAAGCTCCAACTTGTGGCATAACATCGTAGCGTGTTTCTGCAGTAGTGCAAGATTTTCGGCCACGTGGGATGGGCCGCACACAGTGCAGTAATGCACACTGACACTGGGCCGTGAGCACGGCGCGATGTACGGCCGGCCAGACTGAATGTCGGCGGCGCCAGCGGCCGTGATGTATGTTAAGCATATAGTGGAATCACCCACCTCAAAAATATTTGTTATTAGGTGAGGCAAGTTTTAATCACTTTTGATGGCCAGTCTTGGTAATTTTCGTGGCTCAAATGAAAATAATCCAGGCACAAAATAAACAAGATGCTCTATTAATCAGCACCCCCAAAAAATTGGCGAAATAATTTTTCCGACCTATTGACGCTATTTTGAAAGGCATGTAATCGGAAGTAAAATGATTTTTTTCTTCACTTTAATTTCTTAATTTGAAACTTACTTGTAAATGTAATTTTGATTTTTTTCTTTAATTCAAAAAAATAGGGGCCTACAAGATCTTCTCTCAAAAATTTCCGGGGCCCTTAGAAAGCGGGCCCCGAACCCCACGCCATGGCTTCGCAGGTTGTTGAATCACAGCAAAACTTCCCCCACAGGTTTGAAAAATCCTGGGGAGAACCCTGGGACGGTACGAATTAATTTGGAATGAAATGTATCGATTGAGTATCTTGAATGTTTGAATAATGTTTTTATACAAATATTTTGCAAAAGAACACGTATGAGCCTGCAGAACTGAAATTTAAAAAAAAATACAAAATAAAATTATTTCCCTACCTATCTACCTGGATTTTTTTCCAGACCGTAACCGTAAACACACCATTTTTTTTGTTTGGCCTCAATTTCACAGCGTAAAAAAGAATAATAGAGGTCGTGTCTAGGTTGTATTTACAGATATCCATGACGAGACCCGATATAGAAAGCGTCCGCTGAATGGTCAGAATGTCCAGGTCAAGACGCAGTCTTTTTTTTGCATAATTAATCACCGAATCAGCTCACATATAAAGACCCTTACATGTAATAGAATAACCGCTGAAAAATTCCAACAGCATGCGCCTGCCATCTTTATACCGTGCATCAAGCATGCTTGGAGATAACTTGGTTTATATCCTAATCATGCTCATGGTAGTGCGTCTGTGTTTCATACGCCACTCAGCCTTCGCCCTTGTGGCACATGGGACACAGACACACTATATTATTCTGGGTCAATAGATAGTCAATTTGTATTCCATGCACAAGTACCCCCTCATTGGCAAGAAAGGGAAAGTTGGGGGAGACAATCGAGAGAGATGTTCGAATTAAAATGCATTGCCAAAGACGCCTGACACCCACACGAAGACATTATGGCTACGAACACATTCCGATTTTAAAAAGTTGTGCGTACCTCGCGCTATATGCACGCGAAACAGAACGCAAATGTGGTGTGTCCCGACCAGTGGACTCTCAAAAGTAGTATTAAAAAAGCGCCCTCTCTTGTTGGCGCAGAGCCCATAACCTTGGGAAAAAAATTGACCTGAGCGAGAATCGGACATGTGTCCTCCTGTACACCACAACGGCACTCTAGCAACTGAACAATCTAGCCCTATGTTGGCAGTGTCTCTGGTATGGAGTTTTGTAGGTCACTGTTTCGAGCGCCTTTCCAGTCAATTCTTTGTTTAAAGGGAAATTACAACATTTGCAAGCATCGAAAAATAAAACTACCAAGTTTTTACGAAACACCTTACTAGGATGTTGGTAAATGACAGTCTAAAGCATCCTGTAAAATTATGGCAGCTGGTGTGAAGTCATTTTCAAGTAAATGGTATTTTTGTATTGGAAAAACCTAACTATTTTTCAACTACTGCTCAAAATTTATCATTTTTTCTTCAGTCCAAATTTTGTTTCCTATTGGTTGCATGTTCATGAATGGGGGCAGGCCAGCTAGACTGGTTCCCTTACCGTACAATTTTACGGCATCTATAAATTGATCCATTTAATTTTCAGTGGAGTCAAGGAACCAGACTACTTGAACATTTTTGTTTTTCTTGGTTTTTCCAGCATTTCCGAACACAAAACTTCAAACATGTCAGTGCAACAATAATTTGATCTATTATACTAACCTCTTAAATAGTTCATTTCTGAAAATTAAAGCAAAAGCCAATGATGTACATTCCCTTTAACCTGATAATTAAAGCAAAGTCTGCCAAGAGCGCTTATGGCCCATTAGGCCGGCATTTATGATTATGATGATGATGAAGATGTCTAGAAACTTTTGTCTTTAGGTGGTGTAACTGCCAAATACCCATGTAGTCCATAGCAGCACAATGGGCAGATGTGGACGGGTTGGGCCAATAATTAATGAGCGGATAAAAACCGTACCTTCTAATGGTGACACCAGACAGCCTACTTCATAGAAGCCAGCATTTCCTTCACAGCAAATAACCTGCAGATTAAAGGGAATATACATCATTTGCTTTTGCTGTAATTTTCAGAAATGGGTGGAATTGGGGGGTTGGAAATATAAAGCAAATATAGTTACACTAACTTTTTGGAGGTTTTGGGTTCGAAAATGCTATAAAAACCAAGAAAAACGATCATTTTCCTGTAGTCTGGTTCCCTGACTCCATATAAGAAGAAACAGAGCAGTTTACATACATTGGGGGAATTGTAAGGTCAGGGAACCAGTCTAGCTGGCTCGTACCCGTTTATAGGTTTGTAATCGATTGCAAACAAGTGCAATGGTCAATTGGGGCCAGTATTTGAAAAAAAGCCAGTTGTTTCCAACGCTGATCGGCCGATCAGCGTTGGAAATTGATACAAAAATACCACTTTTCTTGAAAATGACAGTATACCAGGTGCCATAATTTTACAGGATGCTTTAGACTGTCATTTACCAACATCCTGTTAAGGTATCGCAAAAACTTGATAGTTTTATTTTTCGATGTTTGCAAATGTTGTATATTCCCTTTAACGGAGACCTTTACATTAAAGGGAATATACAATGTTTGCCGTTTCAGTAGTAAATGGATTTGAGGGATTAGAATATTATAGCAAATATTGTTAAACCGACTTGTTCACGTTTTGGGCTTGAACATGCTGGAAAAACCTCAAAAAACATCATGCTCTTGTAGTCTGGTTCCCTGACCCCACTTAAGAAGAAACAGAGCAGTTTGGCGACTTCCGGGGGAAATGTAAGGTTACAGTCCAGCAGGCTTGTACCCCTTCACAGGTGTGTAATCGATTGCAAACAAAATGCAAAAAACTCATTATGAACAATTTAGAGCAGTTTTGAAAAAAAGCCAGTTTTCTCCAACGCTGGTCGGCCGACCAGCGTTGGAAAAATACAATTTTTCTTTAAAATGTCAGCACACCAGGAGCCATGATTTCACAGGGTCGGTGCTTTAGAATGTCATTCCCTAACAATCCAGTAAGACATTTCGTGATAATTTTCTGTTTATTTAATTGAACGGGGATTATTCTTTTCAAACTTAACAGTTAATGGGGTTTTAAATGAGTAACTTGTATTTTATCTGTAGTATTCACGTACCGGTTTATCTTAATGATTTGACTTAATTGTTGTAGGTTTTCGTGTATTTTTATTGAATTTTTAAATAACTTAAAGTCTTATTGTTCTTATTGTAAGGCGCATTTGATCAATTTTATTTGGAAAATGCGCGGTAGAAATTTTTACATTATTATTATCATTATTTGATCATATCGTTTTTTTGATGTTTGCAAATGTTGCATCTTCCCTTTAGATACATGTAATGTGTTTCAATAAGGGACTAAACATGTGTTTGGCCAGTTTTAAACACTATGTTAAGACCGGTTGCAATCTGGATGCTGATAATAACCCAAGCCAAAGGATATCACAAACGACAAAGTTTCAAATGAGTCATCAATACCAGTTTGTTGCCGTGTGATGACTCCTTGTTTCTCTTATCGATGACCACGATATCGATCTCGTTGCCATCTCTTGCTATGAGTTTGGAGCGCACGGCGCCGTTGTTTTCAAACAGCTTGGCTCTCCCTTCAATTAAAGCAGGCCCTGTGAATGAGAAACAATGTCAACAGCACAGTTATCATGTTTATGTACATGACAAAAATATTTAAAGCTATAGTCCATCACTTGCAGCCATCCGAAAAGTAACTGGCGTAATTACTGTTGAAAAACAAACTTGGTTGAAAGATAGTAAGGGAACTAAACTCCCTGAGAAATTATTCTTTCTGGCAAGCTGTCATTTTGAAGTAATCAACGAAAAAAGGCATTTCCAACGATGATTCTTAAGAAGCACCGTAGGAAAATTTAAATTAGTAGTTCGTTTTGTTATTCAGCGCAGCGCGCACAAGTATTGGAACGACGCACACGCGCGCGCGGTTGTTATAATTCGTCGGATCAGTGCGCGACGCCGCGTATAGCTGCAATTACAAAACAATTCATAACATGATTCAGTAACTTTTGATTTAAAATTGAGATCTTAGAATGCTGTTTTTCTCGGAATGTACAGCTGAAGCTTAGCTGAAACTTCATCAGGTTAGTTGCTCAGTATCCTTTATTAGATTTTGAACACTTTTGTTGCTTCAAACGAACAAAATGCACTAATTACAAATGATGGACTATATCTTTAACAATTTCAGTGATTGATGTGTGCAGCTGGACCACTAAGAGCAAGTTCCAACAAGGACTATTAGTCGACTAGTAGTAGTAGTAGTAGAAACATTTAATTCAATGTTGCCATTTCCACACAATAAAATGTTACAGTGCCGTGTAAACATATTATAGACAGAGCAAAATGCAATGAATTATGTAGTTGTGTATAATAATGTACATGGATCAATACTAGAACAAATTTACGACAACATTTAGGTATAAGGTGAATTAGCGTCATGCTTTTGTACCCTAACCTATCGACAGACAAGTGGACATGACCGAGAAAAACAGAGACAGTGACAAAGGACAAAATGGACAACAGTGAGAAAGACACAACCTAGAAAAACACAAACTGGTATGAGACGAGGGCATACTTCTAGATTCATAAATTATAACTAGTTATTCGAACAAACGTAAAAAACAAAAATTAAAAAACACAAACTGGTATGATACGAGAGCATAATCATCTAGATTCATAAATTATAACTAGTTGTTCAAATAAGAATTGAGTAGATGTGATCTCAGGTTTTTAACAAAGACAGAGAAGGAGGGTGATGATTTTAAGAAGTCATCTAGACTATTCCAGTATGATGTACCACATTGAATAACGCTATTTTTAGACATTTCTCCTACTAGTGCTTCTAGTGGTTAATTTGTGATGTAACTTACGCCTGCGCACTAATAGCAATGTATGAGTTTGATCCTTGCTCCCTGGGTGAAGATAACTCAATATCTGTAAATTCTTCCTCAAGCGCGATCTCACTAATATTTTGTGATCCCACAGAAACTTTTGTATTATAAGAGGGCCTTGCGGCCTATGGGCTCCGTGTGCCAACAAAAGTGGGTGCTTGTTTACCAAGTTTGAGGGCACCGTTAGTAACAAACGTTGACATTGTCTATTGCTCCTACGTATTTTGACCGATTTTACCCAAACTTTGTCAAAAGTACCAGTAGCCCAGCCCCAACATGTCACATGACCAAACTGAGGTCAAAGGTCATCATGGGTTCCTAGGGTCCAAAACCTAATTTTTTTTTATAACTCGAAACACTACTCCTTCCAGAAATTACATGGTACAATCACGTGACTCATTCTTGAACATGAATTTGTTGGCCCGCAGCTTCCCGGAGATCCCACTGAGCTTGTTTCTTTAGAATCTTCCTCAATCCTCTGTAACCCTCCACTCTATGGTAAACCAACAGCAAAACATCACCGTTTTCACGAAGAGGCGAATTTAGTATTTCACTGTCTGAACAAACATTCGAGATAATCGCGTTTAAAGTTGGTCCTTTTTTCATTTGACAATTTGAAACCTAAAGATGCATAAAGTATGCAACATTTAGATATCAGAGGAAAGAAGAGCTTCTGACCTTCCTAAATGTGGCAAACTTTAAGAAAACTTGGTGATTAGTTTTGCAGAATTAATCAATTAAGAGAAGTGGCTGTTCGTGAAAACGCAAAAAAAAAAGACCAATTAGAAAATTTGCCCCTGCGTGAAAACGCTAAAGTGACTATGCGCAGATTTCGCCCTTCTGCGGTCTGAGTCAATGCATTGTTTGGACAGTACGCGCAGATTCTGCCCCACTGCGCATGCGCCTTGAAATACGCCCCTTCGTGAAAACGTTTTATTGCACGCCCCTTCGTGATATACGCGCCATGTATTACAATGTATTTATTTACTGAAAATGTATTAATACCACATTGTGCGGAAATTCGCCCCTTCGTGAAAACGCAAAACGGCACTTTTGGCAAATTCGCCCATTCGTTAATTAGGTTAATTAAGATTTTAATTAATTTTTTGAAAGTATAGCCTCACCAGGTTGTAGATATTGATATATTTATTAATTTTCACCAAAAAAACCCAAATTTTGAAAAACAGACGATTTTCATGAAATTCGCCCCTTCGTGAAAATGGTGACGAAAACATTCAAAGGGAACCAAGCTCCATGTAAAGTAGATGTTGCTGGGCTCTACCTTCCTCAATCCTGCAAATCCTCCATTTGCCTCCATGTAAATAAACATACATGTAGCCTCAATCCTGCAAAATCCTCTGTTATTTCTTGCATGTGGTCCTTAAAATGGGGTGACACTGCCTCAATCCTGCAAAATTCTCCAGCAATCACTGCCGGTATATTGAGGCAGAGCCAATGACATCCTGGAGCAGTGTGGAGGATTTCAAGTATACATTGTATTATTGGCCTAAATTTATGTACCGCAGAACATAAACACACGATGTAACACAAGGTCCAGCCTAAGACCTTCATGACCTTGAAACAGTGCATCCTTCGAAATCAGCAACACATTTGTGCCATATGGGTTCCATGCACCAACAAAAGAGGGCGCCCTTTTACCTAGCAACAACGTCTCATGGGCGGAACATTTCGCTGGTTAACACGCACCATTCCTTGTATGTGACGCACGTTCACCAGGGGATTTGTACTATGTCCACGCAGTGGCCGCGCTTCGCGCCAAATGAATTGCAGTCGGGCAAGATGGCGTCAGTCGGTCACCCCCAACTGTATTCTCTTTGCCGGTGAGGGGGTACTTGTGAATGGAACGGGTAGCCTCAATCCTGCAAAATCCTCCATTTTGCAAAGAGCATTTTGGAGAATTTGGGAAGGTTATAGGGTAAATCCTTTCTTGACGTCTGCAACCCTCTGCAAAAGGGCCATGTTGCGCACAAATGAACCCGCCCTACAAGAACCCAATTATTGTCTGGCAGTCAATAATTTGAAATTTTGTGAAGAAATAATAATTACTTAACGTTGGTGGATGTTTTTGTTCAATGTTTTATTCAAAACTGCATAACTTTTATATTGCTAGGAAAATAGCAATTGAGTCAATTACACGTCCATCACAAGACAACAAATCTATTTTTCGAGGCGAGATGCAAAATAGCATGGGGCGCTGTGGTCCAATGGTTACGGTGTTCGACTCGTGTGCCGTGGTACACGGGTTCAAATCCTGACCGTGGGAACATGGTGCTTGTGCTCTTGAGCAAGGCACTTTACCATTATTGCTTTGTCCTTCGGATGGGACGGAAAGCCGTAGGTCCCGTGTGTTGTGTAATGCACATTGAAGAACCCAGTAACACTTGTCGCTAAGAGGAGGGGTTTGCCCCGGTGTTTCTGGCAGTGGCAGCAATTATGCGCCGCAGCACCTAGCAAAAAGGTGCTACATAATGGGTCTCATATGTTCATATACTTCATTTACCTGGATTTGGTTGCATTCTCCCCCAGCGCTTTGTATCCTCTGGCAAAAAGCGCTATAAAAATACAGTTATTATTATTATTATTATTATTATCTTTAATCATGGGGTGAATTTCAGGTCCAACTAAAAAGACTCTGTCCGTTGCGGTTGGTTTACTCACAGACGAGTGTGTTGAACAGTGGTGTGTGCCCTGGATAGATGAGCATTCTCCCCACGGTATGCATGACGGTGTAGCTCAGGAACTGCATGGGCATGCCAGCAAGTCGAGACAGCAGGCTTCCGGACGATGCCGCTTGCCTTGGGTTGGGCCAATTGAGGAGTGAGGACTTGATCTTGCTTTTATCACTATAACAAGAGTAGAGACAATTCAGCATTTCCAGTCACTATTAGAGATGTATTTGAATCAATTACAAGATTTGAGGCTTTGCATGGTGGAGATACTAAATAATGAAAGGTTTGCGGAAACACCATGTGCGAATAATTTCTCAACTAAGAGAATGGTTCTGAAAAGAACCAGAGTTATAAACTCGACGTTCCGGTCAGTATGCTGACCGGAATCGGCCATTGTCAAACATTCCCACATCAACGACCACAAAGTTGATTGGGATGCGGCCGAACTCATCGCACCGATCCAGTTCTGGCATCCAAGACGCATATGGGAAGCCATCGAGATCCGCAAGCACAACACAGTTCCGCAAGACATCGGGTTTCACCTCAACGACATCTGGCTCCCACTCCTCCAGACTGATGGGTCTCCTATACCCTAGGTCCTCAGCTACCACCTTAGACTGATGGGTCTCCTATACCCTAGGTCCTCCCTCTACTGACACTGCAACCCTACTGTTCCACTTCAGTGGGCACCAAGCTTGCTCTAGGATCCCAGCTACTTGGCATCCACACAGGATGCAACTTCACACTTCATCGATTTCGCTTTTGCTACTTAAGTATTTACTTTCTTAGAGTTTAGGCACTCTCCTGAAGACGGTCAGAGCATACTGACCGGAACGTCAAGTTTATACCTCTGGTTCTTTTCAGAACCATTCTCTTAGTTGAGCAATTATTCGCATACGGTGTTTCCGCAAACCTTTCATTAATCAATTACAAGTCATATCACAAGTCAGGTTAAGAGTAACAGGTGATGAACAATGACAAAGGAATGTCTTTGTCACCGTTCATTTGAATAGCTTGTGACTGGTCTTGAAACCTGATGACTTGTGATTGGCTTGTGAAGACCTACATATACGGTGTCTCATGAATGAATCTACAGGGTGAGTATTAAGGAAACCCAAATGGCGCCCCTTATTTTGTTAAGAAGTTCTGCATCCAGGGCTTTCACGATCTAGGATGTGAAAGCCCAATTAATAAGCTTTCTCCTAGTACAAGAATCATTCAAATCACTCATACACTTTTCGAGTTATAGAATTTTGAACACAAACATTGTTTTAAACGTTGTCCACGGATCACATTTAAGGTACGTGACAGTTCAGTTAAATGAAACCATGCTGTATTATAAAAACGATATCAGAATAATCCCATAAGTCTTCGGGTAGCCAAGTAGAAGGTAAGGCAAGACTAAATGCTTGACGTTATACAGGCCTCGAAATAGTACTAGCCTGGCGTACAAATTCTAGCGAAAAATGCTCCGGGCTACCTAAACTTGGTTCCTTGGTTGCCCGGTGGGCTAGTGAAAAATTCAGTATTAAACCTACCTGTTAAAATTTTGATCAAACTATATAATGCTTTCAGTGATAATAAATACACGATCGCAAAAACTAAGTCGTTGTGGATGTTTTTATTTGTGTTTTTGAAACGTGATACTCGCGCGATAGGGCGATATAAGTGACCGGACCGCGAATGCCACGAACAGAGTAGACTGGTGGGTTGTAGTATATAGATACATGTAGCACACGGTACGGTGCGGTACCGCACGTGCACACTATTCTCGTTCACATCGTTTATCAAGTTTTCGAACCTTGACTGGCCACAGCTAGCTGTACTGGGAGTTGCAGGAGTCCTTGAAAGCGGTTGATACGAAGTCTACACAAAGCCGCGTGCAAACAGCACCCTCTTTGATTGAAAAAAAAAATCTCGTTCACCACGCACATTCTGAGGTCCAAAAGCAAGCAAAATGTGGTGATTTTTGCCAAACGTAAGTAACCCAAATGAGGGGAAAGACGGAGCAAAGAGAGCGTATGATCCATCGTATGACAAAAATAACTTAAGTCCAAATAACAGGAACAAATTGTATCCTTTACAAGTATGTGGGCAAGGAATAATGTGGAGCAAGGAATATGGCTGTGGCTGTTATTATAACACTGCTGTTAATAGCCACAGCCTTAGCCATTCAGACAAGAGACAAGAGAAGGTATTGCAGACTTACCCGCTGATGTCATTCCATCTGAAATCTGTTGGCCAATGGCTGAATTCAAAGTCATAAAACTGGAGCTTCTTCTGTAACAATGACAAAAAGTGTAGATAAAGTATGGGCAATGCCAGCGTTATGAAAGGAAGTGTTATGTCTGTGACAGAGTCAATTAACCCTGATATCTAATTCATGATTCAGTCCTACGCGCAAGCATTTGCATAAGTTTGCAGCGCCAGAGCAAAATGAAATGCTCATTTACTAATTGTGTGTTTCTGGTTTGGGTGTATCGGCGCAGATACCGCACTGCTAAAGAATACAAAACGCAGATATGCAAATAGCTGTAGTAAAATATTATAAGTTATCCCGCGAGCGCGAGTGGAACACGGAATAATGTAGTGCGTCTGTGTCCCGGCCGAGTGGTATGTGGGACACAGACGCACTACATTTTCCGTGTTTCACGAGCGCGAGCGTGATAACGAATTCATCTTCAAGCAAACTTGACGCACTAAAAAGATTTTCAGCGGTTATCTAAATTACAGGTGCGTGTAATGGCGTGCCCACCTTGGAATACACAACACGCAGAGTGCGGTATGGACCGTGGCTGTGCTACATGGTTATATGTAGCACAGCTTGTTGCCACGGATCGACCAATCAGGATCGAGGATTCAAGTTTACTTGAAGATAAATATATACATCGCCTATCTGCCCGAAATGGGTTTCAATATAGATTCTTTCTTCATGTGCCTTCTGGCTCTTTTCTTCTTGTTTTGCTGAAGTATTTTGTCATTTATACTTTGACATGTATTATTAACAAGTTTTCTCCATTTTGGACGATTATCTACAGTGCTACTCCACTCATCAAGTACATTCCCACATTTTAGTGCACTTTTGCAAGAGTCTTTAAACCTGAGTTTAGGACGTCCAACCTGCCAACTGATCTTGAGCCATTGGCAAGTTCACAGTACATTATGCTCTATACTGGTCTTTCGTCGTCCATTCTTGCAACGTGGCCGAACCAGCGCAGCCTGTTCCTGACCAGTTTCAACTCAATGTCCTCAACACCAGCTAACTCTAGGACTTCATCATTAGTGATAAAGTCGTCCCACTCAATCTTTAAATTAGCCTCAGATGTCTCTGCTGTGTAGTACGTAGTTGACAAACTTGATGGTAGTAAAGGGTCCAAGTCTCACTTCCATATAAGAGTAAGGGCATGAGACATTGGTTGTAGACCATTATCTTGGTTTCTACTGTTAGATCTCTAGAATCAAACACCCTCTTTCTGAGTCTGCCAAAAGAACAGGATGTGGCTTGGATTCGAGCATTGATTTCCTTTTTCATTGAGCAATCTTTGCTGACCTGACTGCCCAAGTACTTGAAGTCGTCAACATTTATCAACTTTACTCCATCAACATAAAAATCTGCTGGATTTCCAATACACATACACTCAGCTTTAGCTGTGTTAACTTTGAGACCCATTTTCTTTGCTACAGTGTCATATGCAGTTAGAAAAAAAACCTTAGTAAAACCTTACTAAGTTTTGAGTTTTCCTGTCTTGTGCACCAACATGGATGCGTCCAGCAGGCTCATTTGTACAGTGAATTATCACTTTAATATTTCAAAATATAGGGCCAATGATTTTCCGTTTCAGAAAAGTGCAAATTCCGTTTTCAAAAATCCTGAATTCCGTTTCAGGCTGAAAAATTCCATTTCACATTTATTCAATACATAAAAAGGCATTTAAACATATACCATGTACACAGTAAATAATTCCAAGACCATAATGAAATAGTCGTTTGGTTGGAGCGCGGGAAAACTGCCCCAAAAAGATTGCTATTTTATCAACGGCCGATCAATGTACAGACATACATGTAGTATTTAACTTCACCACAGTCAAGTCGTATACTGCACTGCCACTGCTCGTCTGTTCAATCAATCATCAATAATTCGTTTTGTACTCAATAAATTTAACGAAATTATGTTTTTTATCAATAAAATTGCAGAAATTATTTTCTTCAGATTCAAATTCCGTTTTCCGTTTCGAGGAGCAGATTACGCGAATTCCGTCCGTTTTCCGCGATCGCGGAAAATCATTGGCCCTAAAAATAGCTCCATTGCTGAGTATCATTCTCCAGCGTGTCCGTCTCACCTTTAGTTCCTGACTGTCGTTTACTTTGGCACTTTCCAGCAATGCCAGGAAGGAGCAGTATTCTTCATTAGTATAACGGCCGATCCCTGAAGTGAAAAGGCACGCATAGAAATCCAGTTTTAATTTGTTTACCTTTTCAGGACAAAACTTGATAAAAAATGACACTTAAAAAATGTATTCAAGTAAATACTTAGCTGAAGGGGCTCACAAACTGTGACCTACAAGCAAAGAAGTTGGATAGCGACTGCCAAGGAGGAATACAAAAATTATCAAACACAGATTTTGGTTGCTCGATATAAGGTGTACCAACCTGACCATTGAGGTTTCTTCCAAAGAAATAGCGAATGTTAAGTAGGCAAACAATACATTCAAGTAATTTTGACGCAAAAGGATTGTTGAGAAGTGTTTTGCGAAGACACAGAAGACAACAGGATAAATTTTTTTAAATTTATTTATTCATTTTTTATTTATTTATTTTTGACTTGCCGATAACATTTTTAGGATCGCAGCTTAAAAATATGGTCGATCGGGAAACTGGAAGCAGAATTTTATTTTTGGCCTTAACAGGGTTGTACAAAGGTCGTCTGTAAATTTTTTTGGACAGTTTGAAAAGCCCTCAATGGCTTCAAATTTGCCCATCCAAAAACACTGTTTGGAATTTGTTAAGGGTAGAGTATATCATTTATCATTGTGCATTTTTTTGGCTTGAAGCAACAAAAGAGCTCAAAATCTAAAAAAGGGTGCTGAACCACTACCCTAATGAAGATGTAGCTCAGTGAATTCAGTATCTTCTGAGCAAACCATATTCTGGGATCTCAATTTCAATTCAAAAGTTAGGCCCGAAATCAGCGTTCGGGTCTGGGTCTATGGGACATCTTCTCACTCGGACGATTGCAGCTACGTGATGTCACACACTGAACCGATGAATTGTAGCAACTACATGCGAGTGTGTGTCGTGTCAATGCTTGTGCACACCCATTCATGGCTTTGCAGGATAAACAAGTCAAGTGTGTTTACAAACACAAATGCCCCGCAACCGTGACTGTTTCCATGACATAACACCACTCTAACATCAACTTACATGTACCTTGGTCAAATGGAACGTTCATTGACAGCATTAGTGTCTTCTGTAGGTTTTATATGAATTAATCCCTAATCCCTATGATCTCAGATTAAATACAAGATTTCTATTGTTTTAGCCACTGTGACCTTGACCCTTGACCTTTCGACCCCCAATGCGATAGGCTCCTTAGGATTGCCAAGGACAATCCACAAACCAAATTTGAAGTTCATATGTAAAGTATATCTCAAGTTATCACGCTGACAAAATTTCTTTTGTTTTAGTCACTGTGACCTTGACCCTTGACCTTTCGACCCCCAATGCGATAGGCTCCTTAGGATTGCCAAGGACAATCCACAAACCAAATTTGAAGTTCATATGTAAAGTATATCTCAAGTTATCACGCTGACAAAATTTCTTTTGTTTTAGTCACTGTGACCTTGACCCTTGACCTTTTGGCCCCAAATGCAAAAGGCTTCTTAGAATTGCCAAGGACAATCCACAAACCAAATTTGAAGTTCATATGTAAAGTATTTCTCAAGTTATCGCGCTGACAAAATTTCTATTGTTTCAGCCACTGTGACCTTGACCCTTGACCTTTCGGCCCCAAATGCAAAAGGCTTCTTAGGATTACCAAGGACAATCCACAAACCAAATATGAAGTTCATATGTTAAGTATTTCTCAAGTTATCGCGCTGACAAAATTTCTATTGTTTCAGCCACTGTGACCTTAACCCTTGACCTTTCGGCCCCAAATGCAAAAACTTTCTTAGGATTACCAAGGACAATCCACAAACCAAATTTGAAGTTCATATGTTAAGTATTTCTCAAGTTATCGCGCTGACAAGATTTGTCCGGACACACACACCCACCCACCCACCCACCCATACTTGTTTCACATGACTAGTGTGGACTTTCCATTGCTTTCGTGTAGTTAAGAAAAACCAGTGAAAAAACTCATTTTTCTCAAACTGTGAAAACTCTTTCAACCCAATTTTTTTTCTATGATTCCCTTTAGTGTTTCTCTTCATTCTGCTACAGATAAACCTAACCCAAAAATGCCTCTAAACCTGTTTTCCAGAAATGGGGAAACACTGTGTGGACGTGGGGCAAGTCCACACAACGTCGGTGCTACCTACATTATGTGGACGTCTTTTGTTCGGAAGTCCACACTGCGTATGTAAGACAAACTCACCCACCCACCCACCCACCCACTAACACACCCACCCACCCACGGAAGGACAAGGCGGAAACAGTATGCCCCATCGGCTTCACCGCGGGGCATAAAAAAGGGAATACTAACGGAAATTTCCAAAAATGCATCTTTGGAAATGACTTTCTTTTCCAATTTTCTTCAAAATGACTTAATTTCACAGGGAGTTTAATGTCATTAAGGGCCTTCTATCTGTAAACTTCTTGGGTAGCTGCAAATGAGATACTTTACATGTACTTTTAACATTGAAGCAACTCACCTCGGATACACAGTGCGAAGGCAAGTATGGGTAGGACTGTACCTACTACCTTGCCAATACCGAGCATACCTTCATAGCTGAAATAATCTGTGAAACAGCAAAATTAGACCAACGATTAATTGCATCTATATTGAAATTTCATTGGTCCAATACTTATTTTCATTGCGTCATGTTTGAGTTAAAAGTGTGCAAATGTCAGACTTGTATTCGAGTCACCAAACGTTGAGTCTGAGTCTGATTCACCTCTCCCAAGTCCGAGACCAGAGTCATGCAGGTCGAGTCCGAGTCACAAGTCACAAAGGTCAAGTCCAAGTTCGAGTCACAAGAGGGGTTGACACGGAGAGATCGGCGGCACAAAGGGGTTGGCCACTAAGATCTCCAATTACTGCACAAAGGCATTAGGCGACTCTTGGGGCTGCTGTCTTTCAACACTCCTTTAATACTCTGCAGTGGTTAGGGTCTGGCCAATGGGAGTCTACAGGCTTGTGGTGTATATTAGGGGTGAAGATTACATGGAATCTTGGCCTTATTGGCCCATTGAAAAAAAGAGTTATGACCATATTTGGAAAATGTGGAGAATTTTATCACCACGTGGCCACACCGAGGGTTAATATGAGATATATTATGAGGTACCGCTAAAAACCTCACAGTGTAATTTGCCCATTTTTTCCAAAGCTTTTATGTAATTCAGCGGACTGCAAATACAGGAACAATGCCTTAACTGACATTGATAGATATGATAGGTCAACCCTGATGAGTGCTTGTCAATGATGGATTAATTAGTTCAGTGACAATGAATGTAAAGAAGGTTCGCTCATGCATATCCCAGCAAAACAATGACATTGCCCTCTAAGATGGCTGCTGCACAAAGCAGTATTCAAGGTCATCCTTTCTTTCAAACCCCTTAAACAGATTTTGGCTGTTATATGATTTAATCCATGGGGGTTCTGGCAGATGGTAACCAGCCTGTACAAAAGCTATGGGAGTGGAAGTGGACAGATTTTTGGATGGTTTAGGACAGTTATATGTCTGTAGGAGGATTTAATTAAAAGCCTCGTCATTCAAGTTTATTTCCACAAAAAAACTCAAGCACAAAGATTGATTGTTAAACAGAATCTCTCCAGCAGGGATGGTAACATACAACATGTAACCCTAACCCCCTAGGCTCTTGCACTAGAAAGTATACCAAACCTAACAAATTTCAACAGCTGCATACAGGTCTGTAAGCACTGGTACCAAAACTGCCAAACTCCAACAGGCCTTGTACGGGGAACAGTACTAAACCTGCCAAACTCCAACTGTTGGAGTATGATTGACTTGGTATGGATGGGCCTATGCATTGTCGAGTGATTGGATAGGGATGGTACCAAACCTAACAAAATAAAGCAATATGTACATGCACATTTGACCACAAGCTGTGCTGAGGACCGTGGGTGAGCATACCCACGAAAAAATACCAGTGAACTCCAACATGTTCACAAATCTCATGCCCTTCTGCCCCGAACCTCACAAAATTCAACAGGGTCTCCCTGGGCCTTTGGTACCCAGTCAATCAAAGTCCAACACCAGCTGGCCAGTGTTCGGTACCAACCCTGCCAAAATCAAGCAAAACCCGCTGTTGGAGCTTGATGGGCTCAGGGTTGTTAGGGATAATGAATGTTACGTGAGGAATTGGCTACATATTTGATACATGCACTTACTTTTGCGATACAAGTAGGCCAATAAGAACGGAGATGTGTAGTAAGAAAAGGACCAGCACAATGAGATCTGTTAATGAAAAAAAAACATGTTGAAATACATTTACTAAATGAATATATTTTGGTGGTTGGTTGGTAATGTTCATTAAATGATTCCAGCAGCGACCACATATATCTCCAAGGCTCCTTGCGATTAGGAGGATTGAGGCTGAATGACACACACGTGTCATTTGATTGTGACTGATGCATTGTGTTTAGCACGTAAGCTGTACCCTGCATTGTTTATGTTCATCCGTGCATAACTGAGTCCTGCATTTCGCTCAATACCACACTGCTTTTGAATGTCATTGGCACTGCCCCAACCCATTAACAGTGATTGTCGGAGGATTTTGAGGGATTGAGGCAGCTAGACCCCTCCACTGAACAGAGTCAACAAATAACTGATTAGTTTGGAGGACTGAGGCTGAATCAAATTTTTATGTGGTGGCAATTGGAGGATTTTGCAGAATTGCTAACATTTACTAGCCAAAAGAGCGTAGGGGTTAGGGCTAATACCTTGTTTGTCTTATACACATGTGAATGAGTAAAGTTTGCTGAATTTTGCTTTAAGGGATTTTCCACAACCAGGGTCTAAGTCTGGGTAAAGAGCTCGAAATTACAACTGGAAATCCCTTTAGAAAAGTCACAGCCACTCACAATTCTGACAACATTGTTTCCCTGGCGTTCCAAAACACTTGGTTGGTACTCATGTCCCTGTAAATTAAGAACAGGAAACAATTTATAAGTTACGATTGGGAATGGGATTGGGGACAACGTTAAGGGTTTGCAGACATGGATGGGGCCCTTACAGAAATTCTGGCAAGCTTGTCTGCAAGCTGGCCCTTCTGACGCGCTCGCTGTGCACGATTCTCACATACTAGAAGTATGACATGGCTGAAGCTTAACTCCAGCTATACCGGAGAGTGACCTGTCACGTGGGAGGGATTAACCATTAATAGGGAAAAGGACTAAGGAGTCCGATTTTCATAGGAGTCCGATTTTCATTTCACACTGGAGTCGTCTTTTTATCGAAACTAAACAGCTAAGGGGCCCTAATGCCCCGCGCCTATCAAATGTTTCCCCCACCCCTCCCTCCCCGCGCTGCCCCAGGTCCGATGTCGGGATTTGGTCACGTTTTCATACCCCAGGGTGGGGATTTTGGTCACTCAAATTGTTAATGTTGGCGTACTATGTAATGGAAAGTTCAAAGGCAATCACTAGTGTGCCCCACCGTAACACGTATGTAAGTCGGGGCATGGTTAGCTGGAGTTACCCAGCCCTGAATTTTATCATTGGGTTGTCATGTATGACTATGAGCATAGTCATAGTTCTAGGAGTAGGTCGGGGATTGTCACTTAAATTTCGCCTGAGGGGTGGGGATTTTGTCACTTCAAAAGTGACAATGCCCACGTATTGGGTGGGGCAGCCCGGGAGGGGAGGGGTGGAGGAAACAATTGATAGGCGCATAATGGAACGTTACAGTACACTACGAGCCCCATTCAAACTGTCGTGTCCGGAAACTGGGTCACACTTGGGCAAACGGTGCATGTTGTAGCCTAGTGTTAAACACTTTGTACAACGTACAGTGATACCAACATGCGTTGTGTGATGCTAAATAAAATTTCTTATCCAAAATCCTCCTCACCAGAGCATCTTGCTGAGCATGAATCCTGTAGAGTTGGGGGCCAAAAATACAACGGCGAAGCGATGCCATCCTTGACAATCAGTCGTCGTGAAAATGATATGGCTATGGGAAAGAGCGCCGCTTACGGCAGATGGGTAAACGCGCATGACGCCAAGGTGAACTAGAGCTGCAATCTGCCGTCTGTTGGTGGTCAACTCATCCGCGATTTTCACGAATGAGTAGAGAAGCTGCATATTCATTATCTTTTCCATTCGATGCTCATCGTACAAAAATCCTTATATTTCCAGGAGATCTGGAGTCATTTCATGACCCAAATTTATGCTAAAAGTTGGCTCTATTTAGCTTGTGTGTCCATGTTGGCGTTTTCATTTCGTCACCGTAAAATTTATACAAGTCTTATCCGCAGACCAAAGCTTTAGCAAAAAGACTTTTGAATCACGCATATTTTGTTCTCAAGATAAAAGGCAAAATATTTTCTAAAGTTAAAATTTTGTGTCCATGTGAGGTGTCAAATAGAAAAAAAAACAGCCACCGTCTGTCATACGGTGGGCCATTTGGTGTTATTTGTCTCAGGCCAGGCGTGAGTCATTGTCAAATGTACATTTGAAAACATGTACATGTAGACAGGCTTTGTTCCTGAATGACCTTGACTGTTTGAAATAATTACTGAGACCCGGCTCATTGCAAAAACGAAAATATTTAGCCCTGACACAGCAGGCAGTTGCTTTATTGAAAGTTAACAGTTTGCAACTGCAATCACAGTTAAATCTATCTGTTAAATCACCACAATAATACCCTGAGTATTAGAGTCTTGAATATTTGCCTTTTTTTCTCCGACAACACCATTTTATTCTTTCTCTAAATTCTTAGTGCTGAGCATCCTCTTTCCACAAGCCAGTGCAAGACTAACTTTCCCTGTAAATAAATATTGTTTGATCGTGTTTTCCTTTCAAATTATTTTATTAACTTTAATTTATTTTACCCTCATCTAAGCACTTGCGGGTTATTCACGAAACCCCCTAAAATCGATCTGCGAAAGTTTCCGATACGTATTTGAAGAGTCATTGCAAATATGTTTCGCAAAGTTTTGCTTTAATTTTTGTGACTCATCGAGTCTTATTCTTTCGCTCAAGTCGGGTAGAGTCTTCTGGTGGTGAGAGACTCAATTCGAGTCGAGAACTTGCTCACGGTAGTGACTCGAGTCATTTACCCGCAGCCTGAGGGACTCGAGTCGAGTCGGGTCACCAACAATTGTGATTCGAGTCATTACAACTATCTGGTCGTACTTCGATCAAAAATTGGAATCAATCTCCAATCAAAGCAAAAATGACAACGCTTACTAGAAACAAGATAGGGGCTCAAGACCTTGTATCGCAGTGGACTTATGAACACTGCAGCAAATATAATGCACTGATCAAAGTTTCTTGTATAATATACACTGCAAATATTAAGTTATATATTTTCCCATTTTTCCAGTTATATTCCCCATTTCTCAATAACAGCCCACAATCACAATTCCAGATGTTAAACCCCCAAGCATGCATCACCTTCCCCTCGCACCGAGGAGGTCCCAAACATATTACTTGAAGTGATTTAATTACACTAGACCAGCCCTTTAATTGTTCTTACAATTTCAGTTAATATGGTTCTTGCTCAACCTTCATACTCCCATGATGATGTTGGTGATATGCCAAGACAGTCATTATGTTTTATTCATTTTTAACCAGTTTTGTTTCAGAGTCCTTACACAAGCAAATTTACTCTCTCCCAATATACATAAGTACTTGCCTGATACTGTGAATTCTTGTTTCTGTGCTGAGTAAAAATTAAAAAAAATTCTTCACCGTATAAATCTAAATCTTATTGTGTCCAGTTTTAATCCTATATACTTCAAATTCTGACCAACAAAATCAAAGTTTTCCTCATAGGCCTTATAATAATTATATACCAGAGTTCTTATGTAGCGCACGTATCTACCATCAATTAGGTAATGAAGGCGCGGGAAATTTTGTCTATTATAAGTTTTCCCACACATTTTAAAACTTTTTTTCATTACAATTCATAAACGGCTTACTTCCATTACGTCGAAAATTCATGATCTTGCTGTTCCCCATGTTCAATTTTATCTTCGGTCTTTTCGTAATTTCATATAGACCTAGGCCTACCTTAGCCATACTTTTTTTTTCGTGAAAGGCAATCAATTGTGTCGTCTGCAAATGCCGAACTTAATAACGTCAGATGAAGCCATTTCGGTAATTTTGCAATCAATGTCAATACATTTCATTCAAATTCGTCTCATGATTGTATGCTATCTTCGATGTTTTCACGTTTTCAGCTGTTGTTCATTTCTACTTTCAAACATGTTCACTTTATTTGTTTGTGTCTGTTTTCTCCCTGTTTGACGTAGGTCTATAACCTTAAATAAGCATTGTTCATGTTATAATTATTATGCAAAATAATATGTTAATACTTGCTTTTTTTGTATCCACAACTGAAAGAATATATACACAGGCAAATAAAAATTCGTACTTTCCATTTCATGCAAGAAATAAGTAGGCCTTTAATTATGTACTTATGAAAAGCAAAATGCATTTATAGTTTCACATCTTTCGGCAACAGTCAACTCAGCTCTTGTTCTTGTCCTTTGGATTGGTTGTTAAACCTTCAATTTCTTGTCTTCCAATACACCATTCTTGAAATCAATTTAATCGTTCTAGATGATCATCAGGTGAGACAAATTCCATTGAAATCTGACGACATCGAAAGGACAATGTTGAAATGTATTGATCATTTGGAATGACCAATGAATACATTCGTTGTAGCATTTGCGCCTTCCAGTTTTCTCGAGACGAAATTGAAGTAACCGTGTATGAATTTGATTTTCAAAATGTGCGGGAAAACCTATTAAAGACATGTAAATGAAGATGAGACCCACAGTATGTAGTACTTTATAAGGGTATACTGTTACGCATCTTGCAGCCACTACAATATGCCAAGGACGACTTCATCATCGGCGAAAGCAGCCATACCGAACCAGAACTTGAGGAGATCACATGTTGATCGAAAGCAAAATATTCAGATTTCAGTTTTCAGTAAAGCCGGCTGCATGGATGACGAAAACATTCTGGAGAAAGGAACTGGCAAGAATCAATCCCCCGAAAGACTGAAGAGTATACAAGCAGCAGAAGAATCGGCCCTCGAGGAACTGGAGAGCAGAGAGCGACAACAGAGAACAGCTGATCGACAACATAGGGTTGAGTTAGCTCGACTGATCATATTTTCGTGGTATAATAGCATGAAAATTCTGTATGATTTTAACGATACCACCTATACCCAAAACAGGTTTCTTTGGTTTACTTTGGTTCACCACAATCCCATGTGAATAGAATTTTTTTTTTGGGGGGGGGGTATTTTCTTCTAAATCTTTGGACATCAGAGAAGTGAACAAAAAAGCACAATAATTTATAGAATCAAAATCTTTGTCTCTGTTCCGTTTGTGCAAGGGTGTGAAACTGTTTTTCATGCTGATGAGCGGAGCGAAGTAGCATGAAACTAAAATTAAAAGCGGTCCCTTCTGGACCCAACGCCATAGGGCTTCGCTCTACGCGCTCACCTATAGATCCGTTTGGGTTTGTAAAGGCTGGTCGATCGGACCTGCCCCCCCCCCCCCCCCCCCCCCCGTTCCAAATTCCTGGCTACGCCTGTGTTTCTGGTTTTCAGGTAATTGTGATACTCTTGTGATACTTCTCGTTTGCTTGTGGAATCTTCGTGTGTTTTGTATTTTATAACAATCGTTTTGGATTATTGGACTGAAAATGTACTTCAAGCAACGCATGTGACCCTTACTTCTGGTTGTACTCAATCCGTTCAAAGAATATCACCATTGAAACACTAGCTAATTCAATAACTCCAAACTCGAAAATGATGTTTAAATGTTGAACTTCTGCTAACAAAAGTGGTTAAAGTGGTCAGATATTGCTCCAGATCGCATCACAGAGCGTCTAGAATCCAATGTCTATCCCACGCCATTTAGGCTTCGCATTATAGTTCTGATCAAAGATACACATGTATTATGTAACACCCCCACCCGCCACTTTTGAGAAGCGATTGACGCCCTTGGTGCCAAGTTTGCCATGCTTTTATAGAGCTAGGACCTATACCAGTTTGACCTGGCTTGATTGGTACAACGCTTCGTACTTTGAATTTGGTGTCGGTGCCTAGGGCGGAGTAGGGCCTACGGTACAATGGTGCCTAGAGCCTACGAAACACTTAATCCGGACCTGGTTATCAGAATTCAATAATAAGGCCCAAACCTTGGAATAATGAATATACTAAAAAATGCAATTAGCTGGCTTGACAGAATTTGATTGCTGATCTTGTGCGCAAAGCCTGCAGATTTGAAGGCCGTCGCGCGCATTTAGCGATTACATAATGTGTGGGTCTTTGTAGTATTCATGGTAATTGCTGTCTGTACGGACCAGTTATAGGTTGGCTGAGTCGTTAATCCTTTTGTGTATGATGTGATTTATGCTCATCCTGCATCTTATTATTACTAAATACCCTTTGAATGTATTGGGAGATCCATTATGTCTGGCTCCCGTGGAACTTTCTACGAAGTAATATAATTCTTGAAAACGTATGCCGTCCCTAATGAGCGAGCTCAGTTCTTGTATGCCGGTGTAAGAGCATAGAGCAAGGAAGAGTAATCGGCTGCCCCATTCTACTCGTGAACATGGGTAATCAGTACATGTACATTGCGATCGTAGCACTTGGTGTATTTTTGGCCAAAACAGCGGCCAAAGATAAACCCACTGTTACTTTGGAACAAGGTGATCTGGTCGGCACCACCGAGACTTTTGAGGAGTCCCAATTCATCCGTGTGGACAAAACCATTGATGTCTTCAAGGGGATACCATTCGCTGAGCCGCCCGTGGGGCAGCTGCGATTCAGGCCCCCGGTGGCAAAAGAGCCGTGGGTCGGTACATACGACGCTACGTACTTCAGAGATGCCTGTATGCAGAACCCAGCATATGTGGGTAATGCACCCGTGAGCGAAGACTGCCTACATCTCAACATCTATGCACCAAAACCCGCATTGGTGAGTGTGAATTCAAGAAAAAGATTGAGACCTTCAATCAACGGGGTCCGTTCGTATAAGGTCCGTTCGTATAAGTCCGAGATCTCATTATAGGCCTACAAGCAGCTATGCCTGGGGTCCGCTCATGAGTCCGACGCCTCATAAATCCAACAAAATCGCATCCCCCAACCAAATAAAGGCCCATTATGTCCGACGCCTCATAGGTCCGATGCCTCATAAGTCGGCCTCATAGCTCCGACGCCTCATAGGTCCGACGCCTCGCCATGGCCTTTATCTACGTAGGTAGTTCAGTAAATTGGCCACATTTATGGGGCTACCCCAAACCAAATAAAGGCCCACAAGTCATATGTCTTATAGGTTCGTCGCCCCATAGATCCGACGCCTCAAAATGTCATCCCCCAACCAAATACGGTTATGTGGTTGCTAAGGCAAAGTGTCTGGTGTTGTTAGGCAAAGCTAATCCGATTACGTACATCTACTTAGACGCTATAATAGAGCGGTGAAATCCATGCGCCCCCCAAAAAACATGGCCTTTTGAACGTTGTTTTGCTCAGAAAATATAGTCAGTATGATTGAAATGTTAAATTATAACGGAAGACGACATTCTAAACTTCGTGTCAGTGAAAAAAATCTCGGTCATCGATGTAAATCTGACCTTCAAGTCTGGAAGAAATCGTTCGAAAACTTCCCCAAATGCATGTATTAAGCTCAATTTCTAGGAATCTCTCCAAGTTGTTATTTCACGAGTATAGTTCAACACTTATATCATCTAAAAATATTCTGAATTTAAGCTTAATCTGTTGTTGCAAACGCTAGTATACCAACTAGAACCTTCTCCATGGAAATTTCGACGAGGATTTTCTGTTCCACGACCGACGTGCATTGTTCAGCAAAGCACCGTAGGCGCTATACGGTTGACCGAGTATATGGTAGATTAGCATATTCATTAGCGTCACTCGGCGTTTTTTGGCGTGGGTCTCGGTATCGACCAATGGAAGCCGGTTAAAAGGGTGATATTTATCAATTAATAACGCGTGAGGGAGGCTTTTCTCCAAATTTATACTGCATACTGCATACTGCATACTGCTCGTACCCCCCGCCCTGCAAACAGGGCGGGGGGTACGAGCGAATGTTTTTCTCCGCTACCTCCCGTGACAGGCACAACCTCGTATGTCACATGTCATCCATCCAGAAAACAACAAAACCACGGTCATCTTTGTGGCTTCCAAGACTGCAACCTGTCTTTCCCAACAGCATATCAGCTGGCGAAAGACAAGAAAACTGAAGGTCACCAGTGCAAAAGAGGAAGACCGACAACTTCACGCCGTCACTGAACTAGACACACATGTACATGGGTATACATGTACATGTTCAAGTATATGTACATGTTCAGTTTTTTATTAATCGAAATTAGGTGGGTGGGTGGGTCAAAATAATTTGGAAAAAGTCGAAACTTTAAAACATTGAACATTCTGAATGGCCCCTTAAAGCACTGTGACCGCAGGCTACAAGCGGCATTTGAACAGGATCGTCGCCGTCTTTTTCAGTTGGTAACCAACAACCTCCCTGTATATGCTGCATAATAAAGTCATGTCACGCCGTTCCTCTTTTTTTTTGAAAAAGAAAAATATATATATATATAATTACGACAAGATACATGTATGTTTTTACAACTGCGCAGTTGTTAAACGTGAGTTGTTAATTACAGTTATCGATGTGCAGTTATTGGTCCGTGAAAGTGCTATCTGTCCCCGTAATTTGAAGATACACGTACATTGAATTGTTTCCAGATAATTAGTTATCGTGTCTTTTCGGACACTTTAATTGGCAATACATCATTTATAAAATGTAGTATTTTGGGAAATTTCATAAGTTTTAGTTCACTGAAGGTAGGGCCTATAGAGCATTTTGTTCGTCATGAAATGATTGTTTCAGTGATGTTGACCATTTAGCCAGTTCTATATTAGCCAACTGCGAACAAACACTTTAAAAATCATTCGTTTTGGCGATGTATGACAACTGCGCATGTGTATTAATTATTACCATGTTAGTGTCCACAAAGCATTGCAAACTGTTTCTTCTATAGCTTTAATGAGCGCGGATCTCCACTGTGTAGAGATAAGTGTTGGTAGCTGAATCTGCATTCCGAGTAATTTTTCGTGCAATCAAAAACAGTTAGAAACTTTCGTTCCCAAAAAAGTTTAGACAGAAGACCCCCAAAACACATCGCTGTCCAAACGCTTTCTCTTTGGCAAAACGTTACTCCGAACACGACGTACTCTTCAATTTTGATGGTACTCATATGCGTTTGCACGCACACGATGGATACTTATCCCGAAAAGAAATCGTCAAATCTTGATTTGCACATGCACAGTATGAATACCGAACTGGCTTATTGTGCATGGACGCCGGTCATTTAACACACGAATATCACGAAACTCATGCTTATCTAACCACCAAAAGTACTTTCAAACTCAGCAAACATCGATCGACGCTCATTACCTCAAAAATTGCAAATCCGTAGCCAGGCCATTGCCATTTTGCAATAAATCTGGTTGCGGGCTAACATTACCGTTGTGATTTGGAATTGAAGAGGCGGGATTCAGACCTATTGACGTCATGCATGTAAATTGCAGACATAGGAAGATTCACCGCTATAGTTACCCCTCCCCCCCCCCCCCCACACACACACACACACAGACACACTAAGGCCCCTTCGACTGCGTAGCCATTAAAGGTTAGGGGTGATCTTCAATCGGCGGGATATTATGTATTTACTACACCACAAATTACGTATGACAAAATATAAATATTATATTCATCAGTCTGCATGAAGATGCAGACTGTAATGCAGGCTGATTCGGCCCAAAAAAGAAAGAAAAAAAAAACAAATCATGATGTTGAAACCTTTAACTCCCACGGGGTATTCTCTAATCACCCTGCCAAATGCAACATAATGCAGTGCCAGCCTTGGTACCAAGTACCTACCCTGCCAAATGCAACGGAATGCAGGCATGGAATGCATGCAGATCAGGACACTGCTAAATGCAACAACTTGCAACAACTTTTTACTACTGGTGCATTCTGTGGCATTTAGCAGGGTTAGGGTTTTATTCATCTGTACACAAGAACTCTAACCAACTTTTAATTCTCTTGCTTTACAACCATAACCTTTGGTACATCCAATGAAACCTGTTTTTTTTTTTGCAGCCAGAGGGCGCTGCCGTCATGGTCTGGATACATGGTGGTGGTTTCAGTACTGGATCCAGTCGTGAATATTACGGACAGTCATTGGTTGCATCGGGTGACGTCATCGTTGTCACAATCAATTATCGCCTGAATGTATTCGGGTTTCTTACAACAGGTAAATTGCATTCTCCAAAGATACCTCAACTTCAAATCAACTAAGAGCGAGAGAGATGAAATGAGGGGGACATAGTTCGTAATAATAAATAAACAAAATGGAGGGAGATCTTGTAAGATGCACCTTGTCAACAAAGACCTGTAGCTAAAGCACTGTGGAAATCATATTAAGTACAGTAAAGTATGGAAATGGGATTCACTGACTTACCTGAGCATTTAGTCTTCATCCCATACAAATATAGCATGTTTTGACGATGGACAGTTGATATCCGTTCCCGGAGTTATTTGAAGTTGACAAAGTTTGCCTCGGGAACTGGTTTGTCAACTTCCAATACTGAGGGGAGCTAATATCGACTGTCCTCCCGAAATGAACCATGTTATATTTGTTTTACCATACCGCGTACATTTTATTCAGTTGCCAATTTTTTGTTCGTTGCAGTATGCACCTAAAATACTTCGGAGAAACTTGTCCAGCTCACCAAAAGAAAACTATGCTCAATTTCACAAGTTCAGTTAGTATGCAGTACAGCAACTACAGTATACAAATATAACATTGTTTGAGGGTAGTACAATCGAAATTCGCTCCTCGACTTATTGGAAGTTGACAAAAAAAATACCGAGGGGAGCTAATACGTGTATAAAATTAAACTATGTGATATTTGCTTTACGATACCGCACACATATCAGCTGCCGATTTTGTTGTTGCAGTTTGCTCCTAATCAAAATCTTCGGGGAAACTTGTCCAGCTCACCAAAATAACACTATTGCTCAACTTCACTATTTTAAGTCGTTCTACAGTATAAGTGCAGTTGTAACTTGTAAATACAGTATGTTTAGCTCGTGCATGGACAATTTCCCTTAATTTGTACAGGAGGCATCTTTATTGTCCATAAATGTTTTCCAATATAGTTCGGCACTATTGAGCACGGGAAAACTAACATTTACAAGTACCGTGCAACGATTTTACGTTTGTAGCTCGCCTGGGCGATGTTCGCGCGTGCGTACTACACCGATGCGACAGTTCAACAATTGCTTTTTAAAGCGCATGCGTAGTATTGGTAAAAAGTAAAATAAAAAAAAAATAACATCTGGCAAGTGGTGGTGAATTGACCAGTGAGAGATCGGCTATCGATCATGAATATGTATGAGGTATATTAATAAAATCTAATTGGTTATGCGTAGGTTTGTCTTGGCTTTATCTAAACAGCGCGTAAGTATTGAGGAAATTATACCTATATGATCTGTCTTGCCATTGTCTTGTTTAGGTGATGAAGCTTTGCCGGGTAACGTTGGACTCATGGATCAAGTCTTAGCGTTGGAGTGGATTAAGAAGAATATTGCAGGTGAGTCACGTGACAACCTCCCCACATTCTAAGACAAATAGAGTAAAGATCAAAGTCTTCTAATATTTTGTTTCCATTAATGAAACCTTATTTCTCTACCACTATTGCATATACCATTCCTGTCAATATTCGTGTCAATATCATACTTATCAACTAGAGTATATAGCCTATTGACAGTGTTAAAAAACAACTCGTTTTGTTGTCATTGTTGGTTTTTGAATGGAATTTTAATCCAGTTGCACCATTTACCATAAAAAAATCAACAAACATAATAAAAATGTCATTTTGGTTAAAGGATGTGTTTTGAGATAGTGTCTCCAAATAAACTATATGATGACAGTCCAATGTTGAGCACAATAATGTACTGCATAAACAGGCAAAAAACGATGTTACATTGATAGGTACGCCCTTTGCCTCGTTACTAAAGTCTTCTATCACAAACTATAAATGATGTACATTCAACGAAAAAAGAAAGTCCCGCCTTAAACTCAAAAACTACTGGGCACATCTTGCTCAAATTACGACTGATCAGTACAGAAATTCCTTAGCAATCCAGCTATACTCTTTGTTTGGCCCAAAACAGTGATAATGTGTGCAAAATCATGCAATTGAGGACAAGTGGTAACAGAAAAAAAATGCACTTTAATTTACGTGCAAGGTGAGTGTAAACCACAACTTGCAGTAAAACTGTTTTCAAGTGCAAGTGCAACTGTTTTCGGTATCAGTTGTCATAAATTACATAAATTCGCTTACATTATCACTGTTTTGGGCCAGATAAAGAGTATGACTGGATTGCTAAGGAATTTCTGTAATGATTAGTCCTTATTTGAGAGAGAGCTGCACAGTAGTTTTTGAGTTAGACAAAAATGTATTGGAAGGGGGGCCTTTCTTTTTTGGTTGAGTGTATCTCGATATACGCCCTTTTTGACTTGAGCGGTCGTTAAATGGCAACAGTCCCCCCCCCCCCATCACCCCATCATAATGTCCAGAATTGAACTAATGCCATTTTGCCTTGGTGGTGTCACATACTCATAGGGGGAAAGACACAATTGATAACATTTACCATTCTTTTTTACGGGGAACCTCTTATTTCGTCAACAGCTTTCGGCGGTGATAAAAACCGCGTTACTATCTTCGGTCAGGCTGCAGGATCGGCCAGCGTCAGTTTTCACATACTGTCTCAACTATCCGAGGGTCTGTTTGACCGTGCAATAATGCAGGTGAGATTGACCGCAGATGCTACACTGCAGGATTGTCACAGAAACCCTGTGGTAACATTCAATCGGAATGCGGAACGAGGTCACAGTTTGTTAAATAACAACCGTGAAACCACCGTGCACAGATTCTCATCTTCTGGAAATTTGGAGAAAGAGTTGCATGAGAAAATAACGCTGAAGCACAGAGTCAAAGTCCTCGATAATGTTGTCATAAACCCCACAAACCCCATACATTAGATAATACAGATTATCGGCAGTATAGTGTATGCTCTGATGAAATACTAAGCATCGTAACCCTTTTTCATTTTCCAATTCAATTTCAGAGTGGTACAGCTTTTTCACCTTGGGGGTATTCCGAGGACAAGGAGAAGCTACGACAGCAGGCTTTTAACATCGGGCAGAAGCTTGACTGTGGAGCATCTGAGAGTACCGCCCTGGTGAATTGCCTCAGAGACAAGAACGCAACGGATCTTGACGGAGCAGTAGGCAGTGTAAATATCTTTATAAAAACCAAAACACTTTTGAGAAAACGGGTTGGAGGGCCCGGCCTCTTCCTCTTCTCCCATATCGCATCCCGCCTGGGCCTTCTTGTTGATTTTGTTTTAAACTCTCACCTTGATTCCGTGGATTTTCCCGGGAATGTCACAAACTTGTAATGCGAGTCCGACTCGAGTCACACTTGTTCACAACTCGTCTCGACTCGAGTGGTAAATGACTCGACTCGAGTCACTGCGAGCAAATTACTCGTCTCGGCTCGAGTCCCTTTTCAGAAACTCGACTTGACTCGAGCGAATGTTAATGTAAGACATAGAGGTACAACAGCCGAGTTGTCATGCACCAATATACAAACTGTCATAGACTGGCTCCCACCTCAATCTAAAACGCACACAATGCTATTCAGGAGCTGGATTTTCATCTTGGCTTTGGGCGATATCTAAAAAGCTATCGAATTCGAACGCCGGCTAACTTGCTGCCCTCTTTTTAAGAAAATACAACGATACATGCCCCCTGAACAGTTTTGTATAATGTATTTTGCTTTTGATGTTATGGCCTATAAGATCGAAATAATTTAACTTCTTAACTGCTTGTATAATACAAACAACTTTCTCTCTTTTCGTTATTCGTTCCATGTTGCTCAAATTCGTGATTCGAATTGACTGGAGCCTAATATTTGACCCGACTCGAGTCGCAAAATTCAGTGACTCGTTACTACTCGGGAAGGTTATGCTGCAGTTTTCCTCAAACAATTCTGAAACTATGTTATCTCCTTCTTCATGTCATGCGAAGGGATCTATCTAGAAATCGGTCGAAATTTGACGGGTAATTTCCAAATAATTATTAACCAACCATCCGCATCATATAACAAGGTTCTCATGATACGTTTGGTGTTGGTCGTTATTTGTTCTTTCTTTTGCGTTAACAAGTGGTGTCGTCTCTTATTTTAGAACTTCCTCTTTTTCGCCGTGGTTGTGGATGGGAGCTTCCTGGTCGACACACCAGAAGCTCTGTACGCAACTGGTCGGTACAATCACGCTGACCTTCTCCTGGGCACGAATAAAGATGAAGGCACGCTGTTTATACTGACCCTACCTCGCTTCTACGGTGCCTTCTTCTCCCAGAAACCTCCCACCATGAGCAGACAGGATTTTGATGAACTTATCGCCAAGGAATCGTTTCTGGGTAAGGAACTTTACTCATTTAAATCTGGAAGAGAAATACACTGGTACTATACGCTTTTAAAGGTATATCATTTGCATTTTGCAAGAGTAATCTTTGGCATTATTATCAGGAAGCCAACTTGTGTTGAAGATGGTGTTAGTACTGAACAGCCCGTGCAATTATTCCACATAGCTTGCTGATCACATCGAAGAACTCAAGAATCGTAGGTGTTGCTATTTTCATGAGTATTTGAAAGGAAAAGCCCTCAGCTTTAATCTGATACCCAAAACATAAAAATCCACCGATCCAGTTTTGAGGCAAATGTGTAGGTGTACATGGTTTTTTTTTGGGGGGGGGGGTCACCCTTGTATTACAAAACACCTCATTCGAATTGAGCAATCAAAAATTTCTTCCAAATTTCGGAATGGAAGGATGTTAAGATTTAGTAAAGTTGACCCCCATTGGCTGGCGTGTGGGGTCGCATATATATTTGCAAGACTATCAGACGTTGGACCAGAGACAGGGCTCCGTGGACAACTGATGATACTTAGACTAGGGAACTGGACAAAAACACGCACAGTGTATTTTCAATGCGTATATAATATTACTGTTCAAAATGCGCCCCAGCCGAAGCCCAGCTTTTCAAATTTTGTAAGTGGCCAGGGTCTGATTTATGTAAATACACGCTCCTGTATGAAAATAAGATCAAAAGGGTGAGTATAAAATGTATTAGCACTAAACTCAAAAAGAGGAAGTTTGCTCCTGTGCTTCGATGTGATTGGAAGCTATGAATGTAAAAAAAAAATTGTAAATTGTGTGAATGATTGTTTCTCTCCGGTTGCTGCAGAGCAATTCACTCTTTTCACGCTCCGCCATTGGGCATGCACAGCCTCGATCTGGCAACTTTACACAATGTAAATAGCCGGTTCAGTGATCTGAACCCCGACACGGGAATCACTGAACCGGCTATATGTATTGTGTAAAGTTTCAAGCTCGAGGCTCTGCATGCCCATGGCGGAAGTGTTCACGAACAGAGCGAATGCTGCTTCTATCAAGCAACTTTCTTAACAATTTTGTTAATTTTTGGTGTCAGATGGTCAAAATGAACTAGTTGAGGACGCTATCAGAATGCAGTACATTGACTGGTCCATGGCAGACTTCAGCGACCATGACTACTTTCGCTCGTACTTGGAGTTTGCGACGGATTTCTATTTTGCAAGTGGGGTGGACAGGGTGGCGCGCTTCCATTTCCATGGCAACGACAGTGTCTTCATGTATCAGATGACGCACGTGCCCTCTGTGTCCTTCTACGGCCTTTACGGCGGACCAGGTTGGCTAGGCTGCGGTAACGCTGAAGATATGTCGTTTGTGTTCGGCCTTCCCTTCATCTCTTATATGGCGCCGCTCTATGCCGCATTCACGGATGAAGAGAAAGGACTGTCCGTCGAGTTGATGCAGTTCTGGACAACTTTTGCCAAAACTGGGTAAGCATTAACTTCGCAATCCACCAGGCCTAACCCGACAAAGGATGTAACTCCCAATGTGGGTTAAAACATGACTTACGCACTTTTCTTGATAGCCCACTACACAACCGATTTCTTGATCAAGAACATTGAAACAATTCGGGCGATTCACAATGCAGTGCGCCACCAAGAGGTTGCCATGGAGAGAGTCCATTTTTCCAGTTTACGGTCGACAAAAAAACGGCCCATGTGAATCAGTAGACAACTTGAGCCTGTTATAGATTGGGACATAATGTGCTCTGCCTCCTTACAAAAACAAACAAAAAAACACCATATTGATAAACAGAACAGAAAAGTGCAAACTTATACTCGAATCATACGCTTACGAAACTACGGACCGAAAGAACTTACAATTTCAAATGTCTTGCGCTGCGAATTCGCAGTGTCGACCATCTCCCACAATGCACTAGGAAAAAAATGAACTCTCCGGTGCATGGTGCACTGCATTGTGAAACGCCCGAATAAAGCAAATAAAACTTATGCTTTAATTTTACAGATCATTAAACAATTACATGCTGATTGAATTACTTTGTTGTACGAATGCAGGTATAGTGCGCCAAATTCCATCCTCTGTAGTTTTCATTGAAAAGATTTAATTGGTCCAAGCCCTCGATATTCGAACCCACAGATGTGCACATAGTTATGCATAGCCGAAACACATGTTGAGACTGAAATGCAAGATTTCAACCCATTTTCCTCTTACAACAGACACCCTGGGGTGCAGAAGCCTGGCTCCCCTCCCGACTCCCAGCGTGCCTACTGGCCCCGTTTTACCGTGCCCGAGTTGGAGTACAAGGAACTCAGCTTGAATCTAACCACATCCAGAGCGCTCAAGAGTCAGCAGTCTCATTTCTGGAATTCCTACATCATTCAGCTCAACACTATGCTCGGTAAGATGACATAATTTGAGTGACACCGAAACTTGGATTTATGGCGCATGTCCCCAGTTCAGCTTCTGGGTTTCAGTTGGATTAATTCAAATTTTGCGTTAACAATTCGGATTGAAGTTTTGAGTTTCAAGTTGGATTAATTGAAGTTTACAGCAAGTCTTCTCCATAAATCAAGTTACAATAAAACAAAAACATCAACAAAAATAGTTGACATCTCTTTCCTACGTTGGGTATGCATTTGTCTTGTATTTTTGTTAGGTCAAGAATCGAGAGCAGCCGTCGGTTTGGGGCCAAACACCGACTCGGGACCAAACATTGTTGCAGTAGCAGGGGTCGGTTTCATCGTGGTTGTGATTGGCCTCATCGCATTCACTCTGTGGCAAAAACATAGGGCTGCTCGTTCACAGCAAAGAGCTACTTACGAAAGGGTGAGTCATTACCATTTGTCATGATTCGATAAAGTACGTGTTTTTTGTTTGTTCTGCCTTTCAGCAAGGAAAACCCCTTTGTTTTTGTTCAGATTTTTTGTTACTTCCTCAACAAAAAGCATTCTAAAAATTTGACATAAAATGCAATCAGATCGGTTTTTAATTAGGCACAGACAAATACATATATATGGCTACAGACAAGTGATATCATGATGACGATAGCAGTGGCCGTGTGACGTCATTTTAATGGTGTATATTTTAAAATTATGTATCTAGAAGGCTGTAAGTCAGATTGGGTTGGGACTTGGTATGTATGGTACGTCGACAATGACTTGTTACAGACTTAAAGTAAGGTAACGTCATGATGACGTCATCATGGTCATAAGATGTCATCTTAAAGGTGCACATGTTAAAGGCTTATATCTAGAGACCAAGAACAAGCAACCATACTCTTGCATATAATTTCCTGACTGCATATAGACAAAAACAAAAAGTATCATTGTGGAAAGCATGATGCGGAAAGACCCTATGTTCTGTTTATCAAACAGACAGAGCTCTAAGGCTTAATTTCTGTAATCTTTGCTTCTTGTTCTTCCATCCAAAATCCCATATACTTCGTATATGTTTTCATTCAATCTTAATGCAACTTGGCACCCAAACCCAACAATGAACTCGTCATCACAAGTCACGTAACGTCATCTGATAAGGAGCATTTTTTTTCAGCGGCGTATACATGTATATAGAGAACTACATGGCCGATTGGGTTGCAAATAGATGTGACGTTGTGATGACGTCATAATTTATTGATTTTGAATGTGTTCATCACATCTGCATATGTCATGAACAAAGCATGCTTTATTCAAATTCTTTTCGTAAGGTGTTTGTTAGATCATAGACAAACGTACAAAATATGAAAAGAATTAAAATGAAAAATTCACAGCAGGTATTCTTCATAACTCAACTAGTAACAGACGACTAGTCAGAAAAGGCAGTTGAATCGAAGGACTATCAATTTTGTTAAAGCTTTATTTTTCAACAAACACAATAAATCTCTAATCCCATTAAAGGTCGAAACCAAAATATGTTTTCCCTACAATGAATCAGAGTCTGACAACGCATGGTGTCATTTTGTTTCCACATACGTTTAATGATGGGTTTTCTTCACATAGCCGGTGTACATGTAGCGGAAAGTGAATGGAAACAAGCATTCAACGTCTGGAAGTGCACGCATCTGACCGATCGATTGGGAAAACAAAGCAAACAATGTAAAGGAGTGAACGGAAAAAAAGAATACCTTTTGGAATTTTACGTTTTAGTATAGCCTTAAGCGATATTAGACTTCGCCTAGATTAAATTGGTTTACTTCCCAAACGGCTCTCTTCATCTGTTTTACTAAAATCCTTTATACATGTATTATAATTTAGAATATTATAATACTTTTATATAAGTAGCGTATCCAGCTTTTGATGTCAGAGAGGGGGGCATCAGCGTCGAAATGTATACATGGTTTTTTTCTCCGGATACTTGGCCTCCGTAAAATCAAAAAGTACGGGGGGGGGGGGTGTCTTGTACCAATCTTCCTCATGAGGGAGCTCTTCAAAACTGACCATTATTATGCATAGTGGAAATTATATTCCAATTTTCACGGCGCATTGTAATGGTTTATGAGCGGGTTGTCTTTTTGGGATTGATGTCATATCTCTCTAACCATGTATTGAAATAACTGCTGAAGAAAAAAAAGATTTGCTAAAACAAAATCGCAAGGGGGTCCCCCCCCCTCTGGATATGCCACTGTTTTATATTATACAGTTCGAAACCCCTTGCAGGTCTTTTAACAGTAAGCAAAATTAAAATAAATCATATAATTTTCAATTAATCGCTTTTTAGAAGCTAGAAGCTTATTTTAATTTTAACGGTGAGCACAATTAAAATAAATCATACAATATCCAATAAATCGGGGTTTTTTTAGAAGCAAGAATCTAGAAGCTTATTTACATTTTAACGGTTGGAAAAATTAGATTAAATCATATAATTTTCAATTAACTTGTTTTAGAAGCTAGAAGCTAGAAGCTTACTTTCATTTTAACGGTGAGGAAAATTAGAATAAAATCATATAATTTTCAAGAAATGTTTTTTTTTTAAGAAGCTAGAAGCAGTTTTGTGGCTTTATGTAACAGTTTACTTCATTTAAATACAGTTGAATTAAAAAGTGTGAGATTGCAGTGAACAAAAATAGAAATGTCAGTTTGTCTTTTGTAAAATGTTTATGAAATGGGTTCCTCCCGCAAAATATGAGGAATGACTTGAGTATCAGCTGTAAATTGCTTTATGTTTGTTGTTTAATGTTGTGTCTCGCTAATGTGTTGTTCAACAATAGCGCTATATTCATTCAAATGTGCGTTGCTATTTCCACAGAGAAGTGGATAAGGCTGAAAAATGGGAATGAATTTAATCTTCATAACTACAAGCATCGCAAGCTTAAATTTGGTAACAAAATAAAGGGGACATCATGATCGTTCATTAATTTGAGTGGTATGCAAATGGTATATAACGTGGTTTAGTGTGGTCAAACAACCTGCTTTAGGGCTAGTTTGGTCAATCAAATTAACAAGATTGTTTAATTGATATATGATATTTTCCTCCGAGGTTCATTTTTCCCAAAAAGGTTGGTGACTGTAGAATTTACAATGTAACAAATTAACTGATAAGAGGGATGCAAGATGTTCCCAAATAATGAATTAAAAAGGATTAAATAACTTTGGTGTGAACACAGGAGGAGCAACTTCTATCACTGGGCACGGATGACCCAAGTCGGGAATCTTCTTATATGATCCTTTAACTGTATTCGCGCATTATTTCCAAGCATACGTATTACAACAGCATATAGTCGGGTCAAAGCAGAAAGGACTTATAAGCCCTATTCAGCATTTTCCAGTATTTCAAGATAATCGAGTTTGAAGATTCACACTGCTTTGAAAATTGCAAAATGTTATTTAAATAGTTTAAATTATGCACATTGTTAAAGGGGGTCCTTTAACTTAACAGTTAAGTATTACTTGCCATTTTTTGTAACCTAATTATTTAATAACAGCTAATTAAAAATATAAGACCTTTTGGTGAATCCCAATATTACATTGAAAGAAATGACAAAAGGACAATAGGGTGCGTGCAAAAAGGTCCTACAAGCTCTTAAGCCCTTTTTGCATTTCCCAACATTATCAGTTATTCCAAACAGTAAAGGTCTTGCCTGTTTAAAGGAAAAAAGGCTTATGAGCTTATAAGGCCTTTTTGCTCCCAGTTGTATGCCAAGATCAGTATAAGTCCTTTTAAAATTTCTTAATTACTCCTTAATTGGATGATTAATTAAAATAAAACCTCTTTGGGATAAAGACCGTACTGAGAGTAAACAGTTACCATCAAAAAACAAAAACTGACCTAAAGCATGGTATAAGCCCTTTCTGCTTTGACCCGACGATATAGTCTGAAGGATTTTCTTTTCCCGTACTTGCATCGATAAATAAACGCTCAACTCAAAGAAAAACGACGGAAAGATGTAAAACGTAATAACAAACAAAAATGTGTTTATACACAGTACGCACGCGCACAGCTCCCACACGCTCACGCAGGATAACATTTCTTGGTCCGGCGTGGACGTCAAGATGTTGTTCAAACCAACCTTCTTTTTCACTGTTGATCTTTTTTACTTCTTTAAACTTTTGCTCAAGGGGCTTGTTTACGTTGACGATTTATTGACGTGCAAGACATCGGGGCATTGGCAATGGTTTTATTTTTCCATTTTGAAGGTTTTTTTGGGTGCCTTCTCTGTTTTTATGCTAATGCAAAGTTCCATATTCTTACATGGCTATTTCAGCACAAAAAATGCTAGAATTTTGCTGTCATCAATTTCTTTTGTTTGGCGATAATTTGTTGTGTCAGTGCTTGGCAGTAAGGAGCAATCCTTTCTAATAATGTTTACAATTAGTACATTTTGGGTGAATAATTTGAAAGAAAACCAACAGTGTCTTCCTGAAATCACATCACAGCAACAGTGCGCTCAGTAGTTCGGAAAAGCATGGAAACTTTATAATGTTTTAAGACGTGCACTTCGCAATAAGACTAGCCAAACAGATGTCAAAATAGTTTTCATACATTTCAGAGTAGTAGAAAGTTGCACAAAATGTATTCCTGAGAGAAATTCATTGCACGGGCCAAATAATTAAGAAAGAGAGGTGTGCCTTTACGGATTGACGACATCAGATATTATTTACGCCGAGATAACTCAGAATTTTACATGCAGGAAGCCTTAAATCACGCTTGACAAAATGTGAAAAATGTTTGCCCGTTAAAGACAAGGAATGCCTAATCACGGCAACCCAATTATACTTCTGGTTCAGACGAAATAGAATGAACAACGCGATACTTTTAAATATACATGCATCTTTTTTTAGGGACGAGTTAAGCTGAAAGACGCAACAATGCTCGGATAGTGAAATTGAATGATTCTATATGATTGTCGAATGACGATCTGCGTGATATTTCAATTTCAATCTAAATTGAATGAGTCCGGCGTTAAATGGAATAAAAACTTGGTGAAATTATTATTTGCATCGCGGTGGACGTTGAGGGCGACTGGTGACACGTCAGTCGCGATTCTGGCGGAGCTTAGTTTACTATATTTCCCTCAAAATGGTATTAGCTGGCTTATGGACTACACTATGCTGCAATAAATACACTGTCCGCTATGCTTATCTTATCACACAAAGAAAAATATGTTCACTCCTAATTCAGCCTGGGTTTATAGACGGATCCTACAACAAGGATTAACGACTGTTCTGAACTCAGAGTACCAAATGCGCTGAACGGACTTTAATATCATCATTTGTTGGGCTGCGGCGATTACGGGACTCGCGATAACGGGCCTAAATACCCGTTGTCATGTCATGTTAATCGCAGTTGCAGGTGTACCATTATATCGGGTTTTGCATGACATTTCAATGTTCGTGAAAATTAAAGCAAAATCACTCCTTATGTAAGATATATGTATTCCAAATTGTTAGAATATAAATGCTTTAGGAAATAACAGATAATGGCATTGTGCAGTTTTTGTCGTCATAGCTAGATGAAGTATTTACCCGGAATATAAATGTCAAATGTGCCCCCTTTTTTTTCAAGGGGAACACCGTTTACCAAATTCTCGTTTTAAGGAGGCTTTCATCAACAAGATTTATAACAGTGATGTGGTCCCGAACCGACACAAACAGATGCGTCATTTCATATTGTGCTCGACGTCAACATCAGAATTCAAAAATATAATGAGCTAGCTTGACAAAATTCGAAACCATATCGAGCTCAGAGCCCTAATCACTTTCAAGGCCGTCACGCGCAATGGGCGATTACGTTGTCTGGGTCTTTTGTTTAGTTTGTTGACAACTATTGCCTACACGGGCCGTTGTCGCTGTCTGTACGGAGTCGTAAATCCTTTTGTGTAGGATCTGGGGTTCATATATATACTCATCTTTGCTACTCATTTGAATAACTATAGACTAGGCCTATGTGATCCGTATGCCTGGCTGGCCGGCTGCCGCTGATTTCTTGCCCATGAGCTCCGTTCCTGTATGCCCGTGTATAAGAGCAGAGCAAGGAAGAGCAATCGGCTGCCCCATCTACTCGTGAACATGGGTAATCGGTACATTGCGATCGTAGCACTGGGTGTATTTTTGGCCCAAACGATGGCCCTAGATCAACCCACTGTTACTGTGGAACAAGGTGTTCTGGTCGGAACCACCGAAACTTTTGAGGAAACCCAATTCATCAATGTGAACAAAACCATTGATGTCTTCAAGGGGATACCATTCGCTGAGCCGCCCGTGGGGCCGCTTCGATTCAGACCCCCGGTGGAAAAAAAGCCGTGGGTCGGTACATACGACGCTACGAACTTCAGAGATGCCTGTATGCAGAACCCAGCATATGTGGGTAATCCACCCGTGAGCGAAGACTGCCTACATCTCAACATCTATGCACCAAAACCCGCATTGGTGAGTGTGAATTCAAGAAAGAAACATTCAGACCTTATACCCATCAACGGTCCTACTAAAATGCGTCGACAAGCGTCAACAGCGGCAGCGATCGTCAACCCAGCGTCAAACAAATTTTGTATAGGTTTTGAACATCAGAAGTAGCTTTAAATGGTAGAAATAGCAAAAAAGAACATCTTCAGCATATAAATTAAAGTTAAAATTAGTTTGTTGGTTTTTTTTTCAACGCGAAAATTCTGACGAGTTTGTTGGTTAAGTGTTGCTGCCGCCATCTTGTTCACGAGAACCGAGATCAAAACAAGATGGCAAGAATACTAAATCGACAAATAAGTCGTAGTTTTCGCGTTGAAAAAAATACTTTTAAACAAATTTTAACTTTAATTTATATGCTGAAGATATATTTTTTTCCGCTATTTCTACCATATGTTCAAAAACCTTATTTTGTTGCTTTTGCTTTTTGTTTCCAGTTTTTGTCATTTTGGGTTTTTTTTCATCTGAATTTGTTTTGGGTTTTTCTTCGGCTTACTTACATGGTGTTCTTTATTTGCTTTATATATTTATTAGTCCCGTATGAATTTTACTTCCTATACAGTCGCACGTTTATACTATTATATTAACTTGTATTTCTCTTATTGAAATTGTTTATCCTTGTTGTTTTGTTAATGGGATGTTAACCAAACAAAAATGTCCGTAATTGTCCCTATATCGACTGCACAGTGCCCGTACAATGAGTGGGATTACTCAATTTCATGAATGCAAGCAGTGTGCGATCGATATATCCTACCGTAATTCGGCAGTGTCGCCTGTGCACTTCCCGTGTTGTGGCAATGTGGATAGTGTAATGAATATAGATCGCAAGATAATGTGGTTCGAAACCCACCTGCTCACTTTTCAGTGAATATTTTTGTTCGCTGATGGGATATCCGATTGCGCGACAAAAATGTTAACATTCCATAACGTGATTGTTAACATGTCATATCATGTCATAAAATAAATGACTCTTCAGGCATGTCCCACAGCAGCAAGAAAGGCTGAGATGCTAAACGTAAACTGAAAATGACCCTACAAGGAAACACATCACAAAAAACATCCCCGCAAATCACATGCATTTACAAGAAGCTGAACTTACATCTCTGAATACAACATAAAAGCGCAACTCATGCATGTTGAAACCTTACACATGTATTCATCTGTACTCAAGAACTACTTATCAATTGTTAATCTGTTGCTTTTCAACCATAACCTTTTGTCTTACATCCAAATGAAACCTGTCTCTTTCTTGCAGCCAGAGGGCGCTCCCGTCATGGTCTGGATACATGGTGGTGGTTTCAGTAGTGGATCCAGCCGTGAGCTAATGTATCAAGGGCAGTCATTGGTTGCATCGGGTGACGTCATCGTTGTCTCAATCAATTATCGCCTGAATGCATTTGGGTTTCTTACAACAGGTAAATTGCATTCTCCAAAGATACCTCAACTTCAAATCAACTAAGAGCGAGAGAGATGGAATGAGGGGGAGAAATAGTTCGTACTAATAAATAAAACAGAGTAAAACGTACTAACAAAATGGAGGGAGATCTTGTAGATGCACCTGGTCAACAAAGACCTGTAGTTATAGCAATGTGGAAATCATATTTAATACAATAATGATGACCTGTAGTTATAGCACTGTGGAAATCATATTTAATACAATAATGCATGAAGATGTCATTTTGATTTCTGCATTTGTCTACATACCATTATTAAAATCTACTTTATGGTGATGCGCACACAAATCTCCCCATAAACCATAAGTTAGTTTATAGCCTAATAGTAGTGGCTTTATTTAAACAGCGCGTGAGTACTGAGAAAAATAAACCTTTGATCTGTCTTGCCATTGTCTTGTTAAGGTGATGAAGCATTGCCGGGTAATGTTGGACTCATGGATCAAGTCTTAGCGTTGAAGTGGATTAAGGAGAATATTGCAGGTGAGTCACGTGACAAAACCCCTACATTCTGAGATAAATCAGAATTAAAGATGAAAATCTTCTGATGATATTGTAATATATTGTACATCAGAGAGTTGTGAGTATTTATCCTGAATTTCTGAAATAGGGCATTATCATTGGGGTCTATGGAAACTTATTTACTGGTCTGCAACCTGTAGTGTCAAGATGGCGTCCTCCATCGTTAGCGGTGCGTTATATTTCACGGCAATGTTTTTTTCAGGGGGCGTGACCTGGGGGGGGGGGGGGGCAGCGTATCAAAAAGGGGGTCTCCAATGGCGGTTCTGCAACAAATGCTCCCGAATCTGAAGGGGGCCGATAGACAGTCATCCGATCACAGCAATTATGAGCGAAGGGGGGGGGGGGTGATTTGGGGTTGGATGGAGATGGAAGTCAAGTAACTCCCGTTGGGGCGCCCTACAGAAACGCAGCCGCAAACAGAGTGCTTGTTTTCAGGCCAGATATCGAAGTCAGTAGATTTTTTTTCTCCCAATTTTTTGATCAAATATGGATTATACATCCTTCCTCATGCCATACAAGTGGTTTGGGGAATTTTTTCAAAACCTCGCTTCTTTAAAGGGTGCAGACCAGTAAATCGGTCCGAAATTGCCTACGCCGGCAAAATCACGATTTGCATGCCCTCAAATTCTTCGGTATTTTAGCAAATTGTGGGCCATGAACTTGAGGGTTTGTACAAAATATGGGTGGAAGCCGTGCAGAGGACTGCGAGCTTGTATAGCTGTGAAATGTGGATGATGATTAGGCCCCAAAATGGCTCTATTTTGCACTGGAGCGTAGGCGTCCATTTTCAAAATGGCGATGGGCTTCAGGACTGCTTTTAGGGGTGATCATCTTTGGATGGAATTTTCTCCCAAAAGTCATAGTTACCCCCCCCCCCCCCAGAAAATTGAACAGAAAATGAAAGATGTTGAAAGACGTACATCAAATTAAAGCTTGCTTTAATTTGATGTTCGTCTTGAACACCTCAGAGAGTTGTGAGTATTTTTCCTGAATTTCTGAAGTAAAGAAATTTATCATTGGGGTCTATGGAAACTTATTTACTGGTCTGCAACCTTATACATGGTTGTTTGACGCCCTCTACGATACTTTTATGATACGTACACAGGTACTTTTTTCCCCCTTGTCGAGCAGTGCGGTAGCTCAGTCGGTAGGGTCCTGATTTTGTACCGCGAGGTTGTGGGTTCGAGACACCATTTTGTACCCGATGTTTTTCTTTTCTATTTTGAGGATTCGGAGGATGTCAGTTTTTTGTTAAGGTTGAGCCCCGAGAATGACGTCCGAAAGCAAAGGGTTGATGGCCCGTGCCGATCCGGTCGAGATAAAAGAACGCTCCTAAAGATCGTTGAACGGAAACAGGGCCCTCTCCCAATAACCCAATCATGATGTCCAGCATTGAACTCATGACATTAATATTGCCATGATGTAATGGTGTCTAATACTCGAAGGAAGAAAGACACAATTGATAACATTCACGATTATTTGTATGCGGCTGAACCTCTTCTTTTCGTCAACAGCTTTCGGCGGCGATAGAAACCGCGTTACTATCTACGGTCAGGCTGCAGGATCGGCCAGCGTCAGTTTTCACATACTGTCTCAACTATCCGAGGGTCTGTTTGACCGTGCAATAATGCAGGTAAGATTGACCGCAGATGCCACGCTGCAGGATTGCAGGAACCCTGTGTTAACATTCCATGAGAAAAAAAAACCCTGGATACTGAACGAGGGTACCGTTTTCTAAATGACCACTTTAAATAGAACCGTGAAACAATGCACAGATTGTCATCTTCTGGAAATTCGAAGAAAGGGTGACCTGAGAAAATACAAATGTAACACTGAAGCCTAGATTCAAAGTCCTCGATAATGTTGTCATAAACCCGTACAATAAATCATCGGTAGTATAGTATCCAGGGGTGTAAATCCGGGGGGGGGGGTGTAATCCCCCTGTTTTTGACCGGGATGTTTATTGTATTATCCTCCCACCTTTCCGTGATTATGTAAGCGCAAGTATACATGTTGATGTATACATCTAATCCTGAAGAGCGCCCAGAGTGAAATTTGGTGTCCAGCCCCCACCCGCCCCATCCCTGCTTTTCAAATTTCCACGGCCAGGCAATTTTTGGACTTGGGTCATCCCCATCCCCCACTTACCGGCACACATTTACGCCACTGATAGTGTTTGCTCTGATGAAATACTAAGCTTTGATTCCTTTGAAAACTTGTTTCCCCTTCAATTCCAGAGTGGTACGGCTTTTTCACCTTGGGCGTTTTCCGAGGACATGGAGAGGCTACGAAAGCAGGCTTTTGACATCGGGCAGAAGCTTGGCTGTGGAGCATCTGAGAGTACCGCCCTGGTGAATTGCCTGAGAGACAAGAACGCAACGGATATTGACAGAGCTTTAGGCAGTGTAAATAATATCTTTATACAATCTTAATTTACATTGGGGAATTACGGCCTGGAGGTGTGGTACTTTCCTCGTCCCAGGTCGCATCCCGCCTGGGCCTTAATTCATGTTGATTTTGTTCATTCCGTGGATTTTCTCTGGAATGTCACACAGTTTTGATATGACATGAGTCAATGTCTCGCCTCAAGTCCAACTCGAGTAACACCTTTTTGTTAACTCGACTCGACTCGACTCGAGTGGTAAATGACTTAAACACACTTTTAAGACCCGCATTGACGGACAATGACGTAAGTGAGTGCCCGCAGCACCATCCTGACGGGCAAACTCACCAATGCAAGAGAGGGTGCAAGTCCACAGACCCTGCGTTCCAATACCTACAAGCCCTGTGCTACTCCACAGCTGAGTACGCGAGCCCAGTATGGGAAAAATCTGACCATGCTAAGAAGCTAGATCCAGCCCCCAATGCTTCCTGCCAACTGATCACAGGCTGTCTCAAGCCGACAAACACCAACAGCCTCTACACCCTGGCAGGCATAGGCCCGCCAAACATAAGAATAACAGCAGCCAGCATGAAGGAGCGTAAGCGACAGACAGATGAAAGACATCCTATGTTTGGCCAGACACCAGCTCAGAGTCGCCTGAAGTCAAGGAATAGCTTTCTGATTTTGTGTACAAATTCCTCTTGAGGATGACACAACAAGCGAGGCACGAGTCACCATATGGGCAGACAGAAATAACAGTCTACCACCCTCGGCAATTGTGGGACAAGCTGGGCAAAGTGGAAATGCCTCAACAGACTGAGAACTGGAGTTGGCAGAGCCAAGGTGACACTCAACAAGTGGGGATATAGTTCCTTCAACGACACCGAGTGCGACTGGAGCACCTATCGAGAAGCTCTCTACTACAACATCCTTGCATAGCTGCTGATCGATCTTGTCATGTATAGTGAAGATGCGGAGAAATGTGTTTGGCTTTGGCTGAACCGAATTTAGCTTTGTAAAGTGGACTCGATAATAAGACTGTAACCATGCATGATCACATACTTTAATTTTGGTCGTTCTTTGTTCTTTCTTTTCCGATAACAAGTGGCATCTTCTCTTCTTTTAGAGCTTCCACTTTTTCGCCGCGGTGGTGGATGGAAGCTTCCTGGTCGACACACCAGAAGCTCTATATGCAGCTGGTCGGTACAATCACGTGGATCTTCTCCTAGGCACAACTAAAGATGAAGGCACGCTGTTTATACTTGACCAGCCTCGCTTCTCCCACTACGTTACCTCAAAGGAGCCCCCCACTCTGAGCAGACAGGACTTTGATGAACTTATCGACGGTGAAGTCTTTCTGGGTAAGAAAGTATACTCGTTTAAATCTGGAAAATAATAATACCCCAGTACCGCGCTTTTCTAGGCATATATGATCATTTGCAGAAAGTTAACTTCGATTGACGATCGTGCTATAGTACTGAACAGCCCGTGCAATTATTCGGTATGGCTTGCTGATCTCATTGAAGATGAAAGAAAGATTTGCGGAACCACCATGTGGGAATACTTTTAGTTGAGAAATTATTATCACATAGTGCTTCCGCAAACCTTTCATTTATAGTATCTCCCCCATGTAAAACCTCACACGTTACTCGCATCGAAGAAATCAAGAATTATAGGTGGTTACCAACGATCGTAATTGGCAATAAAGAATAATACTATTGAAGAATTTCTAGATGTTTCTTGATCAAAGTTTGCCACAATTTTTAAGTTCTGGCGGGAGCTTCGAGCTACAAGTCACTTGGTTGGTCGGTCTGTTTGTCTGTCCCAGAAAAAAATTACCAAAATTGACAAATTGCATGACCAAATACCATGCCTTGGTCATAAAATGCACCAATGCACCAATGTTGAAAAGCACCCCCTAAGTGGCCTGGTGTTTGAGGGGTCTGAATTCACAACATGACTGTAAACTTATAGGTGCAGTGCAGTTATTTGGCACTATTGAGACTCGAGCCACGGAAAAAATGGCGTTTTGACGAATAAATATGATAAATAGCGGCAACTAAGATACAAAGTTCATTGACCTCTCCAAGGGTATCACTACGTCAAATATGATGTCCCAACATCTGAACATTTTTGCGTTGTGGACTTAGGTCATGAAAAAGGTGACATTAACAATTGCGCAACAATATCCATAGGAAGGCTAATATCCATAGGATGTTTTAAAAAGGTCATGACCTCTCGTAAGGTCACTTGGGGTTGGAATATAAAAAGGCCTGTATAATAAAATTCTCTTAAAAGCATAAACACCTTCATTTAGACATGAATCGTGACAAAAAGATGTGGTTAAAAGAACAACATCTTACAAAATAGCTATAACCAGGTTTACAAAGGTCATTGCCCCTCAAAGGTCACCCGAGGTCAGATATGAATCACTTCAACATCTGATTAATTATTTCATTGTATGAAGACCTATGACATAGACTTGGGTCATAAGGAAAGTGAGGTTTTGAAGAGCCAAAAGTCATGAACAGAGTACATGTATATAAAGTTCATTGACCTCTCAAAGGTCGCCAGAGATATGAAATGCCTCCATATCTGAAAATGTTCTTCATGGCATGAAGAACAAACATGCGAAGTTTTATCACACTCAAAAGATGCACAATCCTTAGGCATATTGGGGCTATGCCGCACTACTATATAAAATGAATTTACAAAACTAAAAAAACGACGATGTTTGCTCCAGTTCTTCGGCATTATTGAAAACTTTGACTTTTAGGATGTTAAAAAATAAAAATGTGAATAATATGTGAATACACGTAATTGCTTTTCTCCAATTATTACAATACTAATGCTGGTTCTTTTAAGTAACTTTCTTCATTTTTTTCTGATTTGTTGTGGCAGATGGTAAAATGAAACCAGTTGATGACGCTATCAGAATGCAGTACATTGACTGGTCCAAGGCAGACTTCAGCGACCATGACTACTTTCGCTCGTTCGTGGAGTATGCGACGGATTTCTATTTTGCTAGCGGGACGGACATGGTGGCGCGCTTCCATTTCAATGGCAACGACAGCGTCTTCCTGTATCAGATGACGCACGTACCATCTGTGTCCATCTTCAGGCAAGGCGGACCAGGGTGGCTAGGTTGCGGTAACGCTGAAGACATCTCGTTTGTCTTCGGCCTTCCCTTCATCTCTAATATGGCGCCGCTCTATGCCGCATTCACGGATGAAGAAAGAGGACTGTCCGTCGAGTTCATGCAGTTCTGGACAAGCTTTGCCGAAACTGGGTACGCGTTTTAACTCCGCCATTCACCAGGCCTGAACAAAGGATATTACTCCCAATGTGGGTTAAAATTACATGAATTAAGAACTTTTCTTGATAAACAACCCACTTTACACAACCAATTTCCTGATCAAGAACACCGATACAATTCGGGCGATTCACCATACAATGCGCCACCAAGAGGTTGCCATGGAGAGTCAATTTTTTTTCTAGTTTACAGTCGACAAAACACGGTCCATTTGAATGAGTGTCAGTAGACAAATTGAGTTAATTGTCATAGATTGGGACAAAGCGTTTTGCGGCCTTACCAAAAACACCATATTAATCAGAAAAGAAAAGGGCAAACTTGCACTCGAATCATACGCTTGCTAAAGTACTGACCGGAAAACCGTACAATTTCACTTTGTCCCGCACTGTGAATTTGTCGACCATCTCCCACAATGCACTGGGAAAAATGAACTCTCTGTGGCAAACTTTTTTGGCACACAGTATTGTGAAACGCCCGAATTGTTAAGCAAATAATAGTTATGCTAGAATATTACAGATCATGAAATAAGTACTATTTGTTCTATGGTATTAGGTATGGTATTGTCTTCCTATCCTCTCATTTCACTGAAAACTTTTAATTGCTACCCCTCGATCTTCGAACCCACAGAGCGCATAATTATGCATAGCCAAACACATATTGAGACTGAAATGTAAGATTTCAATAAATTCTCCTCTCTTCACAATAGAAACCCTGGGGTGCAGAAGCCACGTTCCCCTCCCGACTCCCAGCGCACCTTCTGGCCTCGGTTTACCGTCCCGGAGATAGAGTACAAGGAACTCAGCTTGAATATGAATACGTCCAGGGCGCTCAAGAGTCAGCAGTCTTATTTTTGGAACTCCTATATCATTGAGCTCAACAATATGCTCGGTAAGATGAAGGATTTTAGTGACACTGTTACAGAAAAATTGTGTTTTATGAGCTTGTTTATGGGCTCATGTCTCTGGTTCAGGCTATTATAGATTGAAACTTGATATCTACACGGGCAGAGATGTTTTATGGATGAAAATTGAGGTGACGTCACGATGACGTAATTTTTTTTTGTTAATTGATTTTTTGTGCAATTAATCTGCATATGTCAAGAGCAAAACATCCTCCATTGTATGACACCATGATGACGTCATCAAAAATGTGACTTTTGTTTTAACCCTAATCAGGCCGGGTTATTTTGACCATCTCTCAGCCGGGGGGGGGGGGCGGATTCCGCCTCCCCCCTAAGATCTCGGCCATCGAGTAACGAAAAATTTTGAAACTCAGTTTATGCATAGAGCAACTCATCATGAACATACACAAGAAATTTCATGACTTTAGGTCAAAGGGTTTGGGAATTATGGCTAATTTATTATTCATATGTATGAATGGTAATTCTGCTCTGTGTACATGTGTACATTGTGTACATGACGTATTTCGGAAAATTCAGTTTTTACGCGGCAACCCCTGGTCCAATTTTTATGTTTTTGGTATCAAAAGATGACTTATTTAAAAAGGCCTTAACAAATCAAATGCGAACGCATTGTTCCAAATAGCCTATGAGAAAACAGGAATGTGGCCCTATATACTGTGTGTTAGTTGACTGAATGCGACACCGAGGTGTTCTGGAAAAAAAAATCAAAATTTTCAAAGTAAAAAACAGAAGACCTGCTCCAGGTTTTATTTAGTGAAATGTAATTGTACCCTTACACACAGGGAACCATTACACACGAAAGATAATTAATAATCAACCCTGTTTTAGGATTAAAAAAACATGCGTTTACTTTATTTTTTTACCATTTTCTCTGGTCGAATGTACTGCAGATTGCATTGTGCACATGTATCGAGCTCTATAAGTAAATACATGTAACTATAATACTATAAGTACATGTGTGCGTGTTCATGATGTCCATTGAGGACACACACATAATAACATCATTGACGAATAGAGGATTACCTCGATTAGAAAACGTGTACAAAACTGATGAGAATTGTTAGAGTATTTACTAAGGAAAAGCGAAGAGGAACAATACAAAACCCTCGATCTGCACCGTAAACACACGTTATGCGAGTGTGCCATTATGCAAAGCCATTATACCCTTGTTCTAGTAATGTTGATACGTAAAACGTGTTTTTTTCTTCGAATTTTGAGTGGACTATTTGAATTTCGTGTTGACATTTTAGGTGTCGCGTTGATATTGAAATTAACAGTACATTTTTTAAGTGTTCGGTTTGAATGTTCAAGTTTTGAATGTAATATCAGTATTAAGTTGAGTTTTGAATTTCGCAATGACTTTTTGAGTTCCGGGTTAACGTTTGAGTTTGAAGTTACATGTTCGAGTTTCGATACGACTTCAAGTTTTGCGTTGCCTTTTCGATTTCGGTTAAGATTTTGAGCGATTTTCAGAAATGCTTGCATTGACTTTTTAAGTTTGGGTTGACGGTTTGAAATTTGTTCAGACTTTTCGGTTTATTTGAATATTCATGTTCCCGGTCGAATTCGAGTTTCGACTTGCCATTTCATTTTTCTCATTGACATTCTTGAGGGGTCGGGTTGAATATTTGAGTTTCAAGTTGAATAACTTCAAGTTCACAGCCGGTCTTCTCCATAAATCAACTTAATCAATAAACAACTGCGCAGACAAGCCAGATACATTGCGATATACAATGACTGACAACTGTAGTTGACATCTATTTCCTGGGCATGTTTTTTGAAAAATATGTCCTGTTTTTCATTAGTTCCAGAAGCAAGGACTACCGTCGGTTCGAGACCAAACGTCGGCTCGGGAGTAAACATTGCTGCTTTTGTCCTAGCAGGCGTCCTGTTCATTGTGGTTGTGATTGGCCTCGTCGCTTTAATCCTGTCGAAAAAACGTAGGGCTGTCCGTTCACAGCAAAGCACTTCCGACCAAGTGGTAAGTTATTACAATTTGATTAGTTCAAGTGTAGGTTTGTGGCTTTTCTGCTTTTACCAGAAAGCGTGGTTTTGTCCTAGTTTTTTTTATCCATCCTGCCAACAGCAGAAAGCCTTTGTTTTTGCTGTGATTTTTTTTTTTGCTTTTCTGCAATCGTTGCCGAAAAGCCTTACTTTTTGTACCGATTTTTTTCTTTTTTTGGGTCCTTTATTTGGTTAAGATTTTTTTTTTCCTTTTTAGGCTTTTTCGCAAATTTGCACAAAAAGTCATTCCAAAGCCCACAATCGCAAAGACTTTGTACATGTTTTTTCTCAAAAAAAGAGAGCAAAGTTTGACATAAAATGCACTTTGAACCTTGTGAGTAGGCCTTTATGAAGTTTTTGCGACCCCTAAAAGTCGGGCTGTTCATGCTATATAGTTGTGATTCTAGAGTGTTAGCCTTTTGCGGACATGTAAGAAACCACATTCGTGCGTTGGTGATGTTAGTTGTTTTATGTGACATACACAACTTGTACACATTGAGGCAAAACGACAGGAATTTTTTTCTTCTTGTTTGTCATCCAAAATCCCTTGGCAAAGGCTCAACTTGGCACAGGCTCAGAACCCAGAAAAGGCAGTTGTACTGTCAGTGGACAATCAACAATGCATGCTATTTTTGTAAATAAGAGTCTGACAACACCGTTTTCGGTGAGTTGTTTCGAAGTCGATGGCTATATGAGTTATCGAGTAGGCCTACACATCTCACATATGTTCGTTATTACCTATGGTTTTTACAAACTAGTCTTGTTCGAGTTGGATTTTCAGTTTTGTACAGTGTATCATATTTTTTTCTCGAAATTATACATTTGATGATTTGTTTCCTTTGCCTATACAAAGCCGTTATGGATGTAGCAGAACGTGAACGGAGACAAGCACTTTACGCCTGGACGTACACGTATTTTTCCGAGTGGAGATCGGAAACGAGTTCGCCGATCGAGGACCTTTTTCTCCCCTGACTGTAAGACAGAGGGGGATATTGCAATAGCGTATTCCTTCTGTGTGTGTACGCACATGTTTGTTTTACATACGCTATGTGGACATTCCTTTGTTTTCGTGTAGTTAAGAAAACTCGGTACAAAAAATAACTTTACTTAAACTGTGAAAACTCTTTCAACCCCAATTTTTTTCTATGATTCCCTTTAGTGTTTTTCTTCATTTTGCAACCGATAAACCTAACCCCAAAATGCCTCTAAACCTGTTTTCAAGAGAGGGTAAAACGTTATGTGGACACGGCTTAGTCCACATAACGTCAACACAACCTGCATTATGTGGACATCTTTTGTTCACAAGTCCACATAGTGACTGTAAGACAAACTCGCCCGTGCATGTGTGCGTGTGTGTGCTATGTTTTGATTAACTCGTGTCAGCACGATAACTTTGGTTTGTGGGTTGTTTTTAATAGTCTTAAGATGCCTATTGCTTTTGGGCCCAAAATTATGTTGCTGTACTTATCAAACGGCTCTCTTTTCCCTCCCAATTTAAGTACATGTAGTTCTAAAATACATTTATTTTATAATGAACATCGTGTCCAGAGTTCGAAACCGTTTGCAGCTATTTTAACAGTGTTCTATATTAACAATAAATCATAGTTGATTTCAATGAAACGTTTTTTTTAAATAGAAAATTATAAATAAGCAGTTTGTGGCTTAAAGGAAATATACAACATTTGCAAACATAAAAAAAATGTTTACCAAATTATCACGAAAAACCTCAGTGAATGTCGGTCTAAAGCATCCTGTCAAATATAGGCACCTGTTGTGCTGTCCTTTTTTATAAGAAAAGAGGAAGTATCGATTGTCCGACCAGCATTGCTCCCAATTGATCATATTTAATTATTTCGCATTTTCTTTGCAATCGATTACACACCTGTGAACGGGTACAAGCCAGCTAGACTGATTTCCTGACCTTGCTATTCCTTGACGTTTATAAACTACTCCGTTTCATGTTAAGTGGAACTAGAACATGATTAGATTTGAAGGTTTGCATGGTGGAAACGGATACTAAGACAAGATAAGTTTGCACCATGTGAATAAATCTCTTTTGTGAGTATGTGTGGTTCTCAAAAGAACCGGAGGGACTCAACGTTTCGAACAATTTAACATCGCATCATCGTTGGAATCCCTCATTCTCCTGACGACGGGCAGAGCATACTGTTCGAAACGTTGAGTCCCTCCTGTTCTTTTCAGAACCACACTATTCACAAAAGAGATTTATTCACCGCAAACTTATCTTGTCTTAGAACATGATTGTTTTGCTTGATTTTCCCGCATTTATTAACCCAAAACGTGTAACAGTTAGTTCAACAATATTTGCTATAAAATACTAACCTCCTGAATCCATCAATTACTGACAATTACAGCAAAATCAAATGATGTATATTATATATTCTCCCTTAATGTTCCAGTTTACTTCATAAAAAAAATAAGTTGAATACAAAATTATGAGATTGCAGTGAAAAACAAATCATTTGTTCGTCTTATGTAAATGTTTATGGGATCGGATCCTCCCGCATATATGAGGAATGACTTGAATATCATCTGTAAAATTACCCAGCGAGGCGTCTTCGTCTTATTCTAGTTGTAATCTGCCACGATATTTTAAATTACTATATTGTGTTATTATACTAGCATTTTATCAACGTTATTTTAAGCTTCTTGTATCAACTGCTTTCAATTGAGGATTTGTTTTATTTTGACTCTTTCTGGTTTTATGTCCTTTTCTTTTATATGTCTCATTTAATGTGTTTGATTATAGTTGTATTTGTAATAATATAATGTGTTTCTTGTAAATATATTTCTTTTGTAAATGTTTATGGAATGAGTTACTCCCGAAAATGTCTGCATTTTGAAGAGCAAAGTATTAGTTGTTAACATTTTGGGGAAAAAAACCAAATCATCCCAAAATTAACAATTCCTTGCCATGTTCCATCAAATCTCCGCCGACCCCTCTCCTCTCGATCCCTCCCCTAAGAAAAAGACAGAAAAGTATGAGGGGTGACTTGAATATCGGCTTGAATTGGTATTAACCCAGCGATGCGCCCTCGTTTTATTTTAGTTGTAAAATCACCACAATATTCTATATTAATAATTTCTTTGTATTATTTTTGTTGTAGATGTTGTGTCTCGATAATGTGTTGTTCGACAATAGCGCTATTCATTCAGATGTGCGCCGAGGCGTGTGTTAATGTAAAAAAGCAATTCCACAGACAAGTGGACAAGGCTGAAAAATGGGAATAAATTATATCGTCATAACTACTAGCATCACAAGAACAAAATTTGCGATATCAAATTAAAGGGGACAACAAAATATTTCATTCTTTGAGTGGTATGTATTACAGTGGGATGGAATGTTGTGTTTCGAACAACTTGGCATTAAAGTGGCAAATAATCTTACGGCTTTTAAAACTCTTTAGTGGGCAAATAAATAGGTGATTGTTACGGGTCAGTGCACAGGGATTTATTTATGGTTCTTGGGGAGTGGTTTGGGATATGGTTTGTATTTTAAGAAAAAAATGCCTTGAAATTGACAATCGTCTGTTTTAATCTATGGCGTCTGAATTTGTGTGTGATTCTAATTCCTAGGGTGCTTTTATGATAATGTATTAATTATGGGTTTTTTTTAAGTATTTTTGTCATTTTTTTATTATTATATTCATGTTTTTATGTAATCCAGGGCCCCCAAGGAGAACAGTTCATTGACAACTGATGGGGATAACCTGGTAAAATAACATAAATAAAACTATATGTTATAGTGTTCAAATTAAAGAAGCTGCCTGTTAAAACCAATTTACATGTACTTGTTAGACTCACATGTGCGTGTCAAAGTGCTAACAAATTAACGAATGTTACCACGGAATTGCCCGAAAGCTTTTAATGCGGACGAATGTTTTGCTTTTCATCCCCGCACAGCAATAAGCATTGACAAGAAAGTGGGCGAACTTCAGGATGTCACAGCATCAATTGCTACAAATACTGGGGAAACAAACATGGTTGACAAACAAATCTCAGTACACCACGAAGTAGTACGCACGTACATACAAGTAAGAACTATAGCACTCAAAGAAACCGGCATCAAAAGTTGAACGCTCTCTCGTTGTGGACATTGGATGCAGTGATTTCATTTTTGACCTGTTTGTAAAATAAATCAACAAGCAATAAGAGAAAATAGGTGAGTGCTAGTTCGTAAAAAAACGGAACCTGCAACACATATGAATCTGTGTTTTTACGAATACCCCGCACAGCGTAGTGGTCACTCAGTGGTCACTTGGTGATTATTTTTATAAACATACGCAAAAGCTCACTAAAATGTTTGTTTTCCCTCCTAGATCCTTGTAGCCAAACTTGGTCCGATGCATTCCTGAACCAAGCTCCTTCTGGGGTATTCAAATTTTGAAGTCAAAGGTTACCAAGTGGGCGTCATTTTGCTAAAAAAAAATACAAAATGCTTCTTCTCTTACATTCTTTTGTCGATTTCATTCATTCATTCTTTCTTTTCCACATTAATTGGTGTCTACGCAATACATGTACACTTAAACGAAAAAGAAAAGTAAATGTTGATGGGGGTCCCAGAAGCAACCGCTTGTCGAGTAGGGATCCCCATTAATATTAATTAACAATTACATTAACACTAAATACACATTCAATAAGACAGTAAACTAAACCAGAAAGGACAGTGAGTCTAGCTTTTAACCCTGTGAGAATATGTAAATGAGTGGACTAAATAGAGTTTAAATACCCAGTTAGTAGTATGGTTATATATATTTTTTTTAATAATGGAAGATTCCATACATTTTTACAGAAACATCTAGGGAGTTTTCCACTGCTTGGGACCCTCATGCTTAACTGTATTTTGGGCGAGAGTGGTAGTGGTACGAGCAAAGGACTGATGATATTTGTTTCACTGTCTGGTGAAATGGTGGTGCACCTCTTCATTTTTTGTGAACATAGAATAGATGGATTTAGGTAATTTGTTGTGATTTAGTCGGTGCATGAAGGTTCCAAGCTGGAGAGAATAAATATCAGTTACTTTAAGAGTTGTTTCAGACAAACCTAGTCAGATGCTTTTGCAATTTAGGAGCAGTTGGGCTTCTTGTGGTCAATGCGAGTCGTCATTTCAGACAAACCTTTCAAGAGGTTATTTAGGCTGATATCCGTGTTTCCTTCAAACTGGGGTGTACAATACAGGCGGAGTTGCCGGGGCTCGGATGACATGTCACAGGACTGTGGCAAGCATTTACAGAATATACACTGCCCTGAACATCGATGACCTGGCGAGAGCTAGTGCGCTTATTACAATGAGGGCCTGGTTGGAATCAGTATAAGCCTCTGTACTAATGACGTCACAATTTGTTTACGTGTGTTCTTTGCTATGGTGCTCAGTGGACTGTGGACCCCACTGGCTCCATAGGAAAGTGCACATGTAAACAAAGTGTGACGTCATTAGTACAGAGGCTTATTCGATACTGCATTGAACAATGAACATACTGCATTGAACACTGTCCGCCATATGCCTATGCCCTCGATTAAAGATGCTGACTCTTTTCTGTCTGGGTTTTTTTGAATTACTATAAATTCTTTGTATCGTGTGGTCCTGGTGCCTGGCACCTGAAAGGAAGCATGACCTCCACAAGCGCACAAGCTCAGTCAAGCAGAATATTTATCGTATTTGCCTAAACTGTGTAAGAGTAATAGGCTGCCCATGCACTCGTGGACATGGGTAATCGGTACATTGCGCTCGTAGCACTTGCTGTGTTTTTGGCCCAAACGAAGGCCCTAGATCAACCCACAGTTGTTGTGGAACAAGGTGTTCTGGTCGGCACCACCGAGACTTTTGAGGAGTCCCAATTCATCCGTGTAAACAAAACCATTGATGTCTTCAAGGGGATACCATTCGCTGAGCCGCCCGTGGGGCCGCTGCGATTCAGGCCCCCGGTGGCAAAAGAGCCGTGGGTCGGTACATACGACGCTACGTACTTCAGAGATGCCTGTATGCAGGACCCATCAGCTGTGAGAAATGCACCCGTTAACGAAGAATGCCTACATCTGAATATCTATGTACCCAGCCCCGCGTTGGTGAGTATGAAAGATATAGACCTTCAATCAAACCTTACAGCAAAGTATTCATCTGTACAAGAATTCTAACCAACCTTTAATTCTGTTGCTTTTCAACATAGGCTTTGGTACATCTAATGAAACCTGTCTATTTTTTTGCAGTCAGAGGGCGCTGCCGTCATGGTCTGGATACACGGTGGTGGTTTCAGTTTTGGATCCAGTCGTGAACTGTTGTATCAAGGGCAGTCATTGGTTGCATCGGGTGACGTCATCGTTGTCTCAATCAATTATCGCCTGAATGTATTCGGGTTTCTTACAACAGGTAAATTGCATTCTCCAAAGATACCTCAACTGCAAATCAACCAAGAGCGAGAGAGAGGGAATGAGGGGAAAACATGTCGTAATTTATTTTTGTATCTATTTAACAACTTGCACATGTACTAGTGATTAATATTACCACCTACATGTTCTGGCTCGCCCTCTATGATGCCAGAAATGAGCAGGTACTGGTCATCACCACCGTTATTCCCTTCGAGAAGCGAGGCGGTGATAATATTCTCCACATGTTCCAAATATGGTCTTTTTTTTCAATGGGCCAATAAGGCCAAGCTTCCATGTAATCCTCACCCGTACTATACACTACAAGCCTGTAGACTCCCATTGGCCAGACCCTAGCCACTGCAGAGTAAGGAGTGTTGAAAGACAGCAGCCAAGAGTGCCCCTAATTATGCCTTCGTGCAGTAATTAGAGATCTTTGTATTAACGCCGGCTCAAACAGGTTGTAAACAATCCTGGACCTGTGAATAACCTATATCTTATGCATGTCCAGGCATGCGGTGGTTATTGACCTAGAAACACATGTGGTGATAAAATTCTCCATGTGGTTCCACTGCGTAAATTGTTTGCCCTCGGAGCTCGAATGCACACGCCTCCACATACCTTGCATATAGGACCCAGCGCAATTGCATTTGCACCTTCCCTTGAACGAGGCAGCCGCAGTGCAGGGGAATGGCACATACCACTGAAGCCATGAATTTCCTGCATGCTGGACCGAGGTGGCCTGTAGTAGCGGCTGCTTTACATGTAGCTGGGATGTTTCAAGCAAGCTGCTTCCAGTAGTGAAGGAGCGATGTCTGGCCCCTTTGACACCTGCCGCTGCACCACACCCCTTGCTCTGCATGCGTATGGAGAAACCAGTAGTGTCGCACCCTGTTGGGCTGTGGAATAGGGGTGGTACCAATGACTTTGTCTGACCAAGATCGGAGTAGATGCTATGGACTAGTATCTCTACTTATCACTACCGAATTCAACCCAGAAATCCAATAGGATTACTAATGTGTACGTGCAGGCATTTGGCTGCTACCTGCTATATATGCAGCGGCATACCTGCTATATATGCAACGGCATGCGGTTATTTTGGTCCCCCGGACTAATTGTCGCCTTCCATTGAACGGTGGTTACCGCTATCAGCCGGCGTTAAGGGCTACAATATTTATTACACCCATGAAATGTTTGTTACTAACCAACTTACAGAGAGAAACGACGATTGAGCTAATGTCCGCAGCTAAAACCGGATTGGCAAACCCATGACATCGCTGTCCAACGTGCGAGTATATGCCATTGAATGACCCTGCTCTACTGCATGTGCCAGATGCAGGAAGATCCTGGTGTCCGCCCAGGAATGGTTGCACGGCTGAAGTGTTGTGATGTCACAATGCTCGTTGGAAAGCACGGTGTCCAATTAGAGCAGGCACTCGATACTTTGAGATCTGTGCTGCTGAATGAGAATAGCTCCTTTTTGTATGTTCTCATTAATTTTTAATTAGAAACTGCCGTTCCATGCATGCTTTGATAAGGATTGGAGCGCTTCCCTCGTTGACTCATTGTCCGTGGGGCCATTCCACGATTGTTACTACGTGCTAGTTTGGAGGTTATTTTCCTCATGATAATTATCCAAAACAATTGAGCACATGTATGCCTCCAGAAACGGTTAATGTTAGCGACACGAATTCACTGAATGTCCTTTTTTCCTGCTGTTGTTGGGCGCGCACCCATTTGGATAATTGCTGCCATATACATGTATCACCACAACCGTCGCTTGTTTGGCAGCAGCTGTGCGGCCTCTGGGTGCATTGAGGCAATGACAATTGTCGAACTTCGTCCCAGATCACAGTGACTCTCAATAATTCGGGCACAGTGGCTCACATATCGAATGACTCCGGTGTGCCCATTACATTCTTACAATGCTCTGAGTAGGCGGTCTGCTTGACCAGGTAAAGTGACGTGAGAGAGACTTGATGGGCGCACCTCGTGTTTCTGATGTGATGCTCATTGAGTTCAGACTGTGAGCGAATGTTAGGACCTCAGCCCCAGAAAGGACAGTGGCCCTCCCAGAGTGAGGCAGGTGCTTCCCGATCATATTAATGAATCTTGTCTTCAATGTGCGGCACGCGGCACGCCCATCATACAGGAACAAACGTGTCTCCTCCTAAAAAACGGTGGTATTGACATGATTTTTATATTGGAGCAGTTTGTTGATATCATACTATGACTGATCCAAGCTGGTCTGGCCTGGGTTAAGGAATTCAGTGTCCTGCGTCGTCAGCTCCACCACAAAGATTGAATCTATTGTATGTGTACAGATAAACTTTGCGACCTGTACAGCGAGTAAAGAGAACGTTTTTGAGGTGGAATGACGCACCAGAAATCCCAAAATGACCTCGAGTGGTAAACTTGACCTTCAAAACATTAAAATAACATCGGAAGCGGATATATCGACCCCGATAACCCCTTTGGTTTTATTGTTTTATCTGCAAGGACCTCCATCCGGGTGGCGGCCATATTGTTTTGTTTTCCAATATGGCGGCACCGTAGGGCATCTGTCTTGTGTCGAATCATTAGAATAACATCAGATTCATATTTTGTGACCACAAAACCTCCTTCAAGGTGGTATTACTTCGTTAATTTTTCATACTGTGATATATGGCGGCAAGTTTGGATTTTGCCAATATGGCGGTCACTTGGGGCGTCTGTCTTGCCTCAAATCACTAAAATAACATCAGATTCAGATTGCTCGACCCCGAAAGCACAGGAAGGTGGTATTATTTATGATTGTAGCTCGTTTAGTTTGATTGACCTCTGACCCGGTTGGCGGCCATATTGGATTTTGCCAATATGGTGGCCGCGTGGGGTGTCCGTCTTGGCGCCCGTCAAAAATCGAAGTAGTATGGCATGGCCATAGGGCCAAATTTCATGCTTTTGTAAGAATCTGAGCCAAAATATCACTGACACCCCTGACTATGATCTGTCCTATTTAGGTGATGAAGCTTTGCCGGGCAAGGTTGGACTCTTGGATCAAGTCTTAGCGTTGGAGTGGATTAAGAAGAATATTGCAGGTGAGTCACGTGACAAACCCCCACGATCTAAGATAAATCAGAATAAAGTTCAAAGCCTGTTTTTATTTTTGAAACCATTTAATGAAACCATTGTACCATTTTACCATAATTGTCAACAACCGTATGTTGACTGTAATTTAAAAAAAATTGTGTCCTTGTCACTGTTGCTATATGATTTTAAATAATCCAGTTGCACCATTTACCACGTAGAGGACGTATCTCAATAAACACCATGTTGTAAAGGAAACGGAATCCAACGATACGCAATTTTCACGGCCATGATGGTGTCAGATACTCGTAGAAAGAAAGACACAATCGATAACATTCACATTTTTTTTTTCCGGGGGAACCTCTTCTTTTCGTCAACAGCTTTCGGCGGCGATAGAAACCGCGTTACTATCTTCGGTCAGAGTGCGGGATCGGCCAGCGTCAATTTTCACATACTGTCTCAGCTTTCTGAGGGTCTGTTTGACCGTGCAATAATGCAGGTGAGATTGACGGCAGATGCCACACTGCAGGATTGCAGAAACGCTGTGCGTTAAAATTCCATAGGAATAATACCAGGATGCTTGACGAACCGTTTGCTAAGTAACAAAACGTCAGTTGGAAAGGAATGACTACTATACATAGAACCGTGGACTACTGTTTACAGCTTGTCCTCTTCAGGAAATTTTGCAAAAGGGTCACCTGAGAAAATAACCCTGAAGCCCAGAGTCGAAATCCTGTTGTCATAAACCCCGTATAATAGATAATACAGTATTGTGTCTGCTCTGCTGAAATACTAAGCATCGATACCATTTTCGTTTTTCACTTCAATTTCAGAGTGGTGCGGCTTTTTCACCTTGGGGGTTTTCCGAGGACATGGAGAGGCTACGAAAGCAGGCTTTTGAGATCGGGAAGAAGCTAGGCTGTGGAGTATCCGAGAGCACCGCCCTGGTAAACTGCCTGAGAGACAAGAACGCAACGGATCTTTACAGAGCAATAGACGTTGTAAATATCTTTATGAAATCTTAATTATATTGGGAAACGGGTTGGAGGGGCGCCATGTTCCTCGTCTCCCAGGTAGCATCCCGCCTTGCCTTCATGTTGATACCGCGGATTTTCCCTGCATTGTCACAGATTTGTAATGACTCGAGTCAATGACTCGACTCGATCCGACTCGAGTCACACTTCTCGGTGACTCGACTCGACTCCACTCGAGCGAAGGATAATAATAATACATATGGTACGGTACAGCGGCCGCTTGACATACAAACATACAATCTGTCACAGACTCCCAAGGCATCTTTGTCGCCCTTATCCTTCCAAGCCAAATAAGCCCATTGTCTACCCGAAGAGATATATGCCTATATCGCTGCTCTGTGTCCCTTACAAGATCCTGGAACGTCTCCTGCACGCCGGTAATATACCTCCATTTGCCCAAAAAAAAAGTAGGCTGCCGACAGCTTCCAAGTTGGGGAGAAGCCTGGCGCCATCTTCCTAGATCTGCTGCTTACGATACTGCTTGGCTTCGCGGACTCAATCCCATAAGAAGTTCCTGGAGACCATGGCAGATAAGCACATGGCGAGTTTCATAATGGTGCTGAGCAACCGCAGCTTTCGGCTTCATGCCAGCAGCGGCGAAGCAGGGTATAAGAGCGGCGTTCCACAAGGCTATGTGCTTGCTCCGATGTTGTTTAACATCTACATCCATGACCTGCCGGCAACCCAGTCAAGAAAGTATGGTTTCGCGGACGACCTGGCGATCCTACTCAACAAGCCATATTTGGAAGCAGCAGAAGAGGGCATCGATCACCAAAAACATGAAGATCCTGTCATCGTACCTGACGAACTGGCGCCTTAAGCTCAGTCTGGGTAAGACTATATCATCGATGTTTTACGTTAACAATAAAGAAGCATCGCGTGAGATGAATGCCATGGTACACCAAGTCCGGCTGCAGTGTCCCAGTCCGTTCTCACGTACCTCGATGTGAAACTGGACAAAACGTTGACTTTCAAACAACACCTGGAAAATGTCAAAAGGCAAAAACAACTGCCCAAGTCGCCTTGATACGTCGAATCGCTGGTACCACCTGTGGAGCTGCCACGAGGACGCTGCGTTTCTCCACTCAGACCATGGGTGTTCTCCGCCGCTGAATATTGCGCTCCGGTCTGGTGCCGAAGCCCCAACGTCAAGAAGCTAGATGCAGTCCTCGATAGCGCCCTGCGGACCATCTCAGAATGTCTCCGTGCCACTTCCGTGAACCAACTGCCTATCCTAGCAGGTATCGCCCCAGCCAGCGTCAGGCGAGAAGCGGCTATGTTGGCGCCCTCTCCCAAAAGGCCCAGGCAACTGAATCCCACCTCCTCTACAAGGTTGCGACGGAAAGACAACGACGTGCGCGCCTCAAATCCCGGCGCCCGTTTGCAACGCATACCCACGAGCTGCTCACGAAACCAGCAGACGTCTTTAAGGCCGCCTGGGTAAGGAACAGCTTGAGAGTCCGGTGGACCTCAGCAGAACCATCCAGGCTACACCGCTTCATAAACGACCCAGAAGCAGTACATGACCCTCAACGTCCTAGGACTGGAGTTGGATGCTATGGTGCATCCATGAAAAGCTTAATATTCGACTCGATTCGACTCGAGTCACAAAAACCAATGATTAGTTACAACTCTGGAAGGTCATTCAGCAGTTTTCCTCGAACTGTACTAAAACTGTTATTTCCTTATTCATTTCATGCCAAGGGATCTGCCTAGAAATATGTCGAAAAACGGTCAATTGCCAATAGTAGGAATCACTCATCCTTATTATTACTCTATGATCACATTGGTAGTTATTCGTCCCGTTCGTCCCCTCCAACCCGTTTCCTCTTTCTTTTTCGTTAACAAGTGTTATCTTCTATCATTTTAGAACAACGTCTTTTCCGCGGTAGTGGTGGATGGGCGCTTCCTGATAGACACACCAGAAGCTCTGTACGCAACTGGTCGGTACAATCATGTTGACCTTCTCCTAGGCACAAATAAAGATGAAGGCACGCTTTTTTTAGTGGGCCAACCTCGCTTCTCCGACTACGTTAACTCCGAGGAACCTCCGGCCCTGAGCAGACAGGATTTTGATGAACTTATCGACAGTGAATTCTTTCTGGGTAAGAGAATATACTTGTTTAAATCTTGAAAAGAAATACACCAGTACTTCGCTTTTAAAGGCACATAATTATGGTCACTTGTATTTCCTAAGGGTAGTCTTTCGCATTATTATCAGAAAGCTAACTTGGATTGAAGATCGCGCTAGTACTGAACAGCCCGTGCAGTTATTCCTTATGGTTGCTGAACACATCGAAGAAATCAAGAGTCGAAGGTATCCAACGATCACTTGACTGGTTATTGGAAATAAAGAATACTATTGACCTATTTCTAGATGTTTCTAGATCGAAAGGTTGCTCCAGTTTTAAGCTCTGGCAGGAGCTTCTACACGTCACTTGGTGGTCGGTAGGTTGGTCGCTCTGTCTGTCTGTCCCCGGAAAATTGACCAAAAAATTACTAATTGCATGGCCAAATGGCATGCCTTGGTCATAACATGCAAAAATGTCTCTAAACCTGGTTTCCAGAGAGGGGGCAACACTGTGTGGACGTGGGCAAGTCCACACAACGTCGTTGCTACCTGGTTTATGTGGCCCCTCTTTTGTTCGGAAGTCCACACAGTGAATGTACTGCTTGTACCGCAATTGTAAAACTCGTCGCGCACACACATTTATTCTTTACCCTACATACCTACTGTGGACATTCCTTTGGGTTTTCTTTGTGCGGTTGAGAAAACCGGAGAACAAATTGTACTTACACTGTAAATACTCTTTCAACCCAATTTCTTACTTATTATCATTTCATAGGGTGTTCCTCTTCATTTTGCAATTGATAAACCTATTTCAAAGAATGCCTCTGAATCTGTTTTCCAGAGAGGAGGAAACCTTGTGTGGACGTGGGCAAGTCCACACAGCGTATCTGAAAACTGATTTATGGGGACATCTCTTTAATTTGTTGAGAGGACCACGACCTGAAAGTCATGCTTGTACAACCACACAAGGGTGTGTTTACCTGCAATGGGGGACCCCCTATTGTCCCTCTTTAGGATATCCTCTGAAAACGTTAGTACAAACAAATTTGCTTATAATAATGTTTTAAGAAGACCTCCTTTATGTTTCATTGTACACGATCGTCAATTGTGGACCTTCGGCAGTTGTGAACCTTATAGTATTCTATTGTTCAGCGTCCGCTATTGAATGTAGAAACAAACTCAGCGCCACAACGTGAGAGTGCAGCCGTGCTTCGTTAGCTGAATCCCACATGTACACACATGTATGGGTTGCTCTAACCTTATATATATTTGTGGACTTGTCAATAAAAGAGGTCCACAGGATGCAGAAAGCATGAACGCTTTGTGGACTTGTACTTGTACATGTCCACACTAGGTTTCCCTCTCCCTGAAAAACAGGTTTAGAGGCATTTTTGATATAGATTGGAGTATATCGTTCTCCCGCCTTGAAAAAAAAGTGCACGGTCATATATATATGTTTACAAGAAATAAACGCTCCTATATGAAAGTAAGATCAAAAAGGGTACGTGAGTATAATTTGCACAAACTCAAAAAAGGATGTTCAGAAGCTATGAATTTCAATGTAAAAATTAAAAAATGTGGAAATTTGAATGTTGCTTTTCTCCGATTATTGCAAAATAATATTGGTTCTTTTAAGCATCTTTCTTCCATGTTTTCTGATTTTTGTGTCAGATGGTAAAATGAAACCAGTTGATGACGCTATCAGAATGCAGTACATTGACTGGTCCAAGGCAGACTTTAGCGACCATGACTACTATCACTCGTACGTGGCGTTTGCGACGGATTTCTATTTTGCTAGTGGGGCGGACAGGGTGGCGCGCTTTCATTTCCATGGCAACGACAGTGTCTTCATGTATGAGATGACGCACGTGCCTTCTGTGTCCATCTACAACCTTCAAGGAGGACCAGGTTGGCTTGGTTGCGGTCATGGAGAAGATATCTCGTTTGTGTTCGGCCTTCCCTTCATCTCTAATATGGCGCCGCTCTATGCCGCGTTCAAGGATGAAGAAAGAGGACTGGCCGTCGAGTTTATGGAGTTCTGGACCACCTTTGCCAAAACAGGGTAGGTATTAACTCCGCCATCCACCAGGCCTAATCAGACAAAGGATATTACTCCCAATGTGGGTTAAAATTACATGAATTACGCACTTTTGTTGATAAACAACCCACTTTATACAACCAATTTCGTGATCAAGAACACCGATACAATTCCGGCGATTCACCATACAGTGCGCCACCAAGAAGTTGCCATGGAGAGTCAATTTTATCTAGTTTACGGTCGACAAAACACGGTCCATTTGAATGAGTGTCAGTAGACAAATTGAGTTAATTTGTCATAGATTGGGACAAAGCGTTTTGCGGCCTTACCAAAAACACCATATTAATAAGAGAAGAAAAGGGCAAACTTGCACTCGAATCATACGCTTGCTAAAATACTGACCGGAAAAGCATACAATTTCACTATGTCCCGCACTGCGAATTTGTCGACCATCTCCCACAATGCACTGGGAAAAATGAACTCTAGTTGGCAAACTTTTTTTGGCACACTGCACTGTGAAACGCCCAAATTGATAAGCAAATAATAGTTATTCTAGAATATTACAGATCATGAAATAAGTATTATTTGTTCTATGGTATTAGGTATGGTATTGTCTTCCTATCCTCTCATTTCACTGAAAACTTTTAATTGCTACCCCTCGATCTTCGAACCCACAGAGCACATAATTATGCATAGCCAAACACATGTTGAGACTGAAATGCAAGATTTCAACAAATTCTCCTCTACTTACAACAGAAACCCTGGCGTGCAGACGCAAGGCTCCCTTCCCGACTCCCAGCGCACCTTCTGGCCTCGGTTTACCGTCCCGGAGTTAGAGTACAAGGAACTCAGCTTGAATATGAATACCTCCAGGGCGCTCAAGAGTCAGCAGTCTTACTTTTGGAACTCCTATGTCATTGAGCTCAACAATATGCTCGGTAAGGTGAAGGAATTTAGTGATACAGAAAAATGGAGTTACATGAACTTGGGCTCATGTCTCTGGTTCAGCCTATTAGATTGACACTTCGGGCAGGGATGTTTTATGAATAGAAATTGAGGTGACGTCACGATGACGTCATTATTTTATTTTTAATTGATTTTTTTCAGTTAATCTGCTATGTCAAGAGCAAAATTCACAGCCGGTCTTCTCCATAAGTCAACTTAATCAATAAACAACTGCGCAGACAAGCCAGATACATTGCGATATACAATGATTGACAATTGTAGTTGGCAATTATTTCCTGGGCATCTTTTTTGAAGAATATGTCCTAATGTTTTTCATTAGTTCCAGAAGCAAGGACTACCGTCGGTTCGAGACCAAACGTCGGCTCGGGAGTAAACATTGCTGCTTTTGTCCTAGCGGGCGTCCTGTTCGTCGTAGTTGTGATTGGTCTCGTCGCTTTAATCCTGTCGAAAAAACGTAAGGCTGTCCGTTCACAGCAAAGCACTTCCGACCAAGTGGTAAGTTATTACAATTTGATTAGTTAAAGTATGGGTTTGTGGCTTTTCTGCTTTTACCAAAAAGATTGGTTTTGTCCTGATTTTTTTTTACTTTTCTGCCAACAGCAGAAAGCCTTTGTTTTTGCTCTGATTTTTTTTTTTGCTTTTCTGCAATCGTTGCGGAAAAGCTTTGCTTTTTGTACCGATTTTTTTCTTTTTTCCCTTTTTTTTTTATTAAGATTGTTTCCCTTTTTTAGGCTTTTTTCGCACATTTGCATAAAAGTCATTGTATTTTGTTTTGATTTTTTAGGCTATTCTTGTTGGCTTTTCCGCAACGTTTCCAAAAGCCCAAAATCGCAAAGACATTGTACATGTCTTTTCTCCAAAAAAAAAAATTGCAAAGTTTGACATAAAATGCACTTTGAACCTGGTGAGTAGGCCTATATGAAGCTTTTGCAAACCCCAAAGTCCTGCTGTTCATGCTAGTTGTGATTCTAGTCAAAGAGTGTTAGCCTTTTGCGGACATGTAAGAAACCACATTCGGGCGTTAGTGATGTTTGTTATTTTTATGTTACATACACAACTTGTACACATTGAGGGAAAACGACAGGACATTTTTTCTTCTTGTTTGTCATCCAAAATCCCTTGGCAAAGGCTCAACTCGGCACAGGCTCAGAACCCAGAAAAGGCAGTTGTATTTTCAATTGGCAATTAACAATTCAAGTTATTTTTGTAATTATTTGAACGGAAAGGTTCATTTTCAACAACCAAAATAAACTCGTACCCCATCGAAAGTCGAAACCAACCTTTTCCCCTACAATGAATAAGGGCCTGACAACACGCTCTTTGGTGAGTTGTTGGCTAATGAATTATCGGGTACACATCTCACCTATATGTTCGTTATTACCTATGGTTTTTACAAACTAGTCTTGTTCGAGTTGGATTTCAATTTGTACAGTGTATCATTTTTTACCCCAAATGATATTTTTCATGATTTGTTTCCTTTGCCTATACAAAGCCGTTATGGATGTAGCTGAACGTGAACGGAGACAAACACTTAACGCCTGGACGTACACGTATCTTGCCGATTGGAGAAACGAGTTCGCTGAGGACCTTGCCATCCCCCTGGCTGTAAGCCGGAGGGGGATATTGTGATATCGATAGCGTATTCCTTCTCTGTGCTTGTCCGTCTGTATCTGTGCGTGTGTGTTTTATGTTTTGATTAACTCTTGTCAGCACGATAGCTTGAGAAATACTTTACTTACGAACTTGAAATTTAGTTGGTGGGTTGTTCTTGATAGTCTTAAGAAGCCTATTGCTTTTGGAGCCAAGAGGTCAAAGGTCCCTATTGCTAAAACAATAGAAATTTTCTCAGTGCGATGACTTGAGAAAAACTTTATAGGCACTAGATATTTGGCTTGTCGGTTGTGTTTGGAAGTCTTAAAAAGCTTATTAAGGTGTTGAGCAACAGGTGTGAGGTCAAGGTCACTATTACTAAACAATAGAAATCTTCCATTAATAGGGCCACTGACTTCTCAAAGCTGTCAGCATGCCGGGGGATTGCGTTAGTCTCAATTGCAGTATTTTTGAATGTTACGAAAATAAATTCTTATAAGCTTAAGCAATACTACTTCTTATTCCAAATTATGTTGCTGTACTTATCAAAAGGCTCTCTTTTCCCTCCCAATTTAAGTACATGTAATACATTTATATTATAATGAACATCGTGTCCAGAGTTCGACACCGTTTGCAGCTATTTTAACGGTGTTCTATATTAACAATAAATCATAATTTCTTAATGAAACGGTTTTTTTTTTTAAATAGAAAATTATAAATAAACAGTTTGTGGCTTGAAGGGAATATACAACATTAAAAAATATACAACATGAAAAAATTGTTTACATCCTGTCAAATATAGACACTTATTGTGCTGTGTTTTACCCTCGGAGAAGCCAGGCGGTTATAAAATTCTCCGCATTTTCCAAATATGGTCATAATATATTTATTTTTTTCAATCGGACAATAACGCCAAGCTTCCATGTCACCCTCACCCCCTACTATACGCCACAAGCCTGTAGACTCCCATTGGCCTTACCCTAACCACTGCAGAGTAAGGACTGTTAAAAGACAGCAGCCCCAAGAGGCCTCTAATGCCTTTGTGCAGTAATTGGATATCTTAGTGGCCAACCCCTTTTGTGCCGCCGATCTCTCTGTGTCAACCCCTCGTGCCGCCCAGAGCTCAGACAGGTTGTTAACAATCCTGGCCCACACAAGGCCATGTGACTGACCTATACATGTATCTTGTGCATGACCATTCATGAAGGGGTTATTGACCTAGAAACAGTGTGGTGATAAAATTCTCCATGTGGCTACTCCGCGTAATTTTTTGGGGCTCGATGCTCGAAGGAGGGGGGGGTTGGAGGTATCGATTTGGTTGTCCGACCAGCATTGGAAAAAAACTTTTCTCAAATACTGTTCCCAATTTATCATATTTGATTATTTCACCTTTTCTTTGCAATCGATAACACACCTGTGAACGGGTACAAGCCAGCTAGACTAATTTCCTAACCTTGCTATTCCTTGACGTCTATAAACTACTCCGTTTCATGTTAAGTGGAACTAGAACATGATTAGTTTGCTTGATTTTCCCGCATTTATGAAACCAAAACGTGAAACAAGTCAGTTCAACAATATTTACTATAAAATACTAACATCCTGAATCCATCAATTTCTGACAATTATAACAAAATCAAATGGTGTATATTCTCCCTTAATGTTCCACTTAACTTCATAAAAATTGAATACAAAAGACTTGAGATTGCAGTGAAACAAAATTATTCTTTTGTTCGTCTTACATAAATGTTTATGGTATCAGTTCCTCATATATGAAGAATGACTTAAATATCATCTGTAAATTTACCCAGCGAGGCGTCTTTGTCTAATTCCAGTTGTAATCCACCAGAACATTTTAATTTAGTAATGTGTTTATACCTTTAAATGAAATTATTATAAGAGCATTTTTTCAACAACATTGTTATTATTTTTTTATTTTTAATGTCCTGTTGTTTAGGGATTTACTGATATTCATCTTACCCATTATTTTAAGCTCATTGTTTCAAGTGCTTTCAATTGAGGATTTGTTTTATTTTGACTCTTTCTGGTTTTATGTCCTTTTGTTTTATAAGTCTCATTTAATGTGTAATAAAGTTGTATTTGTAATATTATAATGTTTTTCTTGTAAAATATATTTCTTTTGTAAATGTTTATGAAATGGGTTACTGCATTTTAAAGAGCAAAGTATTTGTTTTTAACATTTTGAAAAATAAAAATCATCACAAAATTAACAACTCCTTGCCATGTTCAATTAAATATCCACTCACCCTCCCCTCTCGATCCCTCCCCTAAGAAAAAGATAGAGACAAATGAAGGGTGACCTGAACATCAGCTTGAATTGATATCAACCCAGCGAGGCGCCTTCGTTTGATTTCAGTTGTAATCCAACACAATATTGTAATTTCTTGGTATTATTTTTGTTGTAAATGCTGTGTCTCGATAAAGTGTTGTTCGACAATATATTCATTCAGATGTGCACTGAGGCGTGCGTACACTGGTAAATGTAAAAGGGCAATTCCACAGAGAAGTTAACAAGGCCGCAAGGAATTTATTTTATCTTCTGAACTACAAGCATCACAACAACCAATGTGGGGACAACATCTTTCACTATTTCAAATGTGCCAGAGAGATGGAATGTGTGTAAGTGTGTTTTGAGGAGCGGGATCAGCCGACATTTTTTTTGGGGGGGGGGCTAAATCATGTATTTTTGGTAGTTATTTTTGTACCTTGTTTTAACATGCATCATAAAAAGTGAGTGTTATGGTGAATTTTTTTTTTAAGTCCAAGAGAAACGTTCAAACTCTATACAAAAAAGAGTTTTTTGATTGATTATTAGTCTTAAATGTTTGAACTTTGTACCAAAGATGGGCGGACGAGCCGTAACGTCAGTGACCTTCACGAGAAGGTTATCATTATATGATGGGTATGTGGCCAAACTCGGAAACGAGATTAAATAAATGCATAACGATAAATGGTACATGTTTAACCCTAATCAATACATGTCCAGTATGAGAAGAATTTCAAAGACAAGATATGTAAGAGAAGAATTTCAAGAGAAGAATTTCAATCAAGACCTCAAACAAAATTACTTGTCCTTTTCATGCAGTGGCGTAGCCATGGGGGGCGTGGGGACAACCCCCCCCCCCATGAAACCTTGTCGCCCCCAGTCGCCCCCCACTGAGATTTTGAGTTTCTAAAAAAAATATCATTGATCCACATGACGCCCCACCCCCCCCCCCCCCCCCCCCCCCATGAAATGCTCCAGCTCCAGTGCTCTAATCTACAGCCATAGATTTGTATTATGTGTTTTTTAGACAGAGACATTTTCCGGTTCTTATTACATGATTTTCCTAGCGTATCCAACTTCAGGCGTTGAATATTCATAACAAGGTTTGAGGGGACATTCCTCATTTTGCCACATTAGGTCACAAATGTGACCTCGAGATGAAAACAAAACTGCCCTCAAACGCACGTGAAAGTCATGAAAGCACTATGATCGCGTTTAAAAATGATCTCCTCTTTTGTAATGCAAAAGTGCCCTTCAAAAACACAAATACCCCTCGCGCATTAACAAGATTGAGAACCTTCTCGAGACGGAAAACTATCCCTCGAAAACACGAATGACCTCTCTCGCAATAAAACAATTGTGGAAAACTGGCCTGTAAATAAATAATAGTGCTCCTCACGCTTTTAAAATGTAATGCAACATTTGTAAAAGTGTATATCAGTATTGTTAGTAAATTTTGCTCTGGGTAACATGTATTCCTTGCAATGTGAACGAATAAAATAGTTTCACAATTTTCTCCTCTTTCACATCGACGGACGTTGCCCTTTTTTCTGAGCCAATGCCTCTTTATGGGCCAATGCCTCTTTATAGTTTTAAAAACGTTCCACCGCCGCCGATTGGCGTATTCCCCCCTCCCCACTCGCCGGCACAGATTTACGCCACTGGCTGTCATTGCACTCACGTGGTCACGATTCCAATCATGCCACCGGCTGACGTTAATGTGACATTTCCATTGTATTATAATGGCATCATTCCTTAGACTAAACGTAAGTACAAGAAAAGATGAATTTTCCCAAGCTAGCTAAGGGAGCCAAATTAAAATCAGACAAACAAAATTCCTTCGTAAATGTTTGTAAACGGGTCAATAGTTTGATATAAATATAATGAAGTAGGGGAAACTTGCTAGAGTTTCGCTCAATCAGCGCGATATGTCAGTGCCGGCCGAAAGACGCGCGACGCGAAACAATTGATGAGACAGAATAAGGACGAGCCTGGTAAGGTTAATTGCTCGTAGTGACTCTGCCTAGTCAACTGCTCAGTACATATGAATGATTGTAGAAAAGAGTTACGTAACAGCATTCATGTGTATAGCGCGATACTGATGCATCTTTCATGCAACTATGAAACACAAAGTAACTCTCCCACTGCAGAAATAAGGATTATATTTTAAACGCAAAGAAAAGAGCACCTACTGAAACAGCCTAGTTGTTAAGCTGTCTGACAGCGGACCCAGGGTTAGGGGTTCGAACCCGCTTGGTGTCATTTTTTTGGTTTTCGATGCCCGCGGTTCTGTCATTTAAGAGTATTAATTTCCCGTCGTCATTTACCAACAGCAGTTAGCTCGGTCGGTCGGTCGGTAAGCTGACTCACAAGTTGGGACTGTCTGCGAAGTCCAGGTTGGCATCTGCGTATAGGTACGGGGTTCTTTTGCTGACTCGGCAGCAAGGCTTAGGGTGCCACCTCGTTTCCTCCCTTTATGGTGCCTGACTTTCGAGTTACATGGATGGACAGGGAAGGAGGTGTGGTGGGCCGGGTACCGAGTCCCGGAAGAGTTCTATATTGGAAGTCGGTAAGGGGCTCATTGAGTTAGGGTCATAAGTCCGACTCCTGAAGACTTGGCCATCGCCACATAACTTTTTGTTTTATTTTCTTTCTTTCTTTTCTATCGGAGGACAATTGTAAGAATGATTAATTTGTTATTTTGAGAGCTTTTACTGTAATCGTTCAAAATTAATTTTTGAAATTGCTCGAAAATACAAAATTCGATCCAGTTATGATGTTTTTATTTCATTGTCGCAAACTGCATGACCAGTCATGCTCAGTACCTTTGCGCATACCTTGTCCAGGCCTGTTCCCTGATTTCAGACTGCGGGGGGGGGGGTGTCTTTCAATCCTATATAGTGGCATTTTTTTTTATATGCGAGTGCAAAGCACTGAAGGCGTGGGGTCCGGGGACGCTTAAGAGCCCCATGAATTTTTTTGGATTGCAGATGCTCTGTGGCGCAAATATCAAAATTGTAGCTTGACTCTATATCGAAATATGCCCTCATTATTTAGAGTCGTCACTAATAAGAATCAGCTCAATTCGTAACTGCCTGCGAGCGAGCACGTGCTTGTGTTTTGCTACAGCTGTAGCTGTCAACCCCCGTTTATGAAGCGACTTTGCGCGGCAGCTTGTGCCGACATGACAGAATGTACAATCTTTTGCCATGGGTTGCAGAACCTAATGTTAGCTTCGCGAAGTTTTGAGCAGTGGTATTTATTATTTACACTCTCCACTTTGTTCTCATTCCCTCTTCCTTTCCCCTTCCTTCTCCATTCTTCGGAACACTGGTGCCTAGGGCCTACGAAACACTTAATCCGGGCCTGGAGACACGCCAATTATTCACCGGTCACCCGGCCTCTGTCATTTCAAAAAGCGAGGCTAGAAGGGGAAGGGGGGGGGGGTGGGCTGAACACACTTTTCCTATGAACACTCGCGATAAAATACTGGGGGTGGGTGGTTAACAACAACAACAACAACAACAACAACAACAACAACAACAACAACAACAACAACAACAACAACAACAACAACAACCCCCACCGATGCTACGTCACTACCGTCTTCCACTCCTACCAATGACAGTTGTGAAATCCGTATCCAACAAATAAGGTCTTGTCTAGTACGTCGACTGCGTAGCTTGTACCTTGCAAATTCCGGGTTTTTAAAGGGGTGGTTGGTTTGTTATTTTAATGGGGGAATCGTCGGAGTTGCGGTGTTTTATTCCTGCGAGGTATTATGAGTTTTACCAGGAATCACTTGAAATACGCATTTGTTTGGGGAAAAAAGTTTACCTGGCACCGTGCACATACAACAGAATTCATTTTGTTAAAAGAAGCTTGGGCAGACAGGGTTTTATACGGTTATCTTCAGGCGTGATGTACCAGCTGAAATGAGGAATGAATAAACTGTATCAAAAGGTTTTAATTTACATGTACATGTTTAGCACAACATGGCGATCAGGTGCATAATACGCTTTCAGTTATATGTTCTTCTCAGAAAAGCAAACTTCAGTTACGTCACACCCGGTAGTTTAGTCTGATAGGTAACCGGCCCTTGACAAACATCATGCTAACTCGGTAAATATACAAAGTGACTAATATGTCATTGCTGCGAGATAAAAAGCAGTGGCTCGAATCCTTTTGTTTTGTTAAGCTCCCTGTGACAAGCTGTGTCAGGGGTCGATGAATTTGCAAGTTTTGTGAACTTTATTTGTAATATCTGATAGTGTTTAGGTCTCAAAGCTATGAATATCAACACAAATATTTCGAAGTTTTCTTAAGTATGAGTCGTGTTTATTTAAGAACGCTTGTTTTGGTTAGTTTTCCCATTTTTTAACGATAGGCCTACTCTTTTAAGAGATAGTTTAATGTAAACGATCACTTGCGCTGCCGTTTGTACTCTTAGTCTTTTTTCCCAACTGAAATTGTTTAGATTTGTTTATTTTTGTTTAATTCATGTCATGCGCCATTGACGTAGCCACCGAATAGACAGGGCCTTGCGTAAGGGACTCTGACATATATTTAAAGCTTTGGAATTTACAAGTATAACATGTTATAACATGGAACATTCCATGTTGACTAAAAGGGGTTGGGGTTTCTTGTGGGCGTAGCAATATCAATGGCCATAATTAATGGGATAGGAATATGGGGCAGGGAACATTGTAAATGGGCATCCATTGCGGGTCTGTCTTTGTTCTCATTAATAACCTCAAGTTCTTTCGTAAACACAATATTAAAGGTGACACTTTTTTAGGGGGTAAACTTTGGAACTTACCCAATGTTCCTTGCTCTATGCCCAAATGTACCCCTCTGAATAGTGTCATGTTATTGTGTCCACCCTATTGTGTCTATCTCAAAAAGGCTAATACCTATGACCAATATTTGATTTGGGATTCAAGATTGACAAGTTTTGCTGTCTCACAACGGTCCATTAGCACACGAGCTCAGTCAAACAGACCATTTATCCTGTAAGCATAAATAAGAGGAATTGGCTGCCCAATTCCACTCGTAAACATGGGTAATTTGTACATGGTGGTACGTACGATCGTAGCCATTGGTGTATTTTTGGCCCAAACGAAGGCCCAAGATCAACCCACTGTTACCGTGAAAGAAGGAGTTCTGGTCGGCACCACCGAGACTTTTGAGGAGTCCCAATTCATCCGTGTGAACAAAACCATTGATGTCTTCAAGGGGATACCATTCGCTGAGCCGCCCGTGGGGCCGCTGCGATTCAGGCCCCCGGTGGCAAAAGAGCCGTGGGTCGGTACATACGACGCCACGTACTTCAGAGATGCCTGTATGCAGGACCCATCAACTGTGGGTGCACCCGTTAGCGAAGACTGCCTACATCTCAACATCTATGCACCAAAACCCGCATTGGTGAGTGTGGATTCAAGTATAGATTTAAACCTTTAATGAACTGCATTTAACTTCACCAAAGCCTCGTTTAGACAGTAAAATCATATGAAAACAAATTATGCTCATCAATGAAGATGCAGACTGAAGATGCAGCTATATTCGGTTGAACCAACAAAAACCAACACCACAACTCATGGTGTTGAAACCTTACAGTAAAGTACTCATCTGTCAGTGTCATAATTCTGTAGATTTTCAACCATAAAACTTAGCACATCCAAATGAAATATGTCTCTTTCTTACAGCCAGAGGGCGCTGCCGTCATGGTCTGGATACATGGTGGTGGTTTCAGTACTGGATCTAGTCGTGAGCTGTTGTATCAAGGGCAGCCACTGGTTGCATCGGGTGACGTCATCGTTGTCTCAATCAATTATCGCCTGAATGCATTCGGGTTTCTCACAACAGGTAACTTGCATTCTCCAAAGATACCTCAACTTCAAATCATAGACGTAGATAGCGGAAGGGGGTGGGGATAAAGGGGAATTTATCCCCCAATGTCTTGTAAAGACTGTTCCTTTCCATTCAAATGCCCTTTTTCACCATTCCCCCCCCCCCCCCCCTCAGTTTATTTGTGTTTTTGTAAAGAGTGGCCTTCTTTTAACAAGTGCCTTTTTTTCTTCTGAACAAGTGCCCTTTAAAGAAAAAAGTCGTGCCCTTTTTGTGTGCCATCGGTCATTATGGGTGCCTTTTTAATTGCTCGCTTGTATCGCCCTGAAAAGCATCCAGCATTGTCCATTATAGTGTGTATAACACCGCCCCCATAGAAAGAGCGTAACATGCCTCCCCCTAACAAAATGACATTTCTACGCCCCTGCAAATCAACCACGAGCGAGAGGGGAGGGGGAGGGAGAAAGAGTTCGTAATTATAAATAAAATAGAGTAATACGTAGTAAAACAAAATTAACTCTAAAGGGGCCGGGGCGAAATCCACCCCCCCCCCCTCCCCCCGGCTGAGAGATGGTAAAAGTAGCCTGGCCTTTTTTGTAGATAGTAGCAGGTCAACAAAGCCCGTGTTAGTTATAACACTGCAAAAAGGGGACGAACCCGTTTTCACAGGAACGGAGTGCCCATCTATCTTAACGATTTGGCCAGACTCGAGTCCATGAAATGCTGCTGGGGGGGGGGGGGGGGCGCCACACCTCCTCCACAGTGAGTCTGTTATACCTTCCCAGTATTGGATAATGCCAGTACTCATATAATGCGTAGGTTGAGAGGAGAAGGCCTAATTGAGGTACAAGTGCCTTACTCAAGGGCACAAAATGCACGCATGGCCACGTAGGGGCTCGAACCCACATTCTCACAATCATGAACCGCTCACATTTAAAACAAAAATGTATGGATTTTGCTTTTTGCTGACGTCCTTTTTTGTCTACATCCCATTACTAAAATCTACTTTAGTGTGATAAACACACAAATCGCCGATAGATCATATCTTCACTAGCTTAATTCGCAGGCTTGTCTTGGCTTTATCTAAATAGGCGTGAGTATTGTGGAAATATGCCTATGATCTGCCATGCCATTTTCTTGTATAGGTGATGAAGCTTTGCCGGGAAACATTGGACTCATGGATCAAGTCCTAGCGTTGGAGTGGATTAAGGACAATATTGCAGGCGAGTATAAAACACAGCTCTCTCGTGGCAACAAAAATCGTATGTTGAAAAAAATAAACCACATTGCCAGATAAATCAGAAATGAAGTTCTAAGTCAGTATTGGTTTTTGAATCAATGGAATTTTAATCCAGTTGAACCATTTACCATGAAATATCACAAAAATAATACAAATGTTATTTCGGTTAGAGGATGTATCTTGAGATATCGTCTCCAAATGAACTAATACGGCACTCCAATGTTGAACACAATAATAAACCGCATAAAATGGCAAGAACATGTAACATAATACAGTCACGCCCCCCTTTTTTGCACGCCCCTAATTTTGCACGCCACACTAGTACCTGCAGTCTTTGAAACGGATGACCCGCTGCACTACGGCTTTCAGAGATCGTTAATGGGAAACAGCGCCCCTAATTACCCCCATCCAATTGCCCAGAATTCAACCTACTCCATTTTGCCATGATGGTGTCAGACACTAGTTTAGAAAGAAAGGCACAATCGATAACGTTCACGCATTTCCTGCCTTACATTTTAAGTTTGGACCTACTTCTTTTCGTAACAGCTTTCGGTGGTGATATAAACCGCATTACTATCTTCGGTGAGAGTGCAGGATCGGCCAGCGTCCATTTTCAAATACTGTCTCAACAGTCCGTGGGTCTGTTTGACCGTGCAATAATGCAGGTGAGAGTTGAAGTTAATAAGGTTGTCCGCAGATGCCACACGAGGTTGCAGAAACCCAGTGTGTTTAGGCCATCAGCCTCGGTCCAACATTTTGGCCACCGGTATAATGAGGGGAATAATCGTCATAGCGATTTTTGGCAAGGTATACATCTCCGGAGTTGGAAAATATGTGATAGCATTGCAGCGATGACAACTTTTTAGGTGTTATCACCCTTTTTCTCAAAATGTCCATCAAAATGCTTACCACGCTAGGGGCGGTATACCTTGCGTATGCTCACTATAATCATTTATGCCCTGATTTGATACCGACCAAACCCCCAGGCTGATGTCCTAGTAAACCCCATCAACAAAAAGTCAGGATGCTGAACAAGGGTACCGTTTGCTAAGGACCAAAATGTCACTTGATTCCTTTGAAAGGGGTGATCACGTTAAATAGAACCATGAACCAACCATAAACAGATTGTCCTCTTCTGGGAATTTGGAGAAAGGGTCACCTGAGATGATAATCCTCAAGACCAGAGTGAAAGTCCTTGATATTTTTTATAAACCCGAAACAATAGTAACACAAGAAAATAATGGTTGTCAGCAGTGTAGTGTCCTGTCTATGATGAAATACAAAGTATCAAAACCATTTTCGTGTTTTTTTTTTTTTTTGCATTTCAGAGTGGTACAGCTTTTTCACCTTGGGCGTTTTCCGAGGACAAGGAGAGGCTACGAAAGCAGGCTTTAGACATCGGGCAGAAGCTTGGCTGTGGAGTATCTGAGAGTACCGCCCTGGTGAACTGCCTGAGAGACAAGAACGCAACTGAACTTTACGGGGCAATAGACATTGTAACTATCTTGATATAATCTCAAATGCATTGGGGAACTACGGGTTGTAGCTGTACCTTTCCCGTGTTCAAGGTCGCATCCTGCCTGGGACTTCATGCTGACAATTGCCAAATAATTATAAATCAATCAAATTACATTACTGTATAAAACTATGTTCAGAATACGTCTGGTTTTGATCGTTGTTTGTTCTTTCTTTTTCGTTAATAATTATTTTCCCTTATTTTAGAACACCTTTCTTTCCGCCGTGGTAGTGGATGGGAGCTTCTTGGTCGACACACCAGAAGCTCTGTACGCAACTGGTCGGTACAATCACGCTGACCTTCTCCTAGGCACAAATAAAGATGAAGGCACGCTGAGTGTATTGGCCAACCCTCGCTTCTCCGACTACGTTACCTCCGAGGAACCTCCGACGCTGAGCAGACAGGATTTTGATGAACTTATCGCCGGTGACTTCTATCTGGGTAAGGAAGTAGGGCCTTTTTAATGTATGATCATTTGCATGTCCCAAAAGTAGACTATCGCATTATTATCAGATTAAATGTCGTGCTTGTACTGAACAACAGTGCAATTATTCCGTATGGCTTAATGATCACTTTGATGAAGAAATCAAGAATCGCTGGTGGTTTCTAACGATCAGTTTATTTTATTTCTTTGCCCAGAGTGTGCCCAAACAGTTTGAAACTGGTTTGCATTACATACACTACATGATTCTACACGCATGTACAAATATAATGCATTAAAAATGCAATACAGCACAGTGAAATGAAATAACAGCATACGGGATTACTGCATGACTATACAAATTACTATACACAATGTGCAAATACAAAACATTACAAATACAATACACCACAACGAAAAAAAATACAAGATTACTGCAGTAATTGTAAAGCAACTGTTATGAATATTGTAAAACATACGCCCCCCCCCAAAAAAAAAGGCTCCCGTTTCTGGTATGCGCGCGCGTCGCCGTAGCCATGCGCGTCGGCAAAATTAAAAAAAAAAAATTCTCAATGTAAAATGATGTCTCAAAACCGCCAAACTCACTAGTTTGACTGGAATCCTGCTGCTGCACAATTTTAACGTGTGTTTTAGATGGAGTTACGATAAGCTTTGTGTGGTGGCCTCCCATACATTTTGCACAGAATAGACGGGCACCATTTGCAGACGGTGTTGTACAAAAAAAGGTAGTGGAAAAAGAAATGCTATTGACGAACTCTTAGCTATTTCCTGATCAAAAGGTTATAGTTTCCACTGTTTTCTCCTAAAGTGTAATATCCATTCAGTTCATACCGTTCAACTAGTTAGGTTATAAAATGCGTCTTTTGGATATTAAGTGGTTTTATTTTCGCAACTAACACAACGCCTGAAAAGTTGCACAATGCACGCGATTTTCGCGTTTGCCTATCATACAAAAGAAAGGGCCAAAACAGAAAACGAGAAATTGTGAATCTCTTGTCCTTTTAAACGTTTTCCACTTAGGCCTTTCGCTAAAGGGTGCACACCTGTAAATAGGCCTAAATCCATCCACCGAGCTCATGAATAAAAGTTACACCATCAAAATATTCTATATTAGAGAGTTCTGAGAGCCATACAATTGAGGAATTGAAGAGATGTGTCTATGAACCTCTGGCCCGGACTTGGAGCTTCCAATTCTGAGCATTTTGGATGCATTTGGACTCGAAAGTGGCGCTATTTTGCCATGTTGTGGAGTGATCGTTTTTCAAGATGGCTACAAATGAAAGATGACATGTTGATCATCTTTTTACTGTGCAGCTTAAACACCTGTGAGAGTTCCGAGTATTTTTAGAAGAATTTTGAAGTACGTATGGGCATTAAGCACCTGTGTCTATGGGAAGTTTAATACAAGGTTGCATCCTATAGGTTGCAGCGTACTGCAGGGAATAGGCGGACAACGCGCATGTTTCCAATGTGTATTATTGTAGAAAAAGCGCCCCCCAAGCCCAGCTTTGACGAATTTGAAAAGTGGCCAGGGTCCTAGAAATAAGCGCTCCTATATAAAAGTTAGATCAAAGGGCGAGTATACAAACTGTACTTACACTCAAAAAGGAGGAGGTTCCCTCTTTTACGCCCTCCGGTCTGATTGGAAACTAATTTTGATATTATTTTAATATAATTTGCACGTTGTAAACATATGAATGATTCATGTTCTGTGATTATCGAAAAATAAAGCTGGTTCTTTTGAGAAACTTTCTTCAATATTATCTTTTTTTGTCAGATGGTAAAAATAAACTAGTTCATGACGCTATCGGAATGCAGTATATTGACTGGTCCCAGGCAGACTTCAGCGACCATGACTACTATCGCTCGTACGTGGAGTTCGCGACGGATTTCTACTTTGCTAGCGGGACGGACATGGTGGCGCGCTTCCATTTCCATGGCAACGACAGTGTCTTCCTGTATCAGATGACGCACGTGCCCTCTGTGTCTTTATACGTCCTTTACGGCGGACCAGGTTGGCTTGGTTGCGGTCACGCTGAAGACATCCCGTTTGTGTTCGGCCTTCCCTTCGTCCCAAATGAGGCTCCCTTCTTTGCCGCATTCACGGTAGAAGAAAAAGAATTGTCCGTCGAGTTTATGGAGTTCTGGACCACTTTTGCCAAAACTGGGTAGGTTATAACTTTGCCATTCATCAGACCTAACCCGACAATGGATATCAAATACCAATTTGGGTTCAAACAACACTTTTCTTGATACATACCCCATGACATAACCTATTTCCTGTACGGATTACAAAATAAATACAAGTTAATTGAATTATTTTTCTAGGTGAATAGGAAAAGTAAATTTTGTCTTCCTAATAAAGTCCCACGACAGCTTCCATCCTCTGTAATTTTCACACTTTAGCTGAAACCCCGATCATAGAACCCAAAAATTATGCACACAGTTATTCATGGCAAGAATACCTATTGAACATGCAACATTTAATACAAACGTCCTCCTCTTGAACAGAAACCCTGGCGTGCCGCCACAAGGCTCCCCTCCCGACTCCCAGCGCGATTTCTGGCCCCGCTTTACCGTCCCGGAGTTGGAGTACAAGGAACTCAGCTTAAATCTGCCCACATCCAGGGCACTCAAGAGTCAGCAGTCTTATTTCTGGAACTCCTACATCATTCAGCTCAACACTATGCTCGGTAAGCTGACACATTAAAGTGATGCCGAAACTTAGAGTTTGTTCTAACCTTGCCTTGTCTCCGGTTGTGTTTGTCCGGGACATCAGATGGACTCTACTAATCCTTTTCACGCCATATAGCCCAGTCGTACCTGAACGGGTCTAGCTTCGGCCGAACCGGATTGGCAAGACTTTACGTTGACCCTTAGAGCACATTTTTCCTACAATCGTTGTACTTTCTTTAGCCTATTCTCAATTAGTATCAATTGGGAGCATTTCTTTTCTCCCAAAAGACATTCGAATATGGGTGAACCTTATGGCGTTTTGGACTTTACTTTCCCGAAAAACATGAGAAAAGAATATAACATGAGAAAAAAAATGATTTTGAACATTATGAAATTCGGACTTTACTTCCCTTTAAAAAAATCCTCCGAAGCCTCGGATGAGAAAAGAAAAGAATTTCGGGCGCAAAACCAGGGTTCGAACCCGCAACCTTGCGGTGCAAAACCCTACCCTGTATCGACTGCACTGAGCTATCTCTCTGCTTATTATATACATGTACCTGCGTAAGTATCATAAAAGTATCGTAAAGGGCGCTCAACAACCATGTTTGCGGATGTAGTTTGGGAAAGGAAAGTTCTCGGGCGGGGAGGGAGACATTAGCCCTCCCCGGCCTACACTGACACCTCTGCGGACGCCCATGTTGTTAAATATGCATTAATTTAACGGCAACGTGAATTTGAACCTCTGTAGCTTTTATTGTGTTCAGCGTATCATTTCTAACAGGTGATGATTTTTTCCTTTTCTTGACACAGCCGATATGGATGAAGCAGAACGTGAATGGAGACAAGCATTCTCCACCTGGAAGTACACGGATCTGGCCGATTGGAGGAACGAGTTCGCCGAGTACAAAGCAATCAATGTGAATTAATAAAACAAATAAATACTCACATAAATCGAAGGAAAGACTACAATTTGTTACATTAAATAGATAAAATCTTAGAAAATTAAGATTAGATTCATTCTTTATCAAATTAATTTACTCACAAAACAGTCCTCTTTTCACAGTTCTAATTGTAATACTTGAATATTTACAGTGTACATTCCAATCATGTTTCAAACCGTTTGCACTTCTTTTGAACAGTGTTTCAGTTTAACAATTGATCATATTGTTATGTTTTTGTTAACGTTTGTCAATATTCTAATGTTAAAAGAATGCTTAATTTTCTGGCTAACCTCAATTTAAACCAAGTTGAATATAAAATTGTTTGCAGTGAAGGAAACAAAATCAGTTGCTCTTTGCTCAATCGGATCACACTTTTGACCTTGATTTTGTCGGCACCAAATATTTATAAAAGCGATTGTGTTATCTGTCCGCTAACTTAAAGGATATTTCATGATAAATCATTTTGTTGGATTAAGCTGGGTTCGTCATATTGGTAGGTTAAGTTATTTTAGAGTACGCCTTCAAACTGTTTGACCAGTTATTTATATCAACCGCTGAACTTTGCACGAGGACATCATGGGCGATTCTTTCATTCCAGAACCTCGTTGCAAATGCCTTGCGAGTCATCCTCCCAATGTTTGCGTTTCAAAATCAGCTCACAGCCACACCCTGTAGGGTGTCACATCCTCTCTCCTGCCGAAAACAAAAACAAATCCGAATCTTTGCACAAACGCAACCGAAATTTAAACATATTTGGAGAGGGTTGCAGAAATATTCACTGACTTTGACTGACACCGTGCCTTAGACCCATTTTGATGGTTGGGTCCTTCAACACCCTACACATCTTTAGCCCCAATTGGCCGTCGACGTATTAAATAGATAACAAGAATGTCAATGCCGAGTGAGACCCAATTCGCCTCTAGTTTTCTTATGTTACCCAGGTGCAAAACAGGCTTTTAGAGATGTCAGTTTGGCCTGCCTTGCTTAGTACTGCTTCAACATGAAATACCAGTCTCCAGCGCTTACCATACCAGCGCTTTGAAATTGGTCATGCAGGCCTGGGTTCGGGGGAAATGAAAATATATATTCTAACTAGAATGTCGACAACACAACTTTAAATTAAATAAATAAATAAAACAAGATTTTGCTGGCTTGGCACTCCTGCTTATCTATTTCCCTCTCAACACCCAAAGATTCAAATATAATTTACGTCAGAATAGGTATCAATGATGAATGGCATATGTTTGGACTCCACTGCCTCGCAATAATGTGTGAAGCGTTTAAGATAACCAAAATATTCGTCAACCTGCCTCTCCATTTTTGGAACATTTTCACGTTTTGCGTATTGTCATGCTTCATAGAAACAAAAGCAACTCATGCAACGGCCTTTTGGATCAAATAACACAGCTTTTTCAATTCTACATATGTAATGATATCCTAACCCCAAACAGTACACCTTTTTAATAACTCACTCCAGGTTAAAAAAAAAAAAAAAAAATTATCACAAATTTAAAATATTATTATACGAAACACCTTATCTCTAATATAGCACCGATTGTTAGTATAATTATGTAATTCTACTAATAGCCTGAGAGTAACGTGACCAATAGCATAACTTGAAAAAAAAAATATTTTGAAACAAAAACAAATGTGCTGGCTTGGCACTTCTGCTCATCCTTTTGCCTCTCGGCACCGAAAATTTTTAATATAATTTACAACAGAATAGGTAACAATTATAACGACTTGTTTTAAACACAACTGCCTTGCAAAAATGTGTGAGCTGTTTAAGAAAACAAAAATATTCTTTCACCTGCCTATCTATATTTGGAACATTTTTACGTTTGGCGTAATTTCATGTTTTATAAAACAAAATCAACGTATGCAACGACCTTTTGAATCAAATAACACAACTTTATCAGTTCTGCATATAATCTCAAAACTGTTGTAATAACTCACTCCAAGTTAATTTCAGAAAAGTACATGTAGTTCTACTAATAGCCTTAGAGAGAAACCTAACCGTTAGCATAACTTAAAAATAAATAAATATTTTTGTTTTGCTGACTAGGCATTCCAGCTAATCCATATTTCTCCGACCACAGAAACATTCAAATATAATCAACAAAGAAAATGGGTAACAACTATTTAGGATTTATTTTAAGACACCACTGCCTCACGCGTAATGTGTGAACCATTTAAGAAAACCAAAATATTCGTTCACTTGCCTCCCCAGTCTTGGAAAATTTGCATGTATTGATCTTGACACAAAACAGTGAATTCAAGATTAAGCAACGTAATGGAATGGAGTCTTGTATCAACACAACTTGATCAATCCTGCATATGGCGATATGACCCCAATGCAGCAAGGGCGGATCCAGGGGGGAGGGCCAAAAGGGGGCCATGCCCCCCCCCCCCCCAAAAAAAAAAAAACATTGGTTAAAGTGGTCAGAAATTGCCTCAGATCGCACCACAGAGCATCTAGAATCCAAAAAAATTTCGGGGCCCTTAAGCGGGCCCCGAACCCCACGCCATAATTTTTTTGACCCACTTTTTGGGGGGACCAAATTTTTTTTTGGCCCCCAAAAAATTGTGTTCAGGATCCGCCCTTGCAATGCAGTGCATCTTTTGTAATAACTCACTTCAAGTTAATATAAAAAACCACCAAATTATCAGAAATTAAAAACAATCATAAAACCCTATCTCTAATCAAGCACTGTTTTAGTACAGAGAGTATCCGTTAGCGCCAACACCACTCGAACCGCCTCTTGTATCAAATAACACAAGTTTATCAATCCCACATGACCCTAAAACAGTGCATCTTTTGTAAATCACTCCAAGTTAATTAAAAACAAAACACCAAAACTCTCAGAAGTTAAAAAAATTATAATATAATTATAATCAAGCACTGATTTTTAGTACCTAATCTACTAATAGCTTGAGAGAGTAACCTAACCGTCTGCGCCAACACCACTGGAACCGTATTATGGCTCCGAGGACTAACTTCCCAACTACACAGCATTGTTCTCAATTTGGTCGGGAAGACTACTGTATTTTACTTGCATCTCGTCATCTCTCTTCTGTAAGCCTTTGCTGTCCGGGTTCAGCTTGCCTCCCATACTGGTGCCTAGCCGCCTGTGCACCTGCCAAGCATGCAGGCGGTTCTCAGGAAGGGCAGGGCCCCAGTTGTCACGTGGTCTCACCAACTGTTGCAGGCGCTGCGAAAATAGAGATTGTAGATAAGGTGTCATTGTTTGCGAGAACAACGCAGCTCTTCGGAGCAAAAAAAAAACTTTTCAGAATTGTGAATAACTTTGTTGAGATCACCGGCTACACCTGGAGCAGTGTGGAATCAATACTTCGCTTCTTTCAGTTTATACAATTCGATGATGTTAGGTTAGGTCTGCAAAATACCTCTTTGAGTGTTCCCTTTTCCGTCATCATGGCATAGATCCACCATAGTGGTATCCAAACCAGAACCACGATGAAGATACTCCAGCCAATACCAGCCGACCATGCCGGCAGTGGCCCGTTGTACTGCGGCTCAGTGCGGGTGATAAATTTAAATACCACCACGATCTAAATTGAAGGGAAAACAATTGTGTAAACATTTAAATAAGTGTGAAAGTGGGAAAAACATAATTGAGCACTCAAACGAAGCTGTTATTTTAGGCGTCTCTGATTTCTGCCGCAAATCCCTCTTTTAAGACAAAACCCTTAGTTATTATATTTGGGGTTTTGCCCCAGCCTGCACCAGGATTTCAACTCTCTCGTGTCTCAAAATTTAACCCTGGTGGAGTTTATTAGTGGTTGAATGCCCTCTTTACCGGTAAAAAGCAAATAGTATCACTTGACTGAATGACGTTGGTTTGCCTAAACCCTCCCCAAATGGCCTTAACGCATATTTTCATATATAAATATATATAAAAGTCCAGAAGTTAATCAATCTTTCCTTTGTTTGATCGTATAAATAGGTGCACAGAAACTGGAAATCCAAAATTATGGGGCTGCACATTTACATAATGTGTCCTGCGTTAGTTTATGGTGTACATCGAGGACACACACATGCAACATCATCGATGAATCGAGGACAGAAACCGAATCGAGGACTCCTCGGTTGGAAAACGTGTACAAAACCAATGAGAGCTCTTGCGAAAAAGTAAAAGTACAAACAAAGGAAAAGGGAAGAGGAACAAAAGAAAACCCTCGATTTACATCATAAACAAACGTGGGTGGATGGATGGGTGTGCGCAAGCATTGCGTTCACTGTGTGGACGTCCGAACAAAAGAGGTCCACATAAACCAGGTAGCAGCGACGTTGTGTGGACTTGCCCACGTCCACACAGTGTTTCCCCCTCTCTGAAAAAAACAGCTTAAGAGGCATTTTCGGGTTAGGTTTACGTGTGGCAAAATGAAGAGAAACACTAAAGGAGTAAACTGTGTAATAATGCAAGAAAAGTTAACTCACCAACAAAAACAATGGCACGATCATAGCCCAAGCGAACGGATAGAGCTTAAATAGAGGGAAATCAACGACCTTGTCGCCAATCATGGATCGGATGTCATTCAACAGTCGTCGGATACCATAGAGCCAACTGATCGCCAGACACTCGCCAGCCACGAAAAATATGAGGGCGACTGATGGCGCGTACGCGTTAACGAATGCGAGCCAGTATGGTCCTGCCTGTATAGTGACAAATTTATATTCAGTCATGTTTGCTGAACTTCAATATTTTTAAACTGAAGTGCGTTTAATGTTGTGTACAGACGCAGCATATAGGCAATAACTGGGACAGGGTCGGGTTAAGTCTAGTCAAAATAAACAGTGCATATAAAAAAATAATTGTTCAGTTTGTTTTCTTGCATGTTCTTGTCTAAATTAATAACAAGTTAATAATAATAAATATTGTCCAAGACCAGTCCAAGCCACAGCAAAAGCAATTTTATTCAAGTGTGATGTTGTAATGTACATTCTGGTTTATTATTACTCACATTTGTCACAAATATCAGTCCCACGAAGAACATGGCCAGACACCAGACGAGCAAAGTCAGTAATCGATGACGACGAAGAAACGCAAACTCATCTACCAGACCAGTCACACTCCTCTCGATGATAACAAACTGCAAAATATAATCACATGAAGGCTAAGGTGCCTTGAAAATAGTTTATGGACGCTGTGCATGATGTTAATGAACAATACAGGTGTATGGCACTTCCTAACCATTCGACGGGGCCGATGTTCCCCGAAATCCTTAGGATTAGGGTTAGGGTTAGGGTTGCGGTTAGGGTAAGGGCTAGGGTTAGAGTTTGGGTTGGGATTCGGGGAACATCGGTATTGGGGAACATAGGTATGCACCCCCATTCGACTGAGCTCCATATTCGTGTACACTGGTTTGCGTTTCGCTGAAAACAATGGTTCCGGCACTTTTTCGCGCAAATTCGTTTTTTGTCATTCGTTTTAATGTTGTTGTCGTCACATTTCGTTTCTGGTGACTTAAAACGTATACGTTTAGAAAATGCGCCCAATCTTCAGACCTATTTGAAGAATTGTGCGAATTGTGTAAGTATCGAAATAGGCAATTCGTGTGATACAAAGGTTAAAATTACCGGGAAAGCCTATACCAAAAATAATGTGATGTAACAGCGATGTTTTCCATAAAATTTACATATATTTGGCTTATCACAGGTCTTCCACCGTATTCCGCGAATGATCTTTGTATCTTTCCCAAACCATGTGATCGGTTATGTAATCTCTGCTCTGAGATTTAAACAGAGACTGGGTAATCACCTGTGTGTCAAGTCCAATGATGAACAGCATGAAGAAGAACAAAGCAGACCAAAATGGCGCCAAGGGCATGCGGCTAACAGCTTCCGGGTAGGCCACGAATGCAAGCCCGTAACCTGTGTGGTAGAAAGTAGCAAACGTAGATGGACATTACGACCTGGAAGACGCCCATTTGAGCTACAAAACGCGTTTTAAACGAAATTATGCTAATTGGAAAGGGCATTTAAAGGGATATAACGGCCTTGAATACGCCCAATTGGTCTACAAAACGTGTATTGAACGAAATGATTTTAATCGGAAAGAACAATTAAAGTAGGATATATACATCCACACAACTATCCTTTAAAAAACTGGGCGCTTTTTGTGTTATTCTTGTGTTGTTCCGGCGAGAACGAATTTCGGGGTCCACTTTTGCGACCCCCCCCCCCAAAAAAAAAATCGGGCTGTTCAGTGCTAGCATGTGATCAGCCGTAAAGACTGTGTCCGCCTTTTGCGAACGTGTAAGAAACCACACGTGCAAGTTTATTGGTGCTGTGTGTAATGTTTGACACACAACTTGCATCGTGCATTGAATGAAAACGACAGCAAAAAACGATTGCGTACCCCGTCGTGTCCGATGTAAACAACCCGGGGTTTTCCCGTCCGTTTTCTCGGGTCCGGTAATACATTAGGTTAGTCCCTTTTAACTAGACGTTTTAAATAGTGCAAGTAAATAATCCAAAACATGAAATGTTTGTGGATTTCAGGCCGTAATGCCCCTTTAAAGACGAAGATAAGGCCGCCTTCAAATTTCTTGGCTACGGTCCAGCAGCGAAATACGTGGATATAATGGTGAGTAGCCGCAGCTACTTCTAATAGACACATTGTGTGGTTGCAAGCCGTACCTAGTATTTCGGATGCGGCCTTAAGAGATACATTCCAACTACTTCAAAAACATCTGTTAATGACTTTAATTGTAAACATATTTTATGTATTAATTTAAAAAAAAATACCATTGTCATTTTGAATAAGTTCTAAATTTTTAATGCGACAAATACAAAATACCTCTAATTTCAGAGTCCAAAAAAGATATATAGGTGTTTTGGGTGTTTTGTGGTTTTTTGGGGTTTTTTTTTTTACATACCCTGCGAAACCACATCATACATACCCTGCGAAACCACATCACTGACGTCTTTTCCCTGTGTGTGAGCCATGTACCCGAGAATCGAGAAGATAACAAAGCCGGCAAAAATACTGGTTGCCGAGTTGATAAGTGGGACGATCAAGCCGTCACTGGAGCAGAGCAAATACAAAATATACCATGCATAATCTAGTTAACCATGAAGTATATCGAGCCATTGTTACATATAGAATTACAAGTATTATTTTCCTGATGCATAAAAACCATATGGTGTTGGGGCGTTTTTTTACGGTAGGCCTATAATAATATAAGTAGTAAAAGGTAGATTTATTGGGCGGTCGAGATATAGACGAGTATACGTCTTACCACTATACACTGCATACCATATCTGTCAAAACTGATAATGATACTTACATGAGACAATTATTGTGGAACGAGTTGTACGATCCTAGAGTGAGTGTTCCTGATGAGCCACTCCCTAGAGAAAAGAATATCTGACCGATTGCATCCAGCCAAACCTGGGGTGCGCAAACAATATTGTGTGGAAACAAGAGAAATGAATTCCTGACAAATAATGTTAAAATAGAAGACTTGTAATCTGACAAGGGGGGCATTATAGGTCAGTCTTATCGGCTGCATCCGAATCAGCTGTCTAGAGCTAGGTCTAGGTCTGCCCCCATTGAAAATACGCGGGGACGCGCCGACAATAGACGTAGCCGTAGCTCTGGAAGCCCGTTTCGAACACGGCCTTAGAGAACATTATCCAGGCCGAGCTTGCAGCTGGACGGTTATGGGTGCAATAACGGTGAAAGAACAAGGAACCAGTTAAATACGTGATTTTTGAACGATACTACACACGACACAATTTGTTGCAATATATGGAATAAAATTGTTCGAACCGCATGTTGCACAGATTAATCGCAATATTGAAATAGGCCTAAATTAATCAATAGATGTGAAACATTTTTTACGCTGTTTCTACATTGTAGCTCCATTTTCTACATCGCTTTCTTAGCTATGTAAAGCCGAAGCCTTCCATCGCTGCTTCTCTTTCTCGCAACCGTTTAGAGGGGCTCCCTCCCTAGACTTTACGCTCGGGTAGTATTGTATTGAATCGAGAACAGAAAGCATAGAATTATACGTGTAATCCGGTGTGAGGTTATTTATATTACTAGCGGGTGAAGTCATATACTAATGTACTACTTTGACTTCGATTTGCATGTGGACTCCCAATGGGCGTAGCCTAGTAAACCTTGGTGGCGCAATTTTTTTCATCATCAACGTTATGTTTTGCATGCGTAATAGCGATATGTTTTGGAGTGTTTTCATATACACAATGTTGTAATATGTAAATATTGAAAATCTGAAAGAAACAAATTTGCCATACAAGCAAAAGAATAGGCCTACAAATAATTTTTTTCACGTGGCAACCGTGACTTCAGAGAACAGTGAAATTGGAGCATAGGACCTGCATACACTGGAAACTTCTCCATTACCCCTTGCATTTGGCGCTTCCGCACACTCCTAAGGCCTTTTTACCAGACACACAGAAATCAGAAAGACAGAAAGACAGTGTGGGATCTTTTAAAGCTATAGTCCATCATTTGCAGCCATCCGAAAAAGTAACTGGCGTATTATTGTTGAAAAAAATACTTGGTTGAAAGATAGGAAGTGGACTAAACTCCCTGTGAAATTATTCTTTCCGGCAAGCTGTCATTTTCCAACGGTGCGTCTTAAGACGCACCGTAGGAACATTTTAATTAGTAGTTCGTTTTGTTATTCGGCGCAGCGCGCGCAAGCATTGGCACGACGCACAGCAGGGCGCGGTTGCTATAATTCGTCGGATCAGTGCGCGACATCGCGTATAGCTGCAATTCAAAACAATTCAAAACATGATTTAGCAACTTTTGATTTGAAATTGAGATCCTAGAATGCTGTTTTTCTCGGAATATACAGCTGAAGCTGAGCTGAAACTTCATCAGGTTAGTTGTTCAGTATCTTTCATTAGATTTTGAACACTTTTGTTGCTTCATACGAACAAAATGCACAAATTACAAATGATGGACTATATCTTTAATATAGGATTATATAAGACCTTCTGATTGCACTAGGAAGCAAACAATACGATTAGAAAGGCCATTACACTTGCGATCTTACAATAGCTACACTACATACATGTACATAGCCACAAGTTTTATATGTAGGTCACAAACATCCTGCTAAATTGGGAATGTATGTCACAATTACGTATTAAGCACTTACTTTTGGTTTGGTCAGTGTATTCCAACGAGGAGTCACGAAAAATTCCACGCCCTTGTAATAGCCAGGAAGTGTAACACCACGAATGAGCAGCACAAACAAGCACACGTACGGGAAGGTAGCTGTAAAATAAACAGCCTGATAGGAAAAGGTAGAACAATGAATAAGGATGCAGCCCAGTAAATATACTGCCATAGACATCAGTGATAATTCCGCCTACTTCAAAAAATATGAAAAATATACAACTCTCCAAGGTGTTTGAGAACAAACATCTGATCTTTTTTGTTTGGGTGGGGGTAACAAATGTGACTTTTGGTAGAAAATGCCATCCAAAGGAGATCACCCTGAGTAGTCCTGAATCCCCATCGCCATTTTGAAACAAAAAAGGATGCTTATACGCTCCATTGACAAATAGAGTAGTTTAAGGGCCTAATTGTATCCGAATTACACAGCAGTACGAGCTCGCAGTCGTCTTCAAGGCTTCCACCCTTCATTCTTACAAGCCGTCAAGTTCATTGCCCACAAAATGATACCAGGCATGCAAATCGTGATTTGCCCGGCGAAATTTCGGGCCTATTTACGCCAAAGAAAGGTCACTGATATGGCGATACCTTTCCCGATGATTTGATGCCTTTTGCAACGCAGAGAAACACCACGATCCAAGCGAAGAGCAGACACAAGGCAAGTTGCCAGACCACGCCTCCCGTCTCATCCATGGACGGAGACTCTTGCAAGACTGCAAACCTGACATTCACATGTGAAAATGCTAAGAACATCTTTCAAAATACGTGTATACCTGCATTACATGTTATAATACAATAATTTTGCCATGTTTTATTCAATTACTTCTATAAATACATCGCTGAACTTATTTTGGTGGCTATTGATTATTAGAATTCATGCATTTTGTCCTTGAAAACTAAGCTGGGATAACATTGCAAGAAGGAGGCAAATATTGAAAGACATAATCATGGGTGCGTTTGAGTATCTCACCCGGATCGACTCGAGTAAAGGCAGACGGGTTAGCCACGACAGCCAGGTTATTCGAACGTTAAACCGCGGGCTATCACACGATCCCCACGTGACGCCCGTTTCGGATTTGGTTGGAATTATAGCCTTATAAATCGCAATGAACTCAACAAATTATTACCATTTGACTTCAAATAAGGTATTTTTTAAGTCCACTTGAGATTTCCGCTGTCCGGTCGCCATATTTGTCCGTTTCGTGGAAAGAACAACGCATGCGTGTAACGTATTTCCACCACTGACTCTGCTCCACGAGCAGGGTCTGTATGTGGTGGCTGACCCGGTTGAGCCTCGAAAATGACGTCAGAGCTAATCGAACGGCACGGGGCTGACCCGTGTCGACCCATGTGAGCTAAACGAACGCATCCTATGAAAGATATAGACGCACGAGTTAGATACAAATATTTCCGCTGGTCCTAGAGGGCGGTCGACAATCATCAAAGGTGTTTTGTACCTCATTGACCAACTGACTGCCTTACTGTCAATTAAACAGGTTACCTATCTCACTGAAGGACTGTCACTTGTGACTTTTACACTTGCTTTTGGGAGCAGCTTCACGAAGCTTGTCTATTCATGTATGTGATGTAGCTTTTTTTCAGAGTTATTACGAATCATTGAATTTTGTGACTCGCGTCGAGTCTAGTTATTTTTTAGGAAGCGACTCGATCGAGTCGAGTCGAGTCATTGCGTCAAGAAGGTCGAGTCAAGTCGAGTCAAGTGACAGTTAGTGTTCGAGTTAAGTCGAGTCGAATTAAATTTTTTGCTCGATTCAATTCGAGTCATTGATATTTGAACACCATCTAATAAAGTACAGAGTCGGAGAAGGAACACAAGCAAGGCACCAATTTATTATCAAGATCCAAAGACTTAAATATGCTGCATGGTACCCAATAGACAGCTTCTGCTGGACGTTTTTACTAAAGATCTACGTAATAGTTTACAAGACGTGCAACGTCGGTTTATCTCTGGTTGGCTTCGGGTCTGGAATAATGTTTACGCTGACAACATCCAAACTAAATTGCAACATATACATTTAGAACTGTTTCTGACTATATAGAAACATATCTACTTTTTTTTTTTAAAGCAGTACATAAATTCAGCCGGGGTTCCATCAAGGGCTTAAGAAATCGCCGGAAGCAGATGATGAAGCTCATAATTGGGAAATGTGTTTAAAGTCTGGTTCCGGGATAGTAGTTTGTGCGCTACATTACAAACCCACGAGGTTGGAGTCCGTGATTAAGGGGTATATTTGTACGTAATAAGCGGCTACAACGCAAAGTGCACGAACATAAAATAACTTTGCACCGTTAGACACCGCAAATATAATTTCGAACAGTTTTGGGACTCGAGTGTTATTAGTCTTTGACTCGATTCGAGTCCAGTCTGCTGATGAGGAACTCGAGTCGAGTCGAGTCATTTGCTCGCAGTGACTCGAGTCGAGTCAGTTACCCGATGGGAATCGAGTCGAGTCATTGACTCGAGTCATTACAACTCTGCTTTTTTTCACCCTGTTATATGCATTAGTCTGACGCCGCTTGTTTCATGTATGGGCCTTATGCACGAGTTGGTCATTTTTGTCGAGTTCCCTGAATGTATTTCATAAATTGTTAACTGTTGAATGGGACGGCGCCAGACTATTTATGCAGCCTTATTTTACCGTCACTTTTTAATCTGGCTTAAAACATTAGAGAATGTTTAATTACAAATTTTAAATTATTCCTTAAAGGGAATGTACAACATTTGCTTTTGCTGTAATTTTCAGAAATAAATGGATTTGGAGGATTAGTTTGTTATATAAAATATTGTTCAACTGACTTGTTTCATGTTTTGGGCTTGTACATGCTGGAAAAACCAAGAAAACCTATCATGTTCTTGTAGTCTGGTTCCCTGACCCCACTTAAGATGAAACGAAGCAATTAATACACTTTGGGGAATTGTAAGGTCAGAGAATCAGTCCAGCAGGCTTGTACCCCTTCACAGGTGTGTGATCAATTGCAAAGAAAAGTCAGAATAACTAAATATGAAAAATTAAGAGCAGTTTTTGAGAAAAAAAAACATTCTCCAACGCAGGTCGGCCGACCAGCGTTGAAAAAAATACAGTTTTTCTTGAAAATGTTAGCCCACCAGGTACCACGATTTTAAAGGATGCTTAAGACTGTCAGTCCCTAACAATTCAGTAAGGTATTTTGTGATAATTTGATCATTTCGTTTTTTGATGTTTGCAAATGTTGTATTTTCCCTTTAAAGCAGACTTGAATTAATTAGTAATTTGCATGCTTTCATTTCTCTTCGCAAGTTCCAAAAATTGAAGATTTCATTTTCATTTTAATATGGCCGGCTTGTGCATAAGGCCCATACATGTACTTTCATGTCTCCATGCGAACAGCAAAAGTGAATTTCTGAACCACAACGTGTGTTATTTTATGATTGTTCTAGCTATTCTGAATCAATTGTAAATATCATTTTAATAGGGCTTTGTGAGCAACATTAATTAGTTTAATGGGGTTTAATTAGGGAAATGCAAAATGTAATTATTTACAATTCTTTTTTACAAAAATGTGCCGTCAAGAATAATTATTTCTATCGTAAGAATAGTTGTTTTTTTATATTATATATAGCTATAACACTCACTCAATATCATATCACAGAAACCATTAGCATCAGATGTTCACCACGTTTGTACAAATATCAAAACTGTAACAGATGTTTAGCCCTAAAACTGATATCAGTTGCAATAAGGCTAATTATTTGGACGGGTCCTTTAATTAGTTATTTAGTATTACTTACCTCCAGTATTCTTCGCTTGAAGAACGTCTCAGGCCATCCAACGGATCAGTGTAATTCGACACATCGTAGTCTTCATCTCCTGTCATCGTTACATTTAAACTCTCCAACTCTTGATCAGTAAGATTGCCTAGCTTCTGGCACGTGTTATTAAATGTGATGACGCCGTCTGCGCCCAGACAGTCGGAGACCAGACTGCTACAGAGGGCGGTGTTCCACTCGTGGTCGCACCCAGTCCAAGGGAGATTGGATGTGAACGACGCGAAGAAATAGAAGACTGAATATGTAATGACCACGTTGTAGTAGGAGCCAACAATGAAAGAATAGACGACTTGACTGAAACCTAATCCTGGGTAATCAAATAAATGACATATTGACGTTTTGTATAACAAAAAAAAGGGTTTGGTTCCAAAAACGCAATATATCAATTTCATAATTGATTTCAATTTCAAGTGCAAAATTGGCAAGGTTGTAAAACTTTTTAAAAAATTATGATAATAATAATTACAGCTGTTTCGAAACTTCAGTTTTCGCTGGATTGTATTCATTGGTTGTGTCTAAGTATAAAACAGCCATCGAAATTAACTTTGGTAAGCCAGGACAGGAGAGAGTGGGGCTCTAAAAGGGACCAGCATGCATGGCGTATATCGCATTTTGAAAATAAACTCTTCCCTGAATTGTACTGAGCTTATCTTTTTTTGTTAGTCTGTCAATATTGTAATGCATAGGAGCACAACACTGCTGGTCGTTTGTTTCAAATTCTGTTGCTGTTTGAACGGTAGGATATTCCGGGAATCAACAGGCATTACTCACCGCAGCGATTATTCGAGATATGGGCGATAATATATGTTTTCCAGGCTATTTTAAAACGTAATTCACCGTTTCTATTATTTAAATTCTATCAACATCTATCAACATCGATTTAGTGCACTTTCAATGTTAAACTTCGTCTTTTGTCAGACAATTTCAAATTTAGCTCAAGCAAATTCAAACAACGAAAACACGTTTTCGTCCCAGAGTATTCGATTTCGTCTCGTCTACGCCAAACCTTGTTATTGAGAAATCAAATTCGTCTAATTGATTTATAAAAGAAGAATTCGATCTCTGAATGCTGCCATTCGGCAACAGCTTAGACGAATTTGATCTGTAATGACGAGTATTCTCGACCTGGTGACTAAAGAGGGTGACGAAACTTTAAAATTGAATGGTAAATGATTAATTAGTTTTGTTAAAAGCGTGTAAAAAAAATTCGGACGAAATTCATTCCAGTTGATGAATTTGAATGAAACGTGTTTTAAAATAGCCGGGAAAACCTATGCTTAGCTGCGGCGCGTTATATACTCGGCGCTGCGAGGTGGTAACGCGGCTTTTCGAATATCTCGGCGAAGTGAGTGGTAATGTCTAGGCGTCCAATGTAGCCATAATATAGACAATACTGTTAGTTTTGTTTTAACCATAGAGCTATATTAAATTTAATATATATAAGATTTAAGGCTTTGCATGGTGGAGTATCGGTATCATTTCGGTTTGCGGTAACACCATGTGGTAATAACTACTGCATAGAAGATATTTAGTTCTGAAAAGAACTTGTCCTGATAATAAGCAGGACAAGTTCTTTTCAGAACTAAATATCTTCTAAGCAGTACAAGTTCTTTTCAGAACTAAATATCTTCTAAGCAGTAGTTATTACCACATGGTGTTACCGCAAACCGAAACGATAAATTTAATATAGCTCTATGGTTTTAACGGAGCTTTCCTCCGCTATAATAGCGAAAACAGCAACGTAAGTTAAAATACTTCATTTTTCGGCTTCCAAGCATTACCAATGTACTGTAATTTACCCCAGCCTCACTCATGTAGGCCTACACACAGATATAAATTTTAGTTATTAGGCATAATTAGTGAAGATTAAAATATGGAGTTTTCGGCGAAAATTCCACTTGCCTTTCAGTAAAGGTACGGCTCTCCAGACCGATATACAGCCTAAACTGCTGTACTGTCCAAGCACTAGATCAAGAAAGAAGGTCGGTAAACCGGCCAGAAAGAGTGCACCAAAGTACGGGATCAGAAATGCACCTGCAAAGATAGGTGGAAACAGCACTTAATTTAGGTGAAATTGACAAATTGAGAACACATTTACAAAAGGTATACGAAACAAGGTTTTCAGAAAAGTATGTAGCAGACCGTGAATTATGCTGCAAAAATATCTGAAAATGAAGGCTTCAAATTGCTTAACCTTCTATCCTCGAAAACAGATCTATTTGTTTCTAGAAATGCACAAGTTATTACATTTTGAACGAGAAATCGAACACAACAATCCGCCAGTACAAGATCATTCAAATCACTTAGTCCTATGTACTTTTTAAGCTACGGAATTATTAAAACAACCACCTTTTTAAAGTTCTGTCCACGGATCACAATAAAGGTAAATGTTCTTTCAGCAAAACCAAAATAATTTGTGTAAATTGTTTTCGTTAAGATGAAAGAATACTCGCCTCTAATTTTTTTTATTTTAGTGAAATAAAATGGGTTTTTGGGCCGAAATTAAGACGGACAATATTGAATAGCCGTCTCCCATCTTTTTGTGGGCGGGTCTTCTATTTGGAAACGTTGGAGAAATGAGCCCAACAGGAGAGACACTTAGACCATTTTGAATTCAGGATTACAGTATTGAATTTAGAATTACACATTGAAACACAATTTTGGACAAACTTTACCTTTAGGGGGCGGAGACATCTTTCATAATTTGGTGGTGGGGAAAACGAAATTCAGTACTACAACATTAATCTAAACTCGTGTCAAGTTCTTTTCTGAGTTTGGCCCTATAGCAGTCTTTTATCGGTAAAATTGAAAAGCAAAGTTCGAAATTGTGTTTCACTTTTAGGAAAATGGAAGTTTTTGATAATACACTCCCGATTTGAAATTCCTCAAGTTCTTGAACACAACTTTTTTCGGAAATTCGGATGCACTGGTGTGGCTTTAACTATACTGAGGAAGTCCCGTATTTGAGCCACATTTATGGGGCTAAAAGAAGCCTCCCAGTCCCAGTCACAACTTTTCCGGAAATTGTGCATGCATAGAGTATATGGCTCTAGCTCTCAATACGGAGGAAGTACAGTAGGCCTACTAACTATTGGAGTCTCATTTATGGGGCTAAAAGCCTCCCAGCCAGCACTAATTATACGGGCCTGCTTACCTCCACCATTTTCATAGCATAAGTAGGGGAATCGCCACACGTTGCCCAGGCCAATGGCCCAACCAAGACAGGCCAAGAAAAACTCTTTCTTCGAGGCCCACGTCGGACGGGCCTCGATTGGAATGTCACTGTTACCGGACTCTGCCATCATGTCAGTCTGGAAATGTTTGCTCAGTATGGTATTGCAGAGGAGTGTGTAATAAGCTTGGGACCGACTGGCTGTGCGTGGATTACTTGCCGTGCGTGGCGATTCTATGGACAACAATAATTGTCACACAATGAGCCTCATAGAATACAAATATTGAATGCTTCGAGTGGTGTCAAACTAGCCTCCCGAGGTGATCCATGGCCATTCTATTTTCCCGAGGCGAAGCTTAGCCAAGGGAAAATATAATGCTCCATGGATGACCGAGGGAGGCTAGTTTGTCTTCACCGCGAGATAACGCATTCAATGTTTGTTTTATAACACTTCACCCACAGATTCTGCTTGGTTTTAATATTTTAAATTATTTAAATTTGAACATAATTAAAATAAGCTTCAATTTCAATGCAAAATTGGTGGGAAATGTATTTCTCTCTTCCAAACCACCCCTTTACGAAATGTTTGAACCCAACTCTGTGACGCCTCTATATATCTCTTGGGAACAATACGCGCTTCGCCCAACGCCCTTAACGCGCACACCAGCAAGCATTTGCACACAAATACCGCGCCATGGGTATAATACTTCGGTTGCTGCGGGTATAGTACTTTTGGCCGTGTACTGAAAGATGGCAAAATAGAAAGTACCATGTGACTCGGTCTCGGCCAATCAAGACACAGAATCTGTGAGAGCGGCGTTTTAATCCTTGATGCGCCTGCTATAGTCCATGACGAGTGACCAATGCAATAGGAGTCTGCGTGGTTTGTGAATAAATTGCACACGGATCGTTGCACCTGGTTGCATCACCGTGATCGATGTCTGACGTGCAGAAAACACCATTATGTGGTCACAAACCGCAGTCCATCCAAGTAACTGCCTTTTTGTAAGCAGACTTCGCCAGTTTCTATAATGGCCCTAAGGCCCCCTATAGCATAACGGAGGTAAAGAATGAAAATGCAATTAAAGCTTTTCATTGTTAGAAGTAAGTTATTTTCAGTGGCGGCGCGGGCAAGGAAACAACTTGGGAGGGGGGGGGGGGGCAAATACTCCCAATGCAAACTCGAAAATGATGTTTAAAAGATGATCTTTTGCTCATAAATAGTGGTTTGAGTGGTCAGACATTGACTCAGATCGCACCACAGAGTTTCTAGAATCCACAATTTTTCGGGGAATTATATTAAGCAGGCCCCTAACCCTACGCCGTTAGGGTACCCCCCCCCCCTCCACTTTTGAGAAGCGATTGACGCCCTTGCCCGGTAATTTAAGGATTCCTTCTTTAGTGTCGAAATTTTTCGTAAAGTAGGTGTTTCTTACCTTTCCCAAACCTATTATATTAAGGAACAAATAAGTACTATTATTAATATATTTGTTATATATTATATATAACAGATATATTAATAATACAAGAGGCATTGGAAGGTTTCAAGTCAACTGTTAGCCTTAGTGGCGAGATAACGTATTACATGTATGTAAATCTTGATTTTTATAAAGTGCGATGTAAGTTACAGATTTGTGAGGTTGTTAAGATGATAAATTACGCATATTTTTGTTTGATTTTCATCTGATACATGTCTATTAACCATTTTAAATTGTACTATTTGTTTTCAATTTTACAGTCCTTTTTGGCCTAGTTTTGTTTTTCTGTTTAACTAAATCTAAGCTGATGAACTAGATTGAGACTAGTGCGTTGGGACGAATAAATTCAATGACATGTGATCAACGATCAACCAATCAGATGACGGGGATTTGTTCAGGTGTTAAAAATACTAACCCTCCAAATCCATCCACTTCTTAAGATTACAGCAAGGGCAAATGTTGTATATTCCCTTTAAATTGCTTGTTATATGATACCTGATGACGTCATGCTGACGTCACCAGAAATTTTCACATATGTGGACCCGGGTTCACTCATCCCATGAACCGTTTGGAAGAAATTTTGGATTGTTTTGATTTCAGGCTCACGTCTATTTGCATTCACCGAACTTTGACCTTCTTGTAGCCCCAGAAGTAAAGATCAATCGAGTTCACGTACACGACCCAAAAAAAAGTTTATCAATTAATGATCTATCTGATTACAAAATACAAACGTCATTCATTGTTTTGTTAAAGAGTTTATATACATAAGTGAAATAAGTTGGTCACTTATAATTCGACATCTGACGACGTATGACGTCAGAGTAAAATGCACACCTTTGGATCAGGGATGATGTTGGTTCAAAGTTAAACAGTTGAGAAGAGAACCCGCGGAGAAATATTGTCAGGGGAAAAATAGACGGAAAGAAAGACATAAAGATTTATTCGAACACTTCTAAAAATATTACCTGGTTGTGCTCGATCACCCATACTATGGTTGCCCTTACTCTGGATAAATTCATACATGGATAGCTACCTGGCCATTTATGGTGCTTTGAAAATGTATATATGTGCCCATTTTCAATATCCGAAAATTGTTGCCTATAGAGGGGGGGGGGGGGGTAGAGATGCAACCCTTCCCAAACCCACTCATTATTTCGTTAATAACAAAATCATTGTTTTTCCGGTTAAATATTCTCCTTTATGCCTATTTACAGCAATGCTGTTGGCGAAATAACGCCATCAAAATGTTTTGGTCCTATATTAAGTCCTCTCCTCGCCATCTTTCGAATGTTCGGCCGTCGGTAGCAAATAAACAAAATACCCATACATACTTCTATGTACTGTCTTCACATTAATGTATCCGTGTAAATTTCGGCGACCGAACGCATAATTTAAAGATAAAGTCCATCATTTGTAATTTGTGCATTTTGTTCGTTTGAAGCAACAAAAGTGTTCAAAATCTAATGAAGGATACTGAACAACTAACCTGATGAAGTTTCAGCTCAGCTTCAGCTGTATATTCCGAGAAAAACAGCATTCTAGGATCTCAATTTCAAATCAGTGAAAAGTTGCTGAATCATGTTTTGAATTGTTTTGAATTACAGCTATACGCGATGTCGCGCACTGATCCGACGAATTATAGCAACTGCGCGCACGTGTGCGTGCGCGTCGTGCCAATGCTTGCGCGCGCTTCGCCGAAAAACAAAACGAACTACCCATTTAAATTTCCTAAGACGCACCTTTGGAAAGGCCTTCTTTCGTTGATTACTTCAAAATGACAGCTTGCCAGGAAGAATAATTTCACAGGGAGTTTAGTCCACTTATTATCTTTCAACCAAGTATGTTTTTCAACAATAATTACGCCAGTTACTTTTTCGGATGGCTGCAAATGATGGACTATAGCTTTAAAACTGAGGCAGAGGATTGCAATGTGCATCGTTAAACGGAACAAAACGTATTCACAAAATATTACGCCACTTAAGAAAAAAGGGGCGTGAGGGTTCAATAACCAGGAATGCATACATGTGAGACGCAACCTCGAGTATAAGGCCAAAAAATAAAAATATTCGGTCTCTGGTCAGACCAAAGTTCCGGAATTGACGCGGCCACGTGGCTTTTTTTTTTCGCTTTTTTTTTTCTTCTTCAAGCTTGGATTGTACAGACAAGGTGGGGTACTATTTTGCTTTTTTGGTGTCCTCATGTACATTGGTGTCCTCCATAATTTGCCTTGGTGCTTTCGATCATTTGCCTGGTGCAATTTCCGATTCCTTGGTGCTCTTTGGTAAAAAATATTGAGGAGGTGCGGAAATAGATGGCGCTGTTGGAGCTACTGCGGAACATTTTGGAAGAAAAAAAAGATCGACACGCATGATTAAAATCAACGCGCGCGCTGACCAGAGACCGACTTATTGGTTTTTTTTGGCCTAATCGTTGTTGAATATCGATGCTGAAACCCACAAACCCAATATGACTTCACTCTCAATTACCAGTATCCATGCCGCATCAGGATCATTTATTGACTGAAACAGATCTAGTGACAGGTCAATTGGGTTCTGTTTCAAGACCACCTTGAGAGTTGGCCGTAGTAACTGAATTGCGAAAAATATATATTATAGGCTATGTAAATACCACACTAAAAATACACAAGTGTAAATAACTGATGAAGTCATCAATACTTGACTAAAGCTACCGAAACTTGAAAGATATAGTAAAGACGTATTGAATAGGATAACTCAATAAAACGTACAAGCACAATGCAATATTAAACATATTCGGAGCAAAAGTTTATAGTCAAAAATCCTTTATCCCCATTCACTGCGAAAACCACTATATAAAAAAAAGGTTTATTATATACAAAGTCATGTATACCATGATGTTGATTAATTCATTACTATTATTCTTCTATTTCAATTCGATTCAATATTGAATTTGTTTCCATACTGAACAATACATAACATAATGTAACTTAAGACAATATCGTGGAGGCACAATTCTAATAAGCCAACGCTTGTAGCTGAGTGCCTTAACGCAACGTACAGTCCATCATTTGCAGCTATCCAAAAAGTAACTGACGTAATTATTGTTGAAAAACATACTTGGTTGAAATTATTCCTTTCTGGCATGCTGTAATTTAAAAAAAAAAAATCAACGAAAGAAGGCCTTTCAAACGATATATGCGTCTAAATTTCCAACGATGCGTCTGAAAAAAGGTGTAGTCGCCAAACTTGATGATCTACTCAACAACTGGAGATTAGTTCTATGTGCCGTGTATAGAAGCAACTTGCGCCTTTTCTGCACCAAGAAAACATGCAGTTGTCTTCCCTCAGGCCAAATATAAAAAAAAAAACATGTTTAGCGTCCCCGCCCGCTTCCTTTTTTGGAGGCCGCCTCCTTTTCTTTCTTTTTTACAAAAAAAATGATACATTTTAAACTGAGTGACATCATTTTGGCCTCTTTGTCTGTTGAATCTAGCCCATATAAAGCTGGTATGTCATTTCCTGAGTCCAAGTGGCGGCCATTTAAAAAAAAAAGCTGGCGGCCATCTTGAAAATTAGCCGGCCGGCCTTTCGTTTTGGAGAAAAAAAAAAGGCCTACTCCTTCCTCTTTTTCAAAAAGGCAGGACGCTAAACATGTTTTTTTATGTGGCCTAAACGTACAACCATGATTTTGGGCTGGATCTGATCAAACGGCACTGTCCATGCCAGCCTTGAATACATGTAGCTATGCTCTCTTTCAATAACGCGCTCCTCCTCTGACAAGCTGTAGAAATGAAGGGTCCCAGCTCGTGGTCTTTGAACTTGTATGTCTGAGAAATGTGGGAGGAATGTGAAGTCGCTTTACTTATTTTGCAAAGGAGTGTATGAGTGGAGGGATCCGATATTTTTTTTCTCAAAATGATGATGGCTTCCGGACAGCTTTTAGGGGTGGTCCACTTTGGAGGGAAAAAATCTCTCACGGTCAACCCTCAGAAAGCCAACGATTGATTCGTAAATCAAGCTTTAATTTGATGTATTGTTTTCCGGCCTGTGGAGAGATTTTTTTAAATGGATGTAGGCCTAATTTATTATATTTGTGACTATACAGGGTGGTCCAAAAAATCCGGAACCTCATACTTCCATTACCCGGAGACTCAAACCATTATACCAATGCATGGAGAATCTTTTTAGAGGAAAAATATCGCCCGATTTGGTCCAGTAGTTTTTGTTCCGAGAGCCTAATTTGTGAAGCAATTAAGGTGGGGGTCATTTTGTCCCGATACTAAATAAACCGCGCCCGGGAATTTGACTTGCATTGTAATTGATAGAGGACTGTTATCTAAATAATACCGACATGAAAGAAGTATCCTTCCAGAACAGGCTCTGCAGCAAGATCCATATATAGAGGGCGCTGTGGGATCTGTGCAGGCTCTGTTTGCAGACTAGACCTACCGTACCTGTGGTACGGTGCGGACGTATAACATGTACATATGTAGAACTTGCAAAAAATGTATTCGTGCAGTAGTCACTTTGTTGTGCGTATCGAAGCAGACGGCATTAACAGCTTATAACTCGTCCCGTCTTTTAGCTTTACTTGTCAATGCTTGTGTGGTTTTGTTCTCTTCAGTTTCTGTTTCAAACATCAAGCAGTAGGCCTACAAGACTTCACTCTAAAGCTTCGGACATTGCACAGGTACAAATGTAGTTTTTAGACCCGTGAACGTGAACGTGGCGTTGTAGGATATGTAACCAGTACAGTGCAGTGGCGTAAATCTGTGCCGACGAGAGGGGGGGGGGGTCTAGTCACCACAAAATTTATACTCGGGCCGCGGCTGTTCAGGATAAAGGTGTATCAAGTTTCTTTCTGAGTTTCTCCACCTTTCCGTGCTATTGAACTTGTTGAATAGGCCCACATTTTGGTTGTTAGGAATTGACAAATGCATTGAAATCCACATTTTTTTTCTCAATACAGAAAAGTGTGTGTGTGTGTGTGGGGGGGGGGGGGGGGGGGGGGGATTCAATAGCTCATCCCACCATGCCCACCTGTTCATGCTGGTCACAAAAAAAGGGGGGGGGGAGATATATACTTTGTTAGATTTATAAAATGCAGTACTTAAATCGCATATGACATTACCACTCACGAAAGGGAATATACAACATTTGCAAACATTGGAAAACAAAACTACCAAATTTTTACGAAATACTAGGATGTTGGTAAATGAAAGTCTGAAGCATCCTGCAAAGTAATGGCACCTCAGGCATGTCAGGTGTGAAGTCATTTCCAAGAAAAGTGGTATTTTGTATAAATTTCCAACGGTGATCGGCCGACCACCCTTGGAAAAACCTAACTATTTTTCAACTACTGCTCCAAATTTACCCTTTTTTCAGTCCAAATTTTGTTTGCTTTTGGTTCCATGTTCATGAACGGGTGCAGACCAGCTAGATTGGTTTCCTTACCTTACAATTTTCCGGCATCTATAAAATGATGCATTTTATCTTAAGTGGAGTCAGGGAACCAGACTACTTGAACATTTTTGTTTTTCCTGGTTTTTCCAGCATTTTCGAACACAAAACTTCAAACTTGTCAGTGTAACAATATTTGATCTAGTAGGGCCTACAGTGTATTATACTTACCCCTCAAATAGTTCATTTCTGTAAATTACAGCAAAAGCCAATGATGTACATTCCCTTTAACTTGTCCCAGCTTTTCCACTGTATTCCTGGTCCACTGTATACTTGGGCCAGCCCATGCATCTGGATCACTTTACTTGGGACGGACACAACTATATTTGGGGCCCGGTGCTTTAGCTGGCCTGCCAACTCTCACGTATTGAGCTAGACCCGTGAACGTGGCTTGTAAACTACGCCACGTTCTTATGTCATTTCGAACCTGGCGAACGTGTCCCTCTGACTCCCTCCGTTACACACACTGGACGTTATTTTGCCCATGTAATAAGTACTCACATATGAAGCTGTCTTGAATTCTATTTGTACGTCAAAACTTGCATTTGACGAAAATTGAGGAAAATTCTGGCCCCGGTTCATGAAGTCCGTCCGCTACTGCTAGCTGCCATTTTCTCCCAACTGACGCATGCGCATTGCGTTTTATTTTCGTATGATTCGACGGCTGTTTACTGTCGCAGCTAAAACAGACATCGTTTTAGACAAGTTTCAAGTCCTTTCCTCTCTCACCGCACCACACGCGGTCGCACGTGCGCCCGCGTGTGTGTGCACACACGTACTGTACACGAGATGAGCCGAGCAGCCAATCGTCTGCGGGGTTTTTTTTCGGGGTTGCGACATGAAACAGCCGTCAATCTGTCCAAGCGACTCAGACGCGTCCAGGGTTATTTGTCAGGGTCAGGTTAAAATCTAATTTCTACACGTTCGTATGGGTCTTTACTGATGGGCAAATTTCATCGAAATTACACAGCCGAAACAATCGGACGGGCAAATTTAGATTTCTGGGTGAGTACTCAACACCCATACGGAATTATGTATGTCGGATCGATTTCGCCAGGTTCGAAATGAAACAAGAACGTGGCGTTGTATACAACGCCACGTTCACGGGTCTAGTATTGAGCGTGAGACTCTTGCATTTCAGGTTATTCTCAATGTCTCACGCTCACACAGGATTTCTCACGCTGAAAAAAAAGCAATAAATAATTGACTCCAAACTCCAAAGATGATGTTTAAATGATGATCTTTTGTTAAAAAAAAATGTTAAAGTGGTCAGAAATTGCCTCAGATTGCATCACAGATTGTCTAGAATCCAAAGTTTTCTCGGGGCCCTTAACCCTAACCCTGCCAGACGCATCAGTGCATCAGGTGGAAAAGTCTGGTGCACTTTGATTGAAAATGATACCAACACCAGTGCATGAACGACCACTTCTGAGACACTGAGAGCTTGTCCCATAGAACAATGCCAGAGTTGTATCCTGCTGCATGCGGTGACCACAGACTCTGAGGCAGTTTGGCCTTGAGACTTTTGGCCTGATGGATCTTGCTGCACTGGGCAGGCTTGTCATTTTGACAAGTGTTGCATGTTGCTGCGTTTGGCAGGGTTTCTAGCCAAAATACCCTGGAGGGTTAGGGTGCGAGCCCCAAAGCCCACACCTTTAGGCATGTTAGGGCTTCCTGCTTCACGCTGGCATTAGTTTTGATCAAGCTCCATCGCCAAATTCTCACTCTCAGCTCTTACTCAAAGTTGGCAGCCCTGGCTATAGACTGAGCATGACATTACAGTACTTCAGCAACTAGGAGTAGTAGCGCTATTTCCGAAACGATCGAGTCTCACCTAGTGAACGATTACATTTGCATAGTGTGCAGTGTTAACTCTAGCCCCATAAATGTGGCCTATTTACTGGACTGCCTCTGTAAACATAGGCCACACATCCACATGTACAAAAAACGTGTCGACTTTGCCAAATTTTGATTTTCACATTTAGGCTTACTTTGTAGATTTTTTTTGCTTTAGAAGCATTCTCACCCTCTATAGAAAGGCTAATCAGAAAGTGCTGCCTTTTTCAGATTTTTAATTTTTGTGAAATTTCATGTTGAAATTTTGATACGCAAACGTGTGCAAATGTATCTGGAAATTTCACGAAAAATGGACATCTGAAAAAGGCAGCACTTTCTGATTAGCCTATATAGAGGGTGAGAATGCTTCTAAAGCAAAATAAAATCTACAAAGTAAGCCTAAATGTGAAAATCAAAATTTGGCAAAGTCGACACGTTTTTTTGTACATGTGGATGTGTGGCCTATGTTTACGGAGGCAGTCCAGTAAATAGGCCACATTTATGGGGCTATGTTAACTCTTGATATTCAGACATGTCAGAGAACAGATCTTTACTCTGTGTTTGCTTTTTCAGAGACATCAATTACAGTCATGGGCAACTGGCTTTCCCCGATCCCTGACGTCCCCATGGACTCCCCGGAGGGGACACTGGTGCAAGAGATCCTCCACGACAAGATTGTGGTGGTATTCTCCAAGACGTATTGTCCGTACTGCACGATGGCCAAGAAAGCCCTGGACGAACACAATGCCAATTATGCAACGGTGGAGCTGGACAAACGAGAAGATGGCAAACGCATTCAGAGTGTACTTGGGAAGATGACTGGGGCAACCACAGTAAGTGCTTATTTTGTGTTGTTTTAACCCCAACTTTCCTCAGTTAAAAAAATTAATTAGGCGGTTTTGGAGAAATTTGGAGGATTTAGGCTGTATGCCTATTAATTACATTCAGGAAATTCAAGGATTGTTCAGTGATTGAGGATGCAATCCTAGCAAAAAAGCCTTTAGGGTAACATGATCTGCCTTTTGAGTGACCATTGCATACTTATGTTCATGTGCAGTCCAGTCCATCACAAGTTGTCAACAGATCCAGTCTGAAGTAAACCACAAGTCAATTCAAAAGTCTGGCTATTATTATGAACAGTAACAAACACTGACAAAGGAGTAACTTTGTCGCTGGAATTAACCAGCGAGTTTTTCATCAGCTTTGTGCAAGAGGGTGAGATTTAAACACCATACGGAAAAAACACTCACTTTCAGAATGGCTATACAGTGCTGGTGGAAGGCGCATGGTGCAGCCGAAAGCTTCTGAAAGAATGCAGGATCACCCCTGATGTCATTGCACACCACCTCGATCGTGCGCCAAACGATCGAGGAGGTGTGCAATATGACATCAGGGGTGATCCTGCATTATATTCTTTCAGAAACTTTCGGCAGGGCCACAGCACGCGCCATCTGCCACCGTCTCCAGTGCTGTGTCGACATTGGAGGAAAAGTTGAAAGTTGACAGTGGCAAATTCTGAAAGTGAACATTTTGTTCGTATGGCGTTTCAAATCTCACCCTCTTGCACAAAGCTGATGAAACTTGCTCCATAAAATTTGTCTTATGCCTTGGTTACATGAACTGAAATTTTGGTTTCATTCCATTGATAAACAACAGAGTTATTTAGGATCAAAAGTAGGACATGTTTTCTTTGACACATAGTATATACTTATTTGTGCTGGTCGAGGGCTTGTAAAGAATATTCACAACCTGATGTCATATTTGCCGCTTGAGCACCGAGCTTGCAGGGGTCAGCTCACCATTTCAAATTCGATAGTAGAAGCTTGTGCTGAAATTAATCACTAAAATGAACCATTCTTGTATGCACTTTATATAGGTGCCTAGGGTGTTCATCAAGGGAAAGTTTATCGGCGGAGGCACAGAAGTCAAGCAACTGAACGACGAAGGAAAACTGGAAGGAATGCTTCGAGACTGCGGGGCCATCTAAGAAACGTTGCACCAAGGATGAAAGTGGAATCCAACTTCATAGGTATCGTACCGGTAAAATCATCATTGGCATACAAAAATGGACAGCAGTTCTGCAGGGCTGATTTGACCATACACATTTTCTTTGACTTGTCATCACAAAGTGTATACGTAAAATGTATGTACATCGGCAACACAGTGGACATGAAGAATGGCTGTTGAAATTTGAAGTTAAGGAGGTTGTGAAATGCTCGAAGACATTTCCGTCATTCTTCGGGTATATGTAGCCTAAGGTGTGATGAAATAAAAACGACTATTGTTTCTGTCATAAAATGAGTACAAAAGGTACTTTTGAGAGCTGTTTTTCAAGTCCTGTCATGCCTGTTTCGACCCGAACGTGTAATTTGTGTAAAAATCGTCGTTGCGGGCAGCAAACAAAACACAGTAAATCGTGACATAATAAACAGGACTCCCGATGCAGAGTAGCATAAACGAGTCCTGTTTATTACGTCACGATCATTGTGTTTTGTTTGCTGCCCGCAACGACGACTTTTACACAAATTGCACGTTCGGGTCGAAACAGGGACCTGAAAAATAGCTCTCAAAAGTACCCTTTGTACTCATTTCATGACAGAAACAATAGTCGTTTTTATTTCATCACACCTTAGGCTACATATACCCAAAAAATGACGGAAATGTTTTCGAGCATTCCACAACCTCTTTAAATTTTGAACCACAATTTTAAGGTTGTACACAAATAAGTTGCAGCACTGTGAAAGCAATGCCCAGCAATTACAATGTATTACAGGAACAGCATATCTTACCAGACCTCACTGTTAACCTTTGAATTATTTTGGTTGTGGGTTTTTGCATTGTATTGTTACTTTGTTTACATTCAAACTTTCTCCCATTACTTTTACTTTCATTATGGTTTGTGGAATTTTTAAGTTGCAAATTTGTATTAAGAAACTACAGATGTATACACCACTCTGTTTGACCTTTTCAACAATGTACATTTATTACTATAGTCAGCTAGTGTAGTTGCTTATGTTGATTATTTGTGATAGACACACTCAACAAATGTTTGATTGTGGTACCCGCCAGTACGTCAGCCTTGAACCGGCCCTAAAGCCAGCTAACTCCAGCAAGCTCGGTGGCCGAGTGAATACGTCTGCACTAGTAAGCAGGCAGAAAGTTCTGGGTTCGAGTCCCAACTGAGTAAGCTTGTGCATTTTTTTTCTCACAAGCCCGCAGACAATACAAAGAGTTTATTTCCGAAACGCAACGCATCCATTTGAAGGTGACAATTTTGCATAGTTTTAAAACCTTAAATAATGAAAAATCAAAACAGCTGTTTCTAATCTTAATTTTTCGCACTATTATTGGATGCATAAGTTGTGTTTAAGAATAAGAAATGGCATCCATCCAAATTGCTTTTGGGCAGGGAGGAGAAAGCAGGATTCTAAAAGTGAACAAAAAGGGGTACATGTATCTCACGTTTTTGGAAATAAACTCTTTATACAGAGTATACAGAGTTTATGAATCGAGGGCAAAACCAAATACCGGTACGTTTGAGATGTGATTTCCATCGGCACAGAAAGCTCTGAAATGAGTCATGGGAACAGATTGAGTTTTTCGATGCTTGCAGTATTTAACACGATGCATGAGAACATGTAGTTCTTTGTTCCTGTTTATATCAGTACATGTAAACACATACGTGTATGCAATCCGACTTCAACAAACTTAGGACATATTTTGTACTTCCATGTTATATCAGCACACCCATACAATTCTCTTGCCTGACTAAATTGTTAATACTTAAACACTTTTTAACTGAAATTATACACCCATCTTTCTTGTATATTTTTTTTGGGAAAGAGAACAATTTAAAAATTGTAATTTTTGTGTGCTTACTATATCATGCAAACTGTGCCTGTTGCCAAATGGGGGTTAACTTACACAATGAAAATGCGGGTCACAATTAACCTTGGTGCCAATAATGGTTCGTTGCAAAAGTACCATAAAGCCATGGTACATTTGTACATGTACTGTATAACCTCATTGTTAGCATAGCCATATGCTATGGATTTCAGACAAACAAGTAATCTCATCTGGAGGTTATATAGTCTCAAGTTATTCTAATGAGTTTTCATGACAAATGCAGGCTGTTCTTTGTCCTTGAATGTCTCTTATTACTTGGACCTGATCTGTTTCAATTAGGTAATTGTGACTGACAAGACACAAATCATCAGGAGAATTTTTTAAGCAATGTTTATAATATCAAAATCATGTCTTCCGTTCTTGTGTTCTGTATTTTTAAAGGAAACTATATTCTGTATTTCGTTTTTAATTGAAAAGGGAAATAACTCAGTTTTTAGTTAGCAACAGTATTCTTTATTTTGTTAACCATTTCATTCAGTGTGAGAATTATTTCAAATTAGGGCAAAATGTGAAATTAAGCAGGCGTTAATTTGAGGTTAACTGCAAGGTTTCACGAGACTTAACCTCAGAGTTCAACCTCGAGTTACAGCTTGTTATAATTTGCATTCTTCCCTAGAAAATTAAGTATATACATGTATTCATTGTTTTGCACTTTATACTATTTATTTAATAAGTCACTTTTTCTTTGTAAATTTTTTTTTAATCTGGGAAATGTTTATAGTTACGCTAAATCTCAATGTACTTGTGTGTATTAACTATTTTGGTTACTAATTTACGCATATTTTAGCCAAAGATTGGCCATTTATTCGAAAATTTTATTAGAGGCAATATCTACATAGTATTCCTTTCTAGTATTGATTTGATAATCAGGTAATTAAAGCATTTGCTTGGGTTGGTGAGGATGGATGAATATAGGCCAGTATATAGTCAGGGAAGTTGTACATTTTCCCGAGTCCCCTGTTTGGTAAAATAAGAAGAGAAAAACCAAAAGTTTCATTACATGTAGCTGTGGGAAATTTGCCAATGCTGATCTATAAAGTAAACAGTCCAGCATCTGACCTCATTTCAGTTGGCATATAAAACCACAATTATCCATATATTCTGTGGCACTCATTCTACGCTAAAAATCCAATTTATTCCAACAATACTCATAGAATTGAAAATCACTGGTGCAGAAACTGGCATTTAAATGGCAACCCTTTGAAGAAACACACTACAAGCATTGACAGGCTGTATAGCCTATAGGGCCAACTGGCTTTGCACATGTACACAGTGTACAAATGTATATCCCTTTTCAATGATCTTGAATGCCAGATAGAGTTCTGCTCACAAGAAGTCCAAGTGGCCATTTCTTTTGAAACAAAAAACCTATAGTGCTGTACAGTAAAGTATAAAGGGGCAACACCATCCCTGTGTGCAAAATAAAGTAACAACAAAAATATGTCTGTAACGAGCCATATGACGCGGCTGGGAATATTATCCCCTGGATGGGATGCCAGTCCATAGCCCAGGTTACTCCTGAGCTAATGCTGGTACATGTACTTATACTCCTACATGTAGGTGGAGATACTGGTAGGCAACACTGATCTCTATATAAAGACTGGATAGCGGATATGCATACAACATTCACACAGTAGACTTTGCATATTGACCAATTCGCCCCCGGTCTCACGAAGATGGCCGCGTATAATACGAACATTCTACGCGTAAATACGCGCGCGTTGTATCAACAGTTGACGCGCATTTTGGTCACATACACATATTATGATGTTCTAAAAGGGACACATTTCCGTAGTGATTCAAAACGCCGAAAAAGTGATATTTGCGGCATATTTTAGTAACCACGACGTTAGAAAAATTGTAGTTAACCTTGGTCAGTGGTGGTGGTCAAAATATAAGTCAAGTGAACTGCGCCGTTACAAAAGAAATCATGCTGTCTATAAAAACGGCAACTTGTCCTTTGTAGATCACCAGCCGGTCTCACCAATATGGCGTCAAATTCATTCACTGTCAGACTGTGCGGCTCTTTATTAGCTATCCAGTCTTTATATAGAGATCAGTGGTAGGCAAGTGGGCAAATGGTGGGGGTGAAGTGGCTTGCCCAAGGGCATGTATGTGACATGCAGCCAATTAACAGCTGGATTTGACCCCTGACCTTCTCATAGGTGTCATGAACCCTACCACCTGACCACTAGTCCACAGGAACGCTGAACACTAGGCCACACTCCCCAACTTGTACACAATGTATCCCTCTTATTTATTTTCCTTAAATAGACCAGAGGCACTGTTTGATTTGGGTAAAGTCTTTTGTATGAACCCAAACCCAATAGCGCCCTCCTATAGTGTTGGTCATATACCTCAAGTAGGCTAATGCACACTCCATGGTTTTGTACTGTCAAGTTAGCCTTACAATTTGGACATTTTAATATTAAAGAATATTCAGGACAGCTATATGCACTTCATTTTCACTTTGCTCTCTTCTCTTTATTCCAGAGTTTTTTGTTTGGAACAATTTTAACCTTAATAGAGTTGGATGTACAGTACACATGTGTTCATGAATTTTACATATTTTATATGTTGTTCAGTCAAAGGAAAATATACGTACTGTTTTGAATAGTGAACGTTCCCACTCTCCTTTAATAATAGTTTTCTTCAAACTTCATACATAATTTCAGAGATAAAACTTGTTTCACACTTTTTGAACAATTCACAACAAATATATATACAAGTTATACATTCATATATTTTTTTTACAACAGTTCACACCAATAAATACAGGCCTACTGGCTTTTTGATATATTTAAACATGGTAGACAGATTTTTAAACTTGTCTAAATTCATATTTCTGCAAGAATTGCATGTTAATTTTTTATTTTATTTCAATTTTTGGGGTTCTTTTTTTGGGGGGGAGGCTGCATTTTGTTCTTTAATAGCAGGTTCTCTTATAGCGTGCATAATCTGTGGAAGAGTAAATTCAGCCCAATGAATATACTGAACATTTTGAGAAAGCAGAATACGTGCACAACTTTTTGGGTCCCATATTACCTGGATTATGTTGCTAATGCACAAAAAATGTGAGTGAAATTAAGGCATATCAGTAAATGATGTCGGTATACCTGGCACTACTCAAAAGCACTCAAATTTGACTTAAAAATTGCTTATTTAAAACGTCCTTTATCTAAAGACTCCTCAAATCTAACGTCACACATAAATAAGTGCATGTCTTTGATCTTATGCGATAAGCCTGTATACAATGTGAGGATTCAGGTGCACATATGCTTGAACAAATGTAAATGCCCTGGTGACTAAGTGGGACAGTGCCCTCTATAGTTGAACAGAGCCAACATAAATCAACTACAGCCACTTCTCACTTTCAGGGTGTAGACTACAGAGCTATATTAAATTACTAGAGTGCTAATTCGTCATTCTGCGCACGGAGACGCTTTGAAGCCGCTCTGGGCGCAGACATTTTGAATTCATGTGCGTGTTTGTTGAACATAATGAAATTAGATGGATTGAATTTTGAAAGTGTACTCTACATGATGCAACGCACAAGTAGAACATGCGCAAACAACTTAAGCGCGTCAATGACGGTTAAAAAAAAACGTGACGGCAAAAAGCACCTGCAGCGAATACGCGCACGCATTGCGCAGTTTGCGTAGAGCAAAATGACATGCTCATTTGCTGATCGTGGGTTTCGGTTTGGGCGTATTAGCTTCGATAACGCACCAGTATGGAATACAAACGCAGATATGCCAATCATGCCAATAGCCGTACAAAAGCCGTACAAAATGTCTAGGTCTCCATAGGTTTGTGCACAAACATGGATGTGCCCACCAGCAGGCATTACTTTGTACACAAAGTTAGCGCTCTAGTAATTTAATATAGCTCTATGGTGTAGACAAATCAAGCAGCAGCCATTATCTGCAGTGCCACCAGGCTCACGCGAGTCGTGCGCACGCACTCCAGGCTCCTTCGACCAATAGGGGTACCAAAATGCGCGTGCGCCTCGTCTTCAAGAACGTGTGTACCATGCGTGTGATGTGTGACACCACCGCAGTAAAAGCTTTTAATTGTGATCCCCAGATTCCACTATAAAAGCTCAGCCACTGAGCAGAAATTAATATTTGGCAAATAGTGTGCATAGTACTATGGAGCTATTAGTGTAAACCAAGAAGGCACCAGGCAGTTATAGCTTCCAATTTGCCTGGTACATTGTACCTGTAGGCCCAATCTGTTGTAGCCGAGCCAATTCCTGTGCTTATCAACCTCCTGTGCTGAGCATATTTATGTGCTTAGCATATATTATGTGCTTAGCATATATTATGTGCTGAGCAAAATATGGCTGCAGACTAAACCATTATCAGTCTCAATTGGATTGAGACTTGACCGAGGGCTAAGATACTAAACACTACTGTGATTCGGCATTTGCTGGGTGACTTGTGTAAAGTGACAGTGCATATATTTCACTGTACAATGTATTTACTCAAAAATAAAACCTACTTTAAAAAGTCCTAATTAGATATCTATTTCATCAAAGCATTGTGTTTTGGATAAGTCTACATTAATGTATTTGAACAATGCAGGTATATACTAATTGGCTGGCTGGCTTAAACTTATTCAAAACAAATACCTGACATGACATTTTATGGGAACATTCCTCAAACCTACAAAATCCAACACATTGCATGCGTTTTCTACGTTCAGTTAGCTCACCAGGGTCGAATCGGGTTAGCCCCATACTGTTCAATTAGCTCTGAAGTCATTCTCAGAGTTCACCCAGGTCAGCCACCACAGAAATATGACACACGTGTACGTTGTTCATTCAAAGAAACAGACAAATATGGCTTCCGGACAGTGGAAAAGTTCAAGGGGGCCAAATATCAGCCTTTTTTGGAGTCTAAACATAATCATTTATTGAGCTCATTGCGACTTTAGAGGCTACCGTATATTTAAATCTCGACTATTTTACCTTTTGCAATGGACGGAAAAGCAGGAAATCTCAAAGTGTGACTTGCAGTCCGAAAAGGCATTTTGTTAATGGCTGCGGTCTCTGCTACGGACGTCACGTGAGGATCGTGATGGCCCGTGTTTGAGCATTCGATTTATAGCCCGGCTCACATGGCTAATCCGTCTGCCTTTACCCGAGTCGATCCGGGTGAGCTACCCGAACGCACCCTTTGTAGGAACCCATTACCACATTTGTGCAACTTCCACATCATCCAGTCCCATGTGCAATAATCGCAGCTGGGCTCTACATGTACCTGAATCAATCCAGCAAAATCCTCTAAAAAAAATTCTTGGTGGATTTTGCAGAATCTGGATAGGGCAGAACAAAAGCTACAACAGTTTTCTTAAAAGAGGCTAAGAGGTTTTGGAAATTACGCAGTGTTGCCGCTGTCTGCCCCTCCTTGCTCCGCCCCTCCTTGCTCCGCCCCTTCAGGGGGTGGTTTCTCGTAGTTGCCTTTCCTCTGGTGTCGGCACATCTTACAATCGTCGTCATCGTCACTGTCATCGCTTGATGAGCTCTCCCCAAACATACGTGGCTTCTCATATATGCAGCAACCTGTGAAGTTGAGACATTTTATATGCTTACAATGACACAAGTAAGCGGCCTGCTCTGACGAAATGCCTTGGAAAACCCCTACTGAAACTAGAAGCTATCGTTAAATAAAAGCGTAAGTGAATTGCCAAACTGCTTCTGAACTAAACCGACTGGAACCGAAAATTGCAAATGCAAAACCGAAACCGACCCAACTGAAAAGATTGAAAAACCGACACGACCTGAAGTCGATTTTGGGTTGGGTTGGTTTCGGGTCGGGTTTGAACAACATTGCTCCAAGGTACATTGTCCAGTAACCTTGCTGAATGCAACAACATGCAATAATAGTCAAAGTGAGAAGCCTGCCCAGTGCAACAAGATCCAAAAGGTCAAATTTCTGAAAAGGCCAATTAGCCTCAGAGTCTGTGGTTGCCAACTGCAATAGGGTAGAACAGTGCCCATTGTCTCAGAATTGGCTCGATACAACAAACTCTCACAGTCACAGACCTTATCACCTGTGGCACTGTGTTGGATAAAGAATGAATGACTATTAAGGGCCCCCCTCAATTCAAATCCAGGACGAGTTCCGGACAAGTTGCGGGTAGAATCATTCACTGTGTCCGTTAGAAGCTCTGCATTTGTCCCAGACATGTTCCGGGGACATTTTCATTACCAACTGCTTGATTCACCAATACTTCATAGCAGAAAGATTACGGGAAACTTTAACTAATACCTGATGCATTCTCCGCAACTTGTCTGGAACTTGTCCCTGATACGAGTTGAGACAGGCCCTAAATTAAGAAGGGTATAAAGTAGTCTTTTCCAATTCGAGCGATTCACAATGCAGTGGCGCCACCAATAGTTTGCCACGGAGAGTTCACTTTTCCCAGTGCATTGTGGGAGATGGTCGACAAATTCGCAGCGCGGGGCATTTGAAATTGTTAGTTTTTCCGGTCAGTAGTTTCGTAAGCGTGTGATTCGAGGATCTGTTTGCCCTTTTCTTTTCTTCTTATCAATATGGTGATTTTTGTAAGGCGGCAGAAAGATATGCTCCAATCTATAACATATTAGCTCAAGTTGTCTTCTGACACTCATTCAAATGGACCATGTTTTGTCGACCGTAAACCTGAAAAATGGACTCTCCTTTGGCAAACTCTTGGTGGCGAACTGCATTGTGAATCGCCCGAATTGCTTGCTGTGTATGTTATGCCCCAACTATAGCAATAGCCTCGACTAAAGTTGGGAAAGTCCAAACTATAGCTGGGGAAATCCCAGTTCAAGTATAATGCTAACTATATTAGGATCGGCCCATAATTATAGTTCAGGCGATACTATAGTTGGGGCGTAACATATACATATTACAGACTACAGTACTTACATTTTGATTTCTTTTTCCCCATGTGCTCATTATCTACAACACCATTTTTCCAGTTGACTTTCTTATCAGACTTGGGCTTTTTCAACTTTAGCGTTACTGACGGCTGTTGAAGGAAAGACAATATGATATATAAATACAAATGTAATTGATCAATTAAAAAGTTTGAGTCCATGCATGCGTATGACTGTTCAATACGTGCTCCGATCCATGCTGTACAACAGTATGGGCTTTGAATACACCCAAGGTGGAGACGACTTAAACATACACGTTCTAAACAAATGACGTTTCAGCCGTCTCTATCTTGGGTGTATTCGAAGCCCATACTGCGCTGATCGTACGGCGCTGATCGGAGCACGTATCATTACACGAAACAGTCGTTGATAAAGCGTGACTTGTTTTTCTTTGATTGACGACGGTGAGGTCATACAGAAGAGTAGTGAAAGGAACTGAGCAACTCGGCAAACCCTCCGTAAGTTTTCAGGCTATTTTTTTTTTTTTTTTTTTTAATTGTTTTGGGAACAAGTTAAGGGGTCTTAGGGAATGTCATTTTTGTAGATCAATCCAGGGTAATTAAGTGTCTTTCTCATTTGTATTCTCTTTAGGCCTACCGTTTTTTTTGGGGGGGGGGGGGGCTTTTGTACCTAGTGTGAGTATGTACAAACTGCTACCGTGTACCAGTCACCAAAACATGCATAATCGGTGGAGCGCTTGTTCATAGGGTACCATAGTTCCAGCGCTCCACTCGGTCTCAGTAGAGCTAGGACATCATTACATACTGTGCTGCTTAAGGTTGACACAGTCATTTTTTAGTAATAAAAAAAATTCTTGATTCTGATTTGATCGAAATGAAACAGGGGCTCTACACTACACGATCGCCAAAAAAAGGGCCTACTCCTTCCTTCTAAAAAACCAGGATGCTAAACATGTTTTTGTTTTTTTTCGACTTAAGTTAGGCATTTAAGTGGTAAGGGGCCTGTCTAGCCCCACTAGTGTGGCCGTGATATTGCTGCGCTGTATCTCTGGCCACACGCCAGGTTCTCGCCCACTACTGAGGAGGTTCCAAAAAAATTACGCAAATTTTCTTAGTAGGCCTAATATCGCGGCCACACTAGTGGGGCTAGGGCGTGGTCCAGCATGTCAATTATACATGTCTGTTTCATTTTTTGTTCTGAACAGTGTAAAAACCAACGGTTGTCAGCTATCTTGAAAATAAATAAATACAAACTAAAAAGTCCCTCCTCTATGTCCTCCTTTTTTCAAAAACCTGGACGCTGAACATGTTTTTTTTTTACTTGACCAAAAATGTCATGCACTGCCATGACATTGACAGACCCTGCATGAGGAATAAATTCTGATTTTGGGAATTTGGAATGGGATAACACATCATTACCGATCTTTGACTTTGCGTTTCTGTTAACGTTGAAGTCACTCCTGGGGTAGGTAAACTTGAAGACATCGTAGTTCAGCACTGTAGAGTAGAGTACTCAGTAGAAAGTTTGTCGAGTTTTGCGGTGTTTTTATTTGTAGTTTTGTGCACTCGACTGCGAGCTGCTTCAGTGCTTGTCGCTTGAATGTTGAAGTTGTTATTGACATGTAACTGGTGCCCGGCAAAGCTTATCATTCACACTTTTTCGCCATTGATTACCAGTGTAAAGTCCAACAATGCGATTTAGTAATTTCAAGATGGCAGCCTCCATGGGAGAGAAATTGAAGTGCAGAGATTTGCACGGATATTTGCAGACTTTGCCTTCATCTGTACTTGACAGACTATACAATCATCCAGCAACATGTTTGGCTGTGTTCAGGTAAAAGATCTGAGGAATTTAAGGGAAAAATTGCAACCTGACGCCACTTCAGCGGTTGTGTACAAAGTGTACGGAGAGTCTATAACTATAACGTACGGACGACCCGTGAACGGCGTTGTGTGTGGAGCGGGATCGGACCGTGGCTACTAAACTTTGCCCGTGCCTAACTACGGCGGGCGGGCCGGCCGCGCCGTCCGGCATTGTTTGCTTGGCGTGCACCTGGACAGTGCGAAGGTCCTAGGGAAAAATCGTAATTTTTTGTTATGTATTGTAGGCCTATGTCGCCTATGAGTGGTAAAAACCTGATTAAAAAATCAAGTTAAATTGTTTATTTAATTAATGGGGATTCCTTTGAGTTTGACGTATGATATCAAACATTTTGATAGGTTTGAAAAGGAGATCAAAAACATGCTCAAACATGTAAAAGTAAATAATGTAAATATTACAGATTTGAAGCTCCGCATTTGACCATTTAAAAATGGTGTACCAAAATTCAAACACCTATGAAGTATGAAGCTGATTCAAATGCCATTGATTTTGTTGTGTATTAAAAATCTGTACCTTGTACCTTGTACTTTTTTGTAGAAAATACCTCCAAAGAACATCCTCGTGGGAGAACATTGTATAACTGGAGGCTTTATGAGGGTGGTACGCTTGCTAGTGGGACTTATTTACTCTGCAGATTAATGATTGGAAATGTGAAGTAGATGTTGCACAAATGGTTGACTGGGGTAATGTGTTCCACATGTCAACTGACTCAGAAAAGAAGGACTGTTGCATGATTCTTGTATTAACCATGTTAAAGGGAATATACATCATTTGCTTTCGCTGTAATTTTCAGAAATGGATGGAATTGGGGGGCTGGAAATATATAGCAAATATAGTTCCACTGACTTTTTGGAGGTTTTGGGTTCGAAAATGCTATAAAAACCAAGAAAAACGATCATTTTCCTGTAGTCTGGTTCCTTGACTCCATATAAGAAGAAACAGAGCAGTTTACATACATTGGGGAATTGTAAGGTCAGGGAACCAGTCTAGCTGGCTCGTACCCGTTCATAGGTTTGTAATCGATTGCAAACAAGTGCGATGGTCAATTGGGGCCAGTATTGGAGAAAAAAAGCCAGTTGTTTCCAACGCTGATCGGCCGATCAGCGTTGGAAATTGATACAAAAATACCACTTTTCTTGAAAATGACAGTATACCAGGTGCCATGATTTTACAGGATGCTTTACACTGTCATTCACTAACAGTCCAGCAAGGTATTTCAAAACGATTTGGTAGTTTTATTTTTTGATGTTTGCAAATGTTGTATTTTCCCTTTAATGATTGGAAATGTGAAGTAGATGTTGCACAAATGGTTGACTGGGGTAATGTGTTCCACATGTCAACTGACTCAGAAAAGAAGGACTTAACTGGGTTATGTAACATCAGTTGTCTGATACAATACAAAAAATGAGATTTCTTTCTTGAAAGAAATGTTCATTGTTCTTCGTAAGATATCCGTGGAGATTGTCAAAATAAACAAAATATGTGTGATCTATAAATGATCCCTTTTGAATTTGTGTGTGTTTGTGATTTCTTTTAACAGGGAGTTGCCAACACTTGCCAAGCATTACGTAACTAGAGTACTTTTTGTTGACCAGCCAGTGCTCAAGACTTCAGTGGAGTCGTGGGTACAAAAATCTCATCTAGCGTAAGTTTCTGCCATGTTGTCAGACAATTCAAGTTATAGCCTACTTACTACTTAGTCCCACTAACCATGCTAACTTTTTTTTTTGACATTTGGGATGTTGGTCTGTGGTACTAGCGTCTCACTAAGGAAGTATTCTCAATATTGCAATTTCCAAAGTTCACCATAAAAGTCGGTCCTACTAAAATGCGTCAACAAACGTCAACAAGCGTAACAAATAGTGACAAAGAACACAGTCAGCATATAAAATAAAGTTAAAATTATTTAAAAACTTGGGTTTTTTTTAACACGAAATGTACGACGAGTTTGTCGAGTTTGGGTTGGCCACCATTTTGTTCACGTGAAGCTAGCCATAGTACGCATGCGTGAAGTGTACAGAGCCATACTAAGCATGCCCGTAGTGTACATTGCCATCCAAACAAGATGACGGCCAACACTAATCGACAAACTCGTACATTTTGTGTTTAAAAAACAAGTTTTGAAATAATTTTAACTTTATTTTATATGCTGAATGTGTCGATTGTCACTATTTCTGCCATAAAAAAATGTCTTTTGATGTTCCAAAACTTATACAAAATTTGTTGATGCTTGTTGATGCTTGTTGACGCATTTTAGTAGGACTCATAAAAGTTGCCAAAAATCACGCGAAATACTTGACAAAAATACCTTTGAAAGCACCTACTGGCCTTTACACATGTCAAAGACGAAGTAATGGGGCATCAATGATACTCACGATTATTTGTGCGTTGCAAATTAATCCGTGAAATTCAACCACTATAGCACAGGTCTGGACATCATACAGGTATCATTCAATAATGCTGTGGCCGTTTTTTGATCTACGCATTGTCTATGCACGTACATATGAACACGTACAATGTACGTGAAGCAGGGGACACGACTGTGACCTGCGTCAAAAAACAAACTTACGTGTAGATCGGGGGATACAACAACGACTGTTTCATGGCAAGGCAGTCGAGCACTGTATCATCACGTTCGCGCTGTCCGGTCGTCGTGCGTACGTACACGCTATGCATGTTGCAGGTGTACTCTTGTACCACGCATTGTCATGAAACAGTCATTGGTGCATCCCCGATCTACACGCGGAGTTTGTTTTTTGACTAGGAGTAACTAGGACTCTACGAAGTTTGTTTGAGTAACTAAGACTGTACGAATCGCCATTTTTAACATTTGGACATGGTCGGGCAATAGTAGAGTCCGAGGTCGATAGCCGATAGCCATGGTCACCTGGATTGGTCGCCATGGCGACCAATCAAAGTGCACTGTGATTGGTCTGTCTGTTGCTTGCCAGGAAACAGTCTAGCCAGAGCCATGCAGAAGTCTTATTTTTCCTGAATTCAAAATGGCAGCCTCAAACAAGGCGTGTGGGGCAAGGGTGTTTCCCGAATTGAAGGTGAAATTTCTCTTTTCTTCCCAAAGGTATGTGAACCTAACCATCACCATTTGTATTGTCAATTCCCACTGAAGCCTACAGGGTCCTACCGGTATAAGGCAGTTTGAAGACTGTTTTATTGGTGAAATCTGAAGATTTTGATTGGGGTTACGAGTGAAAATGGTAAACAAAAATTACTAGTAAAGGCAATATGGCTATCGACCTCGGACTCTACTATCACCCGGCCATGTCCAAATGTTAAAAAAAGTTGATTCGTAGAGACCTAGTTAGTCGGACTATTAATGCGGTACCCGCTGCTATGTACATCTGATTTAGCTCGGTGTAAGTTAGCTCGGTGGTCGAGTGGTAAGACATCTGCACTAGAAGGCAGGAGGTCGTGGGTTCGAGTCCCACCCGAGTGATTTTGTCCACCTTTCACTTGGAGGAAGGTACGTGTGTATACACACTGAGTATACAGTGTTTAAACGTCGGTTAAGGGCAAAACCTAATATAATTTACATCTGCCCGATGCAAAAATCCATCTTTTGAATATGTGTTGTTGGTCTCTTTCAGAAATCACAAGAAGGCAATACAGGTATTATCAGACCTGCGAGTGTGGCAGGATCAAACGCTGCCTGGTGGCCTACCTGGATGGCAGCTCAACACGATCTTCAGAACAAACCTGAGAATAACACTATTGGGAGGGTACGTTGCAAAGGTTTCAGTGTATCAAGGTCCCAATGTCATCACTTTTGGTCTCCGAAAAGAAAATACCAACCCAACCTCGCTTGAGTAGAGAGAGTTTAAGGACTGAAGTGCAAGGCACCTGCAGCCGATTTTACAAAACAGCACATTACTTACGTCCTGCGCAGGACTTACGCTACAAATTTGTTGTGCAGCTGCGCAATAAACTTATAACACATTACTTACGTCCTGCGCAGGACTTACGCTACAAATTTGTTGGCATGGGTGGCTTGTGCGTAAAGCGCTCGCCTCTCACCAAGGTGACCACGGTTCGAATGCTGGCTGCGGATCGCATGTGAGTAGAGTTGTGCGTTGGTTCTCTCCTGTGCCACGAGGGTTTTTCTCCGGGCCCTCCGGTTTTCCTTTCTCCAGAAAAATCAAACACTTTCAATCTCAGGCTGTGCTCCTTGGTCATATATGGGTCGATGTGGCCGGCAGCCATAGGCGTCTTTACATGCCAACGGCCCGACCACGTTGTAGCCGCGTCCTTCGCAATTCAGCATACCAGCTGCGAGTAAGGATGATTAGCCTCCCAAATTATTATTATCATTATTATTATTATTATTATAACAATTTCTCAAAATTTGGCGTTCATGTAGTTGGGCAACATTTTAAATAATCTAAAAATCTTAGACGAGGATGATAGCAGCATTTAGGACAGCTGTTTGTGTATGATCCTCATTTGCTTCATCACCATTCATCCCCGATCCTCCAAAATCCTTCAAAACCTTCAGAACCTTAAGGAGGATTTTGGAGGATTGACAATTTTTAGGGTTAAAGATGTTGGTGCTTGTATAAAGCAGGAGGGCATGGGTTAAAGTCCTACCTGAGTACAAGCACTAACTATACGGTATTTACAGAATGACATCACAGAAAAGGCAAAACACAATGTTCAGGATTTCTTTTTATAACATGTCCATCAATAGGGGTAAACCGTGGTCTGGCACAGGCAAAACAGCCCCCGACAAGAATGCTAAGGACATCGAGAGCCTCAGCAAGTATGCACTGGACCGATGGGAGGTAAGTATCTGTGTTTCTTTACAAAATCACAAATATGAAATGGGTGGAACAGAGCTAAATGTAGTAAAGTGTCTTGCCCAAGAACACAAGCACCATAATTCTCCATTAGGCCTAAGTTCCATTTGGGTTTGAACCGTTTGTCGAACCAATAGTAACATGAAACTTTACACATCAGTCAGACATTGTATATTTGACCACTTGCACTTGCAATTACCAAGAAAAGTGGAATATGGCAATTTCTAAATTTTGAGATTACAATCTTTTAACCCTTAGTCCCTAAGCCTTTGTGGTAGGACGCAAACTCAATCCTGCAAATCCTGCAACTGCCTCTGTGTAAAAATTGCATGCAGTCTCAATCCTCCAAAATTATTCGTTATTTCTTGACTGTGGTTCTTGGAGGAATTACCACTGCCTGAATCCTGCAAAATCCTCCAGCAATCACTGTCAATATGTTGAGGCAGAGCCAGTGACATCCTGGAGCAGTGCGGAGGATTTCAAGTATAATGAAGGCTTACATTTATACACGGCCAGCTGAGCATAAACAACCCAATTAAGGTCAAGCCTAAGACCTTGAAGCTTCCTCCCAAATCAGCCTCACAATTTTGCCATAGAGCCTCAATCCTGCAAAATCCTCCATTTTGCAGAGAGGATTTTGAAGGATTTTGGAAGGTAAATATCGGTAGGGTTAAGGAAGTAGCATTAAATTAATTTGTGGGCACGTGTGGTCTAGCGGTGGAGCACAGGATTCATGATCGTGAGATTGTGGGTTCGAGCCCTGCCGCGGCCATGCGTGTTGTGCCCTTGAGTAAGGCGCTTCACCTCAATTACTCCTCTCAACCCAGGTGTTAAATGGGTACCGGCATTATTCAATGCTGGGAAGGTAACAGACTCGCTGTGGAGGAGGGTGTGGCGATCCCCCCACAGCAGTGTAGCGATCCCCCTACAGCAGCATATGATTCTGGCCCAATCGCTAACGAATGAGAGATGGGCACTCCGTTCCTATGAACACAGGTTCGTCCTCTTTACCTTTACTGAAATGATTCCTAAATTCCTTTCTTTTTTTTTGTCATTTTGTTTCCCTTCACAGCTTGTACTTCATTTCCTTGTTGGGTCCAAGGGAGACGACAGTGTGTCTGCTGATATCGCTCACGTTTTAGTTCATTCAGGTCTCATGAAACAGTAAGTTTAGTCCTTGTTTTTTTATTTCCAGAAAAGCGCCATCCTTAAAGGGAATATACATCATTTGCTTTTGCTGTAATTTTCAGAAATGGATGGAATTGGGGGGTTGGAAATATATAGCAAATATAGTTACACTGACTTTTTGGAGGTTTTGGGTTCGAAAATGCTATAAAAACCAAGAAAAACAATCATTTTCCTGTAGTCTGGTTCCCTGACTCCATATAAGAAGAAACAGAGCAGTTTACATACATTGGGGAATTGTAAGGTCAGGGAACCAGTCTAGCTGGCTTGTACCCGTTCATAGGTGTGTAATCGATTGCAAACAAGTGCGACGGTCAATTGGGGCCAGTATTTGAAAAAAAGCCAGTTTTTTCCAACGCTGGTCGGCCGACCATCGTTGGAAATTGATACTAAAATACCACTTTTCTTGAAAATGACAGTATACCAGGTGCCATGATTTTACAGGATGCTTTACACTGTCATTCACTAACAGTCCAGCAAGGTATTTCAAAATGATTTGGTAGTTTTATTGTTTGATGTTTGCAAATGTTGTATTTTCCCTTTAAAGGTAATTACAATATATACAGGGTGAGTCAGAAAAAGTGAAACCTAAATGTCAGGACTATTGTTTTAGTGTAGTTCTGCATGTAGCACTTTTCTAAATCTAGGACATGAAAGCCCAATTCATAAGCTTTCTTTTAGTACAAGAATCATTCATATCACTCATGTATTTTTAAGTTATAGAATTTTAAACACAACCACCGTTTTAAAGTTCTGTCCACCAATCACCAAAAAAGTGTGCGTTCTTTCAGCAAAACAATTGACACAATTGACACACATCCCTGTGTGATTGTTTTCGTTTTTTACTTACCTTCTTGTGATCCGTGGACAGAACTTTAAAACGGTGGTTGTGTTTCAAACTCCGTAACTTAAAAAGTACATGAGTGATTTGAATGATTCTTGTACTAAAAGAAAGCTTATGAATTGGGCTTCCATATCCTAGATTTTGAAAGTGCTACATGCAGAACTTCACTAAAACAATGGTCCCGACATTTGGATTTCGCTTTTTTGACCCACCCTGTACAACATTTGCAAACATCAAAAAAAAAAACTGCGCCAATTTAACTTTGCGTGTGGCGATCAATATGGGCGCTAGAGGTTTTTTTTCAGTATTGTATAAAAAGCCTTAATGACTGCTAAAAGCATGTGAACAAAGAACCGCCGTCAACTAAAAGGTTACCATCAACAAAAAAATGTGGCACCTGACAATAAAGCACCGCAACTTTACGATAAACAAATATTACATTCGTGTGAGTATGTGCGTAGCTTTTGGTTTTCGAATATTCAAACCGGCCAAAAGCTATTCAAATATTCCGTTAATGATCGAATATTCCAGCATTGGGTATATTCAGGACAGCCCTTTTCTCAGGATTATAATATCAACCCCTGGCACAACCTTTTTCCAAGGATTATGTTTAGTCTTGAACTATAAAGAGGTTGTGAATAAAGGTACGATAGTGATCTCAGATTTGTCTGTGTCAAACCAATACATGTATGGGTGGGGGTATCAAAGTGAATCTTTCTTGGCACTTTTCCTCAAATTTGACCAGCTTCAAAGTGGCGTCCATTATTCATGTTATTAATAGCTCACTTTGTTAAACAACATAGTTTTAAAGCTATAGTCCATCATTTGCAGCCATCCGAAAAAGTAACTGGCGTATTATTGTTCAAAAACATACTTGATTGAAAGATAGTAAGTGGACTAAACTCCCTGTGAAATTAATCTTTCTGGCAAGCTATCATTTTGAAGTAATCAACGAAAGAAGGCCTTTCCAACGGTGCGTCTTAAGACGCAACGTAGGAAAATTTAAATTAGTAGTTCGTTTTGTTATTCGGCGCAGCGCGCGCAAGCATTGGAACGACACACAGGCGCGCGCGGTTGCTATAATTCGTCGGATCAGTGCGCGACATCGCATATAGCTGCAATTCAAAACAATTCAAAACATGATTCAGCAACCTTTGATTTGAAATTGAGATCCTAGAATGCTGTTTTTCTCGGAATATACAGCTGAAGCTGAGCTGAAACTTCATCAGGTTAGTTGTTCAGTATCCTTCATTAGATTTTGAACACTTTTGTTGCTTCAAACGAACAAAATGCACAAATTACAAATGATGGACTACATCTTTAAGTTTCAAACTTCAACAGTTGTTCTTGCATTATAAAGCAATGATCCTTGAGAATTTTGTTTCAAAAAGGCAGCCTGTTTTCGTGTTTCTTACTCAACATTTATGCGAGAGCACCTGACTATGTTTTATGATGTTACAATGTAGGAATGAGCAAGGCAAGCCTGTTATAACACCGTCTGGTTTCCAGTTTCTGCTTTTGGACACGGCATCCCAGGTGTGGTTCTTCATGCTACAGTACCTAGAGACGGCAGAGGTGAATATAAACTATTATATCACTGACATACAGATCCTTTTCATTGGATTGATGGCACTCACATCATGCGACATTATACAACTGTTGTCTGCTGTGATGGGGTCCATGGTGTTTTGTACACCCGAGGGTACCATTTGCACCTGAGGGTTTACAAAACCCATGGACCCCAATCACAGCAGGCAAGAATTGTTTTGTTATACCACGGTAATAGATTCCAAGCATCTGAAATTGTGGGACTCCTCCAGTTGCCGTGTAGTAATCGTTGCCGTGCCATGGTTCTTTACAGATGGCTAGAACCTCACACACTCACGAAAGAGATTCGTGACATGGTGCAAACATAAAATGCATCTTCACCATGCCAACCTTCAAACCTCATCTAATTGGTAAACTAAATTAAGACGTTTTTAGGTATTGAAAATATTGACATCCTCTGTTCTGTTTACGTTTTTCCATTTTAGTCCCGAGGACTGAATCTTGTGGATGCTCTGTCATTCCTCTTTCGACTCAGCTTTTCAAGTTTTGGAAAGGTAATCTACATATGATTATCTGCATTCCAATCATGGGAACATTGCTAAGATTTGCCATTTTTTTGGAGAACTGTGGCACAAGATGTGATGCCTGGTAAATCAAGACGAACCCCAACAGAAGTGTGTGATGTCCACTGAAAACAGAATCAAATATTTATAAGAAGAACAGTCTTTTAATATTGGCCAAGGAGATGATACTTACAAGAATGTTGCCAACGTTGGCATGTTATCATTGTTCACATAAGTGGAATGCAGTGCAGGCTTAACACTACATAATTTTTTTGAATTTGTTTGATCCTGTTGTGTTATGTTTACTGTTGAACATGTTATTGGATTTGAAACTCAACGAATGTTATGTAGTATAATTGATTTGGAAATACATACATGTTTAAAGCAGATGTCTGTATCGTGTATGTGTGAAGAATGTAGATGACAATACACCAGAAGTTGGTGTTTCTCAGAGCAACATAAAGAGATTTCTTCTCACTCTGTGCAAGCCCAAACGTCAGTAATGCAGACTTCACCGTGCAAACTGTCAAATCTCACCAAAATATGAACAAACCATCTCGATTTGCACTTTTGCTCCATGTATATTTACAATATGAAACAGGCCAGACACAAGCACAAGTAACTTCACACCTTTTTCTTGTATGTACTGTATGTTTCTTATTAGGACTATTCCTGTGAATCGATGAACGAGTCGCAATTGCAGTTTTTGCAGCACCTCCGAGAGCTAGGCCTGGTCTTCCAGAGAAAGGTGAGACCAAGAAAATGCTTGAAATATCTGCAGGATATATTAAACGGGGTTCAGACAGTCATAGGAAATTCTGTATTAGTAGTTTGTGCAGAGCTTTATAGTATAATGATGTGCTAGGACACGGTGACAGGATGCCTCATTAAAGGGAAAATACAACATTTGCAAACATCAAAAAATAAAACTACCAAATCATTTTGAAATACCTTGCTGGACTGTTAGTGAATGACAGTGTAAAGCATCCTGTAAAATCATGGCACCTGGTATACTGTCATTTTCAAGAAAAGTGGTATTTTTGTATCAATTTCCAACGCTGGTCGGCCGACCAGCGTTGGAAAAAACTGGCTTTTTTTCAAATACTGGCTCCAATTGACCATCGAACTTGTTTGCAATCGATTACACACCTATGAACGGGTACAAGCCAGCTAGACTGGTTCCCTGACCTTACAATTCCCCAATGTATGTAAACTGCTCTGTTTCTTCGTATATGGAGTCAGGGAACCAGACTACAGGAAAATGATTGTTTTTCTTGGTTTTTATAGCATTTTCGAACCCAAAACCTCAAAAAAGTCAGTGTAACTATATTTGCTATATATTTCCAACCCCCCAATTCCATCCATTTCTGAAAATTACAGCAAAAGCAAATGATGTATATTCCCTTTAATGTTTTGTTACATGTAAATTTCACATTAAAAAGTATGAGGATGGTTTGCCAACAACAAATACATTTTCAAATGTATGTGAATCAGTTTTTTGGGCACGTATCACTTTTGATTTCAGAGGAAGAGTATGCGCTATTATCCAACAAGTCTAGCAATCAATCTGGCATCAGGTAAGGCCACAAAGTTACCAGAATTTTTGAAATTTTGCGGTTGTGTAAATTCTCTTTTCGTTGGTGATTCGTTGTGTCAGTGCATGGCAGAGGTGGCAGCAAGTCATTTTTTGCAAGTCCAAGTCAAGTCACAAGTCATTGTTTGCAAGTCCAAGTCAAGTCACAAGTCATTAGGACCAGTCACAAGTCATTAGGTCCAGTAACAAGTCAAGTCACAAGTCATTAGGACCAGTCACAAGTCAAGTCACAAGTCATTAGGTCCAGTCACAAGTCAAAGCACAAGTCATTTGGTCTAAACACAAGTCAAGTCACAAGTATCTTTGTCCAAGAACACGTCAAGTTGCACATTATTTTGTCCAGCTGTAATAAGCTAAAAGAACCTGGCGTCAACTTACGAGTTATTTTGAACATGCCTCCTTAATTCCCCTTTTTCAATGTGTTGCTAATACTATTCTTGTAGTTTATCACATATCTGTCGGATATTAGCCCTTTGTATACTTTAATAAATTTACTTAACACTGTAGAAATAAATGTTGAGATGACATGAAAAAAAGAGTTCACTCACTCGATTACATGTAGTATACTAACACTTTATTGTTCAATTTTCATGTATACTAAACGCCTACCAATGGGTTAGGCTATCCGGTATTTAACATGCAATTGACAAAGGCCTGCTTTCTTTTCATGAAAGGTTCCTTTCAAAGTTTGTTCAACCATTACATTAAGCAAGAGACTTGGTCATTGAAAACTGTGTAGTTTGTTGTGACAGTCTTATTGAAAACTTTTGAAACTAGTGGGAACTATTCATTTTACTGGATTTAGCGTCTGACTTGGGTTGGTAACAAGTCATTTTTTGCAATCCCAAGTCAAGTCACAAGTCATTGTTTGCAAGTCCAAGTCAAGTCTCAAGTCAAAGCTGGTATTTACAAGTCAAGTCACAAGTCACAAAAATAGCGACTCGAGTCCGACTCGAGTCCAAGTCACATGACTCGAGTCAGCAACTCTGGTGCATGGCAGTAAGCCCATGAGCAAACTTTTCTCACAAATGTTTTCAATGAACAGATTTTTGGATTCCCATTTGAACAGAAAACCCCAAAAACTGAACAGTGTCTTCCTGAAATGACCACATCAACAGCGCCCTCAGTGTCCGTGTTCGGAAAAAGCATGAACAATTTTAAACCTTTAAAGGGAATGTACATCATTGGCTTTTGCTGTAATTTTCAGAAATGAACTATTTGAGGGGTTAGTATAGTAGATCAAATATTGTTTAACTGATATATTTGAAGTTATGTGTTCGAAAATGCTTGAAAAACCAAGAAAAACAAAACTGTTTAAGTAGTCTGGTCCCCTGACTCCACAAAAGATAAAATGGATCAATTTATAGATGATGGAAAATTGTAATTGGAACCAGTCTAGCTGGCCTGCACCCGTTCATGAACATGTAACCAATAGCAAACAAAATTTGGACTGAAAAAAATGGTCAATTTGGAGCAGAAGTTGAAAAATAGTTAGGTTTTTCCAACGCTGGTCGGCCGACCACCGTTGGAAATGTATACAAAAATACCTTTTTCTTGAAAATGACTTCACACCAGGTGCCATAATTTTACAAGATGCTTGAGACTGTTATTTACCAACATCCTAGTAAGGTATTTCGTAAAAACTTCGTAGTTTTATTTTTCGATGTTTGCAAATGTTGTATATTCCCTTTAAAGGCATACAGTCTCAATCGTCCGAAATCCTCAAAAATCACCTAGCCGATTTTGGAGGATTGACCAGGGTAAGGGGATAACGACAGTGATGATCAGAGTTTGACAGCTTGATTCGGAAAACGTTTGTGCTTGAGGAACAATTTATACATCTTTAATCCAACAGGTGTTACTAATGCGAGTACAGACACCCACCGGGAAGGTTTCCTTGTGATTGAAACGAACCACCGAGTCTATGCCTACACTGAGTCTGATCTTCAAGTAGAGATCCTTGGTCTGTTCACACAGATGCTGTACAGGTAATCTCAATGACGGCACTATAGCAACAACTTTGGCCAAGTTCGCGCAAGGACTATAGTTGACCAATGGTTAACTAACGTTTGCCCGAACTCTGTCTAGTCGACGGTGGTTGACTATGCTAGTCGACTATTTGGAACCAGCCTACTGGGGTTGGTTGCTTCGCTGGTAACAAATAGCCGCGCGCATTCATAACGCAAGCAGAGAGCCAGGATCCAGAAGTTTTGCGATGACATTTTGACCAGCGTTTGACTAGAGACGTTCGCACGTTGCTATCAGTGCACAGGCGTAAGGTACGTCACAAATCAACCACTAGTCGACTAATGGTCCTTGCCCGAACTTGGCCTTGTTTGTTGGGGGGGGGGGGTTATAATGACCAATGATCCTTGGTTATTGTCGCAAGACATGTAAGATTACATGTTGCTATAATAATCTTAAATAATGAAAGGTTTGCGGAAACACCATGTGCAAATAATTTCTCAACTAAGAGAATAGTTCTGAAAAGAACCAGAGGTATAAACTTGACGTTCCGGTCAGTATGCTCCGACCGTCTTTAGGAGAGAAGCATACTGACCGGAACATCAGAGCATACTGACCGGAACGTCGAGTTTATACCTCTGGTTCTTTTCAGAACTATTCTCTTAGTTGAGAAATTATTCGCACATGGTGTTTCCGCAAACCTTTCATTATTTAGTATCTCCACCATGCAAAGCCTCAAGTCTTACTAATAATAATCTTCAATTTTTTAGAGTGGAGTCAGATCACTGCTAAATTGCTAGCATTGTTGTTGTACAACATGTAGTCAATTCCACCACAAGTCCACGATCACAAGTCCTTTCAGCAGTAAATCACAAGTCCTTTCACAAGTCCAGTCAATGTAAGAAACAGGAGGTGAACAACATCAAAGGAATGCCTTTGTATAGCTTGTGACTTGAAATGAGACTGGAGTACTTCCAATGGACTTAAATAAGGGAATAAATCTGTGTTCGGGAGGTATTGAAACACTCTGTTTAAAGCGGTGGTCACATCTTACGGTCATGAACGTAGGTGAACGTAGTAGGGTGTGACCATAGTTGACCGTAGAAGACCCTAGTAGTCGTAGTTAAACGTAGTTTAACATAGTTATGAACGTACCTTGACCTTGGAGGAAAGCCATGATTTGGCCGTAGTTAGCCCAAAAGTTTTCAACATGTTGAAAATATTTCTACGGTCAGCGTGAATGCCTATACCGTACTGTGATCCTAGTATGTACGTTGTTAACCCTAGTGGACCCTAGTTGACCCTACTTGACCATAGTTGACCCTAGTTGACCATAGTAACCATGGCACTACGGTCGAGGTACGGTAAACTACGGCCGTAGTTAACCCTAGCCGATTTGACCGCAGTTCAACGTAGATCAACGTAGTCGACAGTAGTTGCACGTATTTCACCCTACTAAATCGTTCTTTATATTTGCTCTTTTGCCAATTTTGAACCTACTTCGACCCTACTTCACCCTAGTTGACTGTTGTTACACTACGGTCAACTACGTTCAAATGAACTACGTTCAATTACGTTCATGACCGTAAGATGTGACCACCGCTTAAGACCAGTGGGAGTCTGGATGGGTGATAATTACCCGAGGCGAAGCCGAGGGTACATAAATTAGGAGTCCACTTTTTCCCTGTCCCTGTTACATGTACATCTGACGTCTATCATTTTTATAATTCTGATGCACTCCGTAATGCAGTCATCCTCCATGTCCTTTGAGAGAGAAAGTGATAACGAACAGCAATCTACATGTATACCTACCAAACAAATAAAAAACCTTTTGGAGTCATTCTTAATAATACTTGGATGTCGAGTGTACGTATGCAGGTCCTATGTTTCAATTTCACTGTCCTCTGAAGTCACGGTTGGCACGTGAAAAAAATGATTTATTTATTTTGTTTTGCTTTTTTTGGCAAATTTCTTTCTTTGACACTTTGGATAGTGAAATATTACAACATTATCTCCATGAAAACACTGCCAAATGTCTTGTTATTACGCAAAACACAACGTTGATGATAAAAAAAAGTGGCAAAATTGCCTCAAGGTTTACCATGCCCATTTGGGGTCAACTTGCAAATTGAGGTACGAATGTGTACAATATGAATATGCATTTCAAAACCCGACTGTATAATGAACCCCTTCTCAAAAATATGTCAATTGAGGGCTTTACAACTCCACCCAGCTTTCCCGCTAGCACCATAAAGAAATTTGTACTAATTGTTTTTTAAAACTTTTGTGTGCAGATTTCCTAACTTATCTGTCGGTATGGTTACAAGGGAGAGCATACAGCAAGCAGTGTCCTTTGGCATCACGGCTGAGCAGATACTGCACTACCTAAGGACCAATACGCACCCAGAGATGCGCTCCAAAGTAAGTCAAAATGAATGCAGTGACCCCTCCCAGATCCTTTAAAATCTATCATAGGCAGAGGAATTTGGAGGATTTGGGAATGTAGAACCCCACACCTCCTCCTTTACATGGTTCTTGTTTCCCGTTGAAAGGTCAAGTACATTGCAACTACAAGGAATGTGCCGTTGGGTGGAGTAATTGCAGAATACCCCGCCACTCGGAAATACACCCCTAAATTCTCTGGCTACGAGGTTGGAATCACTGGAAAAGAAACAATTCAAGTCCATGCCAGCTACGCGGATACTGATTTTTTACAATCCCTCAAGTTCATGGCCCACAGCATGCTCAAATACCGAAGATTTTGAGGGCATGCAAATCGTGATTTGGCCGGCGCAGGCAATTTCGGACCGATTTACTGGTCTGCACCCTATAGAGAAGTGAGGTTTTGAAAAATTTCCCCAAACCACTTGTACGGCACGAGGAAGGATGGATGACTCATATTTCATCAAAAAATTGCAAGAAAAAAAATGTCTGACTGCGATTTCTGGCCTGAAAACAAGCCCTCTGTTTGCGGCTACCTTACTGCAGGGCGCCCCCAGCGGGCGTTAATTGAGTTTTTGCTCCTTCCGACCCCAAATTACCCCCCCCCTTGTTCGCTCGAAATTGCTGTGATCGGACGACGGTCCATCGGCCCTATTTAGATTTTGGGCGCATTTGTTGCGGAACCGCCATTGGTGACCCCTTTTTAAACGCTGCCCCCCCCCCCCCCCCCAGGTTCCGCCCCCCTGAAAAAAAAACACTCCGCAAACGTTTGACAACAAACAATGGAAGGCGCCATTTTGAAACTATAGGTAGCAGACCAGTAAATAAACTTCCATAGACCCCAATGGTAAATGCTCCCACTTCAAAAATTCGGGAAAAATACTCACAACTCTCCAAGGTGCTCGAGACACACATCAAATTGAAGCTGATTTCATCATCTTTCATTTTCTTTTCAATTTTCGGGGGGTCAACTGATGACTTTTAGGAGAAATTTCCATCTAGTAGTATGAGATGGGAGGGTACCAGACTTTACCCCGCCCATTATCCCCCTTCTCCAATAATCTCTGACCCCTGGCCCCACCCTCTGCCCCCACCCACCCCCTCCCAATGATCTCCCTCCCAATATCTCAGTCTCAGCCCCACGCCAAAACCGGGGACTAATATCTCTCGTCTTGAAGATCTCTCTCTGTCCAGCTGGTGAGTCTGATTGCTTATAAATCTAAAAGTCTGACCTCTTAAAAAAATTTAAAAAAAATTATATTGATATATATAAATGATGGATATGATTAGGCCAATCGTTAAGGGATTTTCTAGATGGAATAAAGCCACGCTGCGCGATTACGTCCAGCGATATAATGTACCGTACGATCAAAATGTTGCTCTTACGCGTAAAGTCTACATCAACGGGATAAAAAAATACGAAGCTCAATTTAGAAACTTGAGGAAAAAGAAGCTACATGAGCTCAAACAGATTGTGGACGATTATGATCTAGAATATAACCCGTCGGGTTATAAGGGTCGATTTTTGAAAAAAGATTTACTCTCGGCGATTCAAAACTCTAGGCAACCCGAATATTTTCAAGAGGCTGAGTTTAGAGCGACGAGGAGATTTAGAAATAACTTTAGAAACTGGGAACTGATTCCTAGACTTTTTAACGACGATTTAGTCAAGTTTTTTGATACGCACAAAGATCAAATTGTAAATAAAATCAAGTCAGAATTGAGAGAGCTGAGAGGTTTAAAAATGGAGCTCACAATCAAAATAAAATACGAAAAAACTAAACCGGATGGTACGATCGAAACGATCGAAGCTACACATTTTACCGATCAGAGAGTCGTTTTAAATCAGAGTCAAATAAAACAGGTTTTAAAAGAAGACATCGACCAGATATTTAAAAAGGATGAAAGGTATACGAATCAAGGATCGGGTTGGGTTTTAAAAAAGATAATGGCGTTGTATATCAACATCAACAGGTTTAACCCCGTGAGAGGTAGTTCTTATATTGACCTACCAAAATGTATCAAACAGAAAACGGCGATGATAAACATTAAAAACAAAGACGACGAGTGTTTGAGATGGTGTTTGAGAGCTGCTCTTGGCTTGTATACGGATAAAGTAAAAAATAACATAAAAAACGATCCTAAATATAAAATTCATAAAGAAGAACCTGTTGTATACACCAAAGACGACGGACTCAAATTTAAAGGCGTAGATTTTCCAACACCGATCGACCAGATACCAAAGATAGAAAGACAAAATAATTTAACGATAAACGTATACGGTTATGAGGAGGAAATATATCCGTTATACGTGTCTAAAAACTATAAACCAGAGTCACGACCTATCGATCTGTTTTTGTTTTCTGAGGGCGACAAGCATCACTATTGCTGGATAAATAATTTTTCGAGATTGATTTACAACGTTACAAAACATAAAAGTAAGAAATATTTTTGTCGAAGGTGCCTGTGTCATTATAGAACGCAAGTAAAATTAGATAGACACATGACCGATTGTAACGGTATAGATACACATCCGTCAAAGATTGTATTTCCTACCGCTAAGCGAAAATATGTAAATAACGAGTGGATAGTCAACGAAAACGATGTGCCAATATTAGAATTTAAAAACTACAGGTTTAAACAAAAAGCACCGTTTGTAGTTTACGCCGACTTTGAATCGATATTAGAAAGAAACTCGAACGATAAAAAGAATAATACGCAAAAGACAAACATTCACAAAGCTAGCGGTTATTCGTTGGTAGTAGTTAGATGCGACGGCACCAATGCGTATCAAGAGACTTATAGAGGTAAAGATGCCGCATCAACGTTTGTACATAAAATGTTAAAAATACAAAGCGACATAAATTGCATATTTAAAAAACCCCAACCCATGAAATTTAATGAGCGAGCTAAAGAACATCATGATACAACAAACACGTGTTGGATTTGCGAGAAACCAATTTATCCCAATTACTCGAGCAACTGTCAGTGCCAGAAACCCAAAAAACCAAAAACAGAAAAACAAATAAAAGAACATCAGTACGAAAACAAAAATGGATTTACAGAGTCTAAATGCCTCAACTGCAAAAAGAAAATCAACAAATTTAGAAAGGTGAGAGATCACTGCCACGTCACGGGTAGATATAGAGGTGCCGCGCACGCCTACTGCAATCTAAAATTACAAGTTAAACCAGGTTTTACCCCCATACCGGTCGTCTTTCACAATCTGCAAAATTACGACGCTCACTTGATCATGCAGAGTATTTCAGAGTACGATGAAAAGGAAATACAAGTTATCGCTAGAAATTCGGAAAAGTATATTTCGTTTTCGATCGGAAATATGCGATTTATAGACTCGTTTAATTTTATGGCGTCTTCGTTGGATAGATTATCTAAAGCTTGTCCAAGAGAGTCGTTTAAACTACTCAGAGAACATTTTAATCGTCAAAACATCGACTCGTTGTTACAAAAAGGAGTTTATCCGTATGAATACATGGACTCGTTTGATAGATTTCAAGAGACCAGCCTACCCCCCATCGAACAATTTTACAGCAGCCTAAAAGACGAAAATATATCGCGAGAAGACTACGACAGAGCTAAACTGACGTGGAACGAGTTTAAAGTTAAAAACATGGGGGAATATCACGATTTGTACGTCACTACCGATACGTTATTACTGGCATGCGTATTTGAAAACTTTAGGAAAACGTGCATTACAAACTACGCGTTAGATCCGGCTAATTACTATACAGCACCAGGATTGTCGTGGGATGCCTTGTTAAAACACTCGGAAATTAAACTCGAACTATTGCAAGACGTAGACAAACATTTATTTTTTGAAAAAGCAAAAAGAGGTGGTATCTCAAGCGTGGGTGGTATGAGATACCACAAAGCCAACAACAAATACCTACCCGACCATAATCCAAACGAGCCGTCGAGTTACATCACCTACCTCGATGCAAACAATCTGTACGGCTGGGCCATGAGTCAATACCTGCCGTACAAAGACTTTAAATGGGCGTCTACAAAAACGTTTACCGAGTCTAAGATATTATCTCTCAGGAAAACGTCAAACACCGGTTACTGCTTTGAAGTAGACCTCGATTACCCGGACAATCTCCACGACCTGCACAACGATTATCCCCTAGCGCCAGAAAATATCGTCATACCAAAAGAATGGATGTCTGATTATCAAAACGAGTTATTGGATACCGAACCTAGTAGCAACGTGCAAAAATTAACGTGTACCCTTAATCCTAAACAAAAATATGTTTTGCACTACGTCACGTTGCAGTTGTATCTCAAACTCGGCTTGAAACTTAAAAAGGTACATCGAGTGCTGCAATTTAAACAAGCTCCTTGGATGGCATCTTACATAGACAAAAACACGCAACTCCGAACAAAAGCGACCTCTGATTTTGAGAAAGACTTTTTTAAACTGATGAATAACAGCGTGTTTGGTAAGACGATGGAAAACGTCAGAAACCGGATTGACGGTTACCTGCTCAGAGACAATAACGATGACGATCGAGATAAATACCAAAAAATTATACAGAAACCGAGCTACAAAACGACGACGTCATTTTCAGAATGCAAATTGTCATTTGTCGAAAAGTACAAGACTAAAACCGTGTTAAACAAACCAATCTATTGCGGAGTGAGTATCTTGGATCTATCTAAGACGCTGATGTATGATTTTTATTACAACCATTTGAAAGACAAGTACAAAGAGAAAATCAGGTTGATGTACACAGATACGGACAGTTTGGTACTCGTAGTGCACACTGACGACGTGTACAAAGATATGCAGCAAAACGGTCAACAATACGACCTTTCGAATTATCCGACGGATCATCCTTTGTACGATCCAACCAATAAGAAAGTGATCGGTAAATTTAAAGACGAGTTTGGAGGTAAAATAGTCAAAGAAGTTGTTTGTATAAGACCTAAAATGTACTCCATTTTAACCGCTGACATCA